TTTGCAAGAGCACCCTGGCGCATTCGTTTGCCCAGTAGCGTGGTGAGGGCGATGAATTTCTGCGTCTCGTCCCAATTGAATAAATAGTTTGAAGCGTTCATGCACATGTAAACGCGTGCGTTGCTCTGATTGCCAGCACTTATAACCTGAACAACGCTAGCATTATACTAAATTATCATTACGCTGGTATTATACTGGTATAATACCATTGTACTGTTAAGCACCTTTCTTGAAACTAAGGCACGTTGAATGAATTTTTTTTTTCGATTTAAAGCTTTCGTGACTGCAGGGATTCATCTTCTTGGTTCTTTCGGTAAAGTCACGTAGAAGGGAAATAATAAAATAATAAAAATAAAACATAATAAAATAATGCTCACGACGTTTCGACCACAACGCTGTCTCCCCGACAGACCTGCTCTTTATCCGAGGACGGCTGCTTGCGTTGTGGCCGAAACGTCGTGAGAATAATTTTGTTATGTTTTATTTTTATTATTTATTATTTCCATTCTACGTGACTTTACCGAAAGAACCAAGAAGATGAAAGAAAAAAAAGTTTTGGAATAAAAAAAAATATCGGCCAAGCGTGGAGATGCCGGGGATTGAACCCGGGGCCTCACACATGCGAAGCGTGCGCTCTACCACTGAGCTACATCCCCTGCCACGGGCGACGCGCCCTCTGCAGGGCTAATGGTCGTCAGTCTGCAATCAACACGCGAGATCGCCCCTCTCGCCCTACCCCCCCCTCTCTCGACCCACCCTCTCGCCCCCCCCTCTCTCGCCCCCCACCATCTCGCCCCCCCCCCCTTCTCGCCCCCCCCCCCTTCTCGCCCCCCCTCTCGCCCTACCCCCCTCTCGCCCCCCCCTTTCGCCCCCCCTCTCGCTCCCCCTCTCGCCCCCCCCCCTTCTCGCCCCCCCCCTTCTCGCCCCCCCCTCTCGCCCCCACCCTCTCGCCCCCCCTCTCTCGCCCCCCCCTCTCCCGCCCTAACCCCCTCTCGCCCCCCCCCCCTCTCGCCCTACCCCTTCTTGCCCCCCACCCTCTCGCCCCCCTCTCTCGCCCCCCTCCCTCTCGCCCCCCCCCCCCTCTCTCGCCCTACCCCCTCTCGCCCTACCCCCTCTCGCCCCCCCTTTCGCTCCCCCCTCTCGCCCTACCCTCTCTCGCCCCCCCCCCCTCTCTCGCCCCCCCTCTCGCCCTACCCCTCTCTCGCCCCCCCCCCCTCTCTCGCCCTACCCCCTCTCGCCCTACCCCCTCTCGCCCCCCCTTTCGCTCCCCCCTCTCGCCCTACCCTCTCTTGCCCCCCCCCCCTCTCGCCCCCCCTCTCGCCCTACCCCTCTCTCGCCCCCCCTCTCGCCCTCCCCCCTCTCGCCCCCCCCCCTCTCGCCCCCCCCTCTTCTCGCCCCCCCCCTTCTCGCCCCCCCTCTCGCCCCCCCTTCTCTCGCCCTACCCCCCCCTGCCCTACACCCTCATAGGCATCGCCCCCTTCAGGCTTTTGACATCATTCTCTTAGGTTTTTTTCGGTAAAGTCAGGTAGGGGGAAAATTATAATTAATAAATAATAACGTTGCAACGTTGGGTCAACGTTCAATGTTTACCGGAACATTGCTGTTTTCCACTTGTGTGCATCTCCAGCTGTTTCACGAACTTATTGTACGGGGCTTTACAGGGATTGTAAGCTCCAATGGGCATGAACTATGCTGATTATTACACGGGTAATGTATGCACGTAAGAAAGAAGGCCTGCAAGTGTTGGGCTCAGGATAAATGTGACAAATAAAGTTAATTTATACCTGGAAATAAACACGTTTAAGCACAAACGACCAACAAAAACTCAATACACTAATTAGATTTTTTAAACATATATTAATCGCGCGACGTTTCAGGCAATAGCCCCATTATTTTCCAAAGCGTTCTAAAAATCTGGATCTGGAAGTTTATTTAAAAAAATGTAGAGGAAAATCCTCTGAATCTAAAGCCAAATCCTCTGAATCTAGAGTTAAACCCTCTGAATCTGGAGACAAAGCATCTGAATCTGGAGACAAATCTTCCGAATCTAGAATTAAATCCTCTGAATCTAGAGTTAAATTCTCTGAATCTCAAGACAAATCCTCTCAATCTAGAGTTAAATCCTCTGAATCTGGAGGCAAATCCTTGGAATCTAGAGGTAAATCCTCTGAATCTAAAGTTAAATCCTCTGAATCTGGAGGCAAATCCTTGGAATCTAGAGGTAAATCCTCTGAATCTAGAGTTAAATCCTCTGAATCTGGAGGCAAATCCTTGGAATCTAGAGGTAAATCCTCTGAATCTAGAGTTAAATCCTCTGAATCTGGAGGCAAATCCTTGGAATCTAGAGGTAAATCCTCTGAATCTGGAGGCAAATCCTCTGAATCTAGAGGTAAATCCTCTAAATCTGGAGGCAAATCCTCCGAATCTAGAGGGAAATCCTCCGAATCTAGAGGTAAATCCTCTGAATCTAAATACAAATCCTTGGAATCTAGAATTAAATCCTCTGAATCTAGAGTTAAATCCTCCGAATCTGGAAGCAAATCCTCTGAATCTAGAGTTAAATCATCTGAATCTGGAGGCAAATCCTCTGAATCTAGAGTTAAATCCTCTGAATCTAAATACAAATCCTTGGAATCTAGAATTAAATCCTCTGAATCTAGAGGCAAATCCTCCGAATCTAGAGGTAAATCCTGTGATTCTGGAGGCAAATCCTCCGAATCTAGAGGGAAATCCTCCAAATCTAGAGGCAAATCCTCTGAATCTAGAGGTAAATCCTCTGATTCTGGAGGCAAATCCTCCGATTCTAGAGGGAAATCCTCCGAATCTAGAGGCAAATCCTCCGAATCTAGAGGGAAATCCTCTGAATCTGGAGGCAAAGCCTCTGAATCTAGAGGTAAATCCTCTAAATCTGGAGGCAAATCCTCCGAATCTAGAGGGAAATCCTCCGAATCTAGAGGCAAATCCTCCGAATATAGAGGGAAATCCTCTGAATCTGGAGGCAAATCCTCTTAATCTAAAGACAAATCCTCCGAATCTAGAGGTAAATCCTCCGAATCTAGAGGTAAATCCTCCCTTACCTGGCAACGCCTGGACGTCGAAGAGGGCCATTGATAGCCGCGCATGCGCACTGGCGCCCCCTCTTCTCCCAGAGACATCACGTAAGTCATGGCGCCTCGCTTTCGCTCCCGTTGATTCCTCGTCGCAATCCGCCGCACATCGCGGCCATCCGACCCCGCGCGATCTCTCATCGAGTAGATTACGATTCCTCGAACATTGCTGGAGGCTACCATTGCACTATTTGCGACTTTCGTTTGTAAAGTTCGCTCGTTAATTAGGTTTAGTGTGCCGGGTTGCCGCGCCGATAAGGTTTGGTAATGGCGTGTTCAGTGCGGCGTGGATTGTGCGCGTTCACTTTGTCGCGATCGCTGTGAGTTTCAAAGGGGTCGAACGCGATGTAAAGTTACCTGTTGGCTGGTATAGATACGCGATGATAACTTCAATGTTTGTAATTGTAAATTTAATTTATAAACCAACGTGTAACTTGTGTTTTGAGTAAAGCCTGGCCTAGGCCGCAGCATAGGAAGGGATTTTGATTCGTGATTGCGAAACCATTTATATAGAAATTACAAGTTTCGTAAAACTATACGCTTAGACAAAATGTAATTTGGACGTGAATCGCGGAGATGGAAGTGATTGAATGAGCCCTTGTGCATGGCAGGGCTGTGGGGAATGGCAACAACTTGCCTTCATCTAGCAGTGGATTGATGATGGCTGATGAGAAATTTGTCAGCGTTTATAATGCACACAAAACGGATGGCTTTTGCACTCTGATTAAGGGCCGTTGCCCGGAACGTCGCCTATTTTATTATTAAAGCCGCGATATGCGAGGCATGTAACTTATTTTCATTAGCAATTGTGTGATAGTGATTTATTAACTTGATCATTCTACTGCTGGATGAAGCCCTCCACGCGCCCAGAAAGTGTTGGTCCACGTGGGTTGTTGACCATACTTCTCCACGCTGGTTAGTGCGGAAAGGTGAAGAGGGGAGGGGGGGAGACCTTTAGGATCGGTTCAGATGTAACTCGCCACTGATGTTAGCCGTGGTTGGAAATCTATCCCATTGTAGCGTTATAATTTACCATTAACCCTTCGTTGGGGCTAATCTACGACAAAATCACCAGTAATATCTTCTATTTCGAAAGCTAAGCGGGGTTGCTCCTGGTTAGTATTGCAACAGGGTTGGAGGTGGATGAGGAATACTAAGCGTTTTATGTGGCCCCAAGACACGGAAAGTACATCCACGGTACATCGTGCGGAGCGTTTAGTGTCATCTTTTTGTGAGGTTTCTCCGGGTGTTATATGACGGATGATAATGGTCGCGAAAGCCTTCGTGTTAAACTTTCTCCGGGTACGCCGGTTTTCCACTTGATGGCACGAGTAGAAAACCTACGTCCCCTGGTTCGCATGGTACCCCCGATGAAGCATCATTCGACGCGAGAGCCTATCACTTCAAACCGGCCTGCAGACGCCTTTCACTGCAAGCTTTTTAACACCACGAGTTGGATACTAGAGGGGACATTTTCAACCTGGTAACAATAGTAAAAGTGTGCCCTTGGTTTTTGGACGTCTGTGAAAAAGGGCTTCATAAATCATCGGATTCCTCCGGTCTAAATTACGGATTCTGATTTAGAAAGAAAGATTGAGATACTTTTGTTTTGCTTTAATATCGGATAACGCCAAGGTGTGTGTAACCCACCAAATGTATCTGAAAGTCCTTATTCATCACTCAGATAAAGGTTCCCCCTTGTGACACTTTAACGAGGTCTAACGCAGCACTCCTGAGAGTTTGTGTGCTTGTGCATTGCAGCTCATTGGGGCCATCAACCTTAAAAGAGCACTGGGAGGAGAGCCGCATGCAAACATATCTTCCGGTTTTACCCTCGCGTCCGAGTTAAATCCCTAAATCTAAGTGTCATGTCTCGTGTGTGTGCGCGTGCAGCAAATGGCGGACGACGCCGGTGGTAATCGGGGCGGCTTCCGCGGGGGGTTCGGCTCTGGGGCCCGGGGTCGAGGTCGCGGCCGAGGTCGGGGTCGTGGCCGGGGTCGTGGACGTGGAGGGAAGAGCGAGGACAAAGAGGTGGGAGCGACACCTGCACACCGACTCACCGACTCACCTGACAAAGATCCCCCATATAGCCTTTTAGCACTGTTATGGTGTGGCCAGAACAATACCCGGCTGGCTGACTGTCTTGCCAGTGCTGATATTTGCACACAGCACCAGGTACTCATTTTTAAGACTGGCTCAACCTCGGGGAGATACATAGCCGGTTCATGTAATTGCAACAGGCTGGAACAGTGGTGAAGTAGTTAAAATAACTGCACTGACCTCGGCGAACATCGCCTACATTGACAAACTGTGAATTTAATAATCATGAGTCCATGATCAGTTCACTGATGGATGAGGCCTCACCCCAAACTGTCTCACCTAGTTCTGCCAAAAGTCCAACTCGAGTCGCCACACCTGTAGTGGCGGTGCCTTGCACAACCGCTGTGCCAAAGCGCGCACATTCACCTACACATCCAAGCACGCACAAGCAGACACGTGCCCACGTGGCACCCACCGTTACGGGCAATTGATGTCATGCAAAATGAGCACCGGATAGTAATGCCCAACGTCTCCTTGGCTGCAGTGGAATCCTGTTACCAAGCTGGGTCGCTTGGTGAAGGACATGAAGATCAAGTCCCTGGAGGAGATCTACCTCTTCTCTCTGCCCATCAAGGTATTGGATTGCAAAAATGTAGGGGGGTAACCCCCAGAACATTTTCCTCTCGCCAGCTTGTTGGTGCATTGTCGTGCGACGACTGTGCCCTTTATTAACTTGACATGTTTTGGCTGCCCCGTTGCAGGAGTTTGAGATCATCGACCTGTTCTTGGGCCCGGCTCTGAAGGACGAGGTGCTCAAGATCATGCCCGTGCAGAAGCAGACACGTGCCGGGCAGCGCACCAGGTTCAAGGTGAGTGGTTGTAGCGCTTGTTTGCTGGGGGAGTAAGAGGTTCACTATTAAAACTATTATTTTACCCGGTAAGGCCCATTGAGCTATATGGCTCTTTTTCATAAGTGCCCTGGCCACAAATGATAGCCCAATGAAGTGGATTATCACATGGACATTTATAACAGCTAAATACTCTTAAACGCATTTTTCTAAATGTGGAGGGAAAAAATCAGAGGATCCCGAGAAAAAAAAACCACACGATCACGGGGATAAAATGCCAACTCAGATTTACAGGTGGGAAGGTTGGGATCGAACCATTTTATGGCACAGGGAGTGGAATACAATATAACCAACATAAGTGGGAGGTTGTCAATTCCCGACGATATGGAAATTATCGGTACATAAGATGGTTGTAAAATACATTTTAGTAGGGGTGCAATGGTGCATTGATTCATCGACATTGAGTCTCAAGCTCTCGAGTAGTTCATTTGTGGAAGACTGTTTTTCAATACATTTATAAGTTACACGTTCACCTTGTGACTATTCCACAATGCCAGTGATTGTGGATTTCTTCACCTGAACATCAAGTTACGCGGGTGTGTTGCAGCGACACTGCTCGTGAATGTAATGCTAATGTAAGTGTGTGTTGTCACGATTCCTCCCGCCAGGCGTTTGTTGCGATCGGTGACTACAACGGACACATCGGTCTCGGCGTGAAGTGCTCCAAGGAGGTGGCGACCGCCATCCGCGGCGCCATCATCCTCGCCAAACTCTCCATCGTGCCGGTGCGCCGTGGCTACTGGGGTAACAAGATCAGCAAACCGCACACCGTGCCCTGCAAGGTAAGTCCCCCACCGCAGCATTCCGCCGTCGTGCCCTGCACACCCCGTTTCCACATAAGCCACTTTTTAAATCCTTTACATTAAGTTCGCTTGCTTGCTTACGACCGTGCAAATCTTTCGGTCGTTTTTTAACCCACTTCCCGTGATCCAATCGAGCTGACACTTTCCACACACTCGTTGTGCGTGACAATTAATGTTCGTGAAATTTTTTTTCCAAAATTTTACACTTTATAGGACAAAAATATTATATTTAATTACCAATTGCTTAATGGTGCAATGCAATCATCTGACCCATAGCTGGCAGCCATCTCAAGCCAGCGGACGAGAGGACTCTAGCCGCCACGCATATAAAGGATTTATAGTGAAAAACTTTGTTTTTACGGGTTATACTTGTTTCAGCTATCATTTGTGGCCAGCTAGCTTCTGAAAAATAAGCTAATACCTCCGTGAGTTTTACCTGGTGAGCTAAAAACAAGTAACGTTTTATTTGTCTAATTGTAAGTGATTTGTTTACCTTCCCTATACTTTGCACTCCTATCGTGGTTCATGTTGTTATTGTAATGCTCTGAACCGTAGCTCAATCCTTTGCATTGTACAGTTGTGTGTAGCACGCTGTTAGTTTTCTTGCAATGCCCGAACACCATCACCACTCTCATCGCCTAACAATAGATGACACTAAAACATAGCAAACTGTTAGTTAGCATTGTACTATGTTACGTAGTTTACCGTTATTATTGCATAGTGCCTTATGCAGCACACCTTTTAGCATTCTACAATACCGCATGAAGTCACCACTACTGCCACATTGTCACTGTTCAATGTAGCACGCCGTTGGCATTGTTTAAAGACTCCTATAACACGAGTGGGTCGTCCAATTGCCCTCGAGGCATGGGCGACCACGCATTTGCATGACACCTGACCTTCATCAGTCATTCCCCGTGCTCTGCAACTCACGGGACCTTTTCCAGCCACCAGATTATACTATTTAATGGGAAGCCTCGGATGCAGTGGCTGCCCCCATATACACACAAGGCTCTTTTGATATTTGGAACCAGCTAGTTCTGTGCACTTTTAAATCTAGATTTAAAACTAATTTCCTGAGAACTGCTTTTTCTTTCGTTTGTTGCCCTTACCCTGCACCTCCGATTAGCACGGTTGGCTACGTAGAGTGCGAAAGACGTTCAACATAACACACACGTTATCCCACACCCAGTGTCGCACCTATCCCCACGCCGCTCGAACAGAGAGAGGCCCTTGCGTGCAGAGTGATAAGCCGCTGTTGTGATCGTTCTCGACAGGTCACGGGCCGTTGCGGCTCCGTGCTGGTGCGCCTCATCCCGGCGCCTCGCGGTACTGGCATCGTGTCGGCCCCTGTGCCCAAGAAGCTGCTGACCATGGCCGGCATTGACGACTGCTACACGTCGGCACGCGGATGCACCGCCACGCTGGGAAACTTTGGTAAACGCTCTTGCCGACGCAGAGACTTAAGGCCGCTGTTGCACTATAGTTCGTCTTGCTGATTGTGCCGTTGGGTATTGGTCTGGTTATTTTGCTAATTATTTGTTTAAAGGGGCACAGCGGTGGTGCAGTAGTTTGTGCCCTGCATTGAGGTTGGAAAGCTTAATAGCAAGCTATGCTCAATATAACAGCATTTGCTCTCACATCCTGTGTCGTCTAACCCACCGTACTGCTTGCATCCACAGCCAAGGCTACGTTTGACGCCATCTCAAAGACGTACAGCTACCTGACTCCGGACCTCTGGAAGGAGACTGTGTTCATCAAGTCTCCTTACCAGGTACCTGGCGGGGAAGTGGACGAGAATTGTTCTGGAATCACGCCATATAAATGCTTTCCTCTTCAGCGAGCGCGCATATTATTTATACCGCGCTTTCCATGAAATACATCTCCATATCCTGGAGCAAATACAACATCCATACAAAGAGTAATAATATACACGACAGATGAGAATAAAACAAGCTATTGTGTTATTTTTTTTAATCCTTTATATTAAGTTAACTTGCTTGCGTGCTTGCTTGCTTAGGACCGTGCAAATCTTTCGGTCGTTTTTTAACCCACTTCCTGTGATCCAATCGAGCTGACATTTTGCACAGACTCGTTGTGCGAGACAATATGTTCGTGAAAAATAATTTCCAAAATTTTACACTTTAGGGAATTTTTTAAAAATATTTAATTACCAATTGCTTAATGGTGGCAGACAATCATCTGACCCATAGGTGGCAGCCATCTCAAGCCAGAGGACGAGAGGACTCTAGCCACCCTGATGCCACGCATATAAAGGATTTATAGTGAAAAACTTAGTTTTTACGGGTTAATTTTATACCCACTTCATTTGAGTTGTATGCCTGCTGTGAAGAGTCGGTAATTAATCCATCTCCCCCCTCCCCCCCCCTTGTGACTATTCCCTCTGCAGGAGTACAGCGACCACTTGGCCAAGAACCACACGAGAGTGGCCGTGGCCAAGCCCACAGCGTAAAACGCTGCTTCTCAGGGAAGCTGCACGGATTGCTCTGCGTTGTTGTGGTCACAGTCAATAAAACCACCCAAGGAAAAAAGCTTTTGAATCTTCGTGCACTTAATTCCGTCGTGTGTGCGTATGTGATGGGTGGTGTATATATATTCAGGCAGTCGCAGAAGCATATTTTAACATCTTTATTAGACTGTACAGAGGTGGCGGGCTTGGCTTGCTTTGGCCGCTGCCATCTGCGCCAGCGAGAAAGACGCTTAAAGGATCAGAAACAGCTCTGTTATTGCTGCCACTCCACTACTCATTTTCAGCTGCCTGCCGCCTCTCCTTGATCATGCGATGCTTCTGCTTCATCAGGCATCGCCGTGAATTCCCCAGAACGCCCAGGTCGCCATCTGTGCACGTCGCGCAACAAAAAAAATAGCTAGTCACCCACCTGCAATTAAACAGTGTTGTATTTGAAGATGTCTGGCCTGGTGGCCCAGCAAAAGAGCGATCAGACACTCCCAATCAGAAGGGTACAAGTTGAAATCCTGGTGAGAGGTTGATAAAACGAGGAACGCTTGAACTGTGGTGGTTGAAACTTACCCCTGAGGAAAGTTATCCTGCCACTGGCCCAGGGTAAACACGTTCTTTTGGAGTGGGCAGGTAGGAACTTGGTTGGACAGCGAGGCGTTTGGGGAGGGGGGCAGTTGGATGAGTGGGCATGTTTACCCCCCCACCCTCCCCGACATCGTCAACCAATCGCGGCCTTGTTCAGTGGGGAGGTGCATGGGTGTGCGGAATTCCGGATATGCACGACAGACGGACAAATAATCCCTGGTGGGCAGTGTGGAACCTGTTGTTCCTACCTGTATAAAAAGATTACCTCTGCCAAAATTCTCATTTGAGCAGGAAATCACTAACTTTGCGAACCTTACCAGGTGCTCGCAGTACTGTCCTTCACAGACGAGGCTGTACAGACAGGTCTTGGTATGATCAAGTCTGTTAGACGAGTGATTTCAGCCTAATTTTGTATACCGCTTAAATATATACCTAATGGCCATATGCCTTGGTTTACAGTTGCTGAGATACTGTTGTTGCATCCAGTTATTGAACTGCACAACATTTTTTTATTCTGTTATCAAATTTGCCAAAAGTTCAGCTCTGGCAATTAACACATTCCTGTGGAGGGAGCTGGTAGAAGGTTGGGTTGCTCGGTCAATGGCCAGGGTCAACGGCAGTGTGATGTATTCTGCAAATATGCCCGACTGAGGGCGGGCACAAGCCAGTGTGAGTAGGTTAAACGTTGAGTTTTATAAGGGCACCACGGGGTGACCAGCCCCTCCCCACCCAGCCACTCCCTGCACGACGGACGGACACAATAATCCCCTGTGGGCTGGTGGTTCCTACCAGTAAAATATTGACGTGTTGAATATGTACTCTCGGCAGAGTGGGTGCTGACCACTGCTGTGGACTAGATGTCACTTCCAGGGATTTCAGAAGTAGCTGTGGTTTCACATTGCCACCCATGCCAGAGATCCAAATGAATATTTCTGGGGTAAATCGCACAATCTATGTTATGTTGCCATTTACACTGGTGTAAATTATTATAAACTCACTCATGAATAACTCGAAGTGCTAGATTAGTGTATTTTTGCAGCATAACGTTTGCATGGTTCATTATGCATAGAAACTTAGCCGTGGATCAAGTCAATTGCGGAGCTGTCCTGCCACCTCCCAATAGGCCGAGCTGGCAAAGGGGTCGTCCGGGAGATTCCCCCCCACTCTGCCAGGTGCAACGAACTGGTACAGCACTCACAACGCGATTCGAAGGCGGTGTTCACTTCCTTGTACTTCCGCATTTCCTCCAAGCAGTTCTGCTGGTGGTTCTCTCCCTCGCGAGTGACGCACGCCTGCATACGCTCCTGCATGATTTTCACAACCTCTCGGTCCACTTTCCTGCGGGGGCGGTAGCAAAGAGGACCAGGTGAAGGTTTATTGGTGATGGAAAACCAGTGCATGCGAGCTATCCTATACCGAGCCCTGTAAATAGTCAACAACGGAATGGTTTGTTAAATTATCCGCACGGAATACCATTGAATAACATCCGTGTCCCCCGCCTAGGCACTGCCTAGGGCCTACAAGAAAAATGTTTGACCATGTGTATGATAAAAATGTTTACCAAGATATCTTATTGAATACATCTATTTGTATAAAAGTGATAGGCACATTGTGTCAAATTAACATGTGTTTATCTGCGGCACACAGCACGCTTCAATCGAATTAGGGCACAGACTAAATAATGAGCGTGTCGATAACATCTGTCCAGTGGCTGGACGAAGCACGCGCGAAACAAGTGGAGTGATAGCGGCCATAGTAACTTTTGGAAAGTTATCACTGAAAGGCCTACAAGAATCCATAGAGGTTTTTGGACGAGATGGCGTAAATATAAACGTGTTAAACCCGTCATCACCCGACAGCCAATTAGTAAGGTTTGTCACGTAAACAAAACATGAAAAACATGAAAATGCGTTACTCGTACAGCACACCGGTGTGTTGGAGAGTAAACCCACAACATGCATTCGATTACGACGTTTCGCCAATAATTACAACGAGCATCAGGCGGACAGCCAGATTTGTGGGGAAATCCTCCTGTTTCGGTCTTGAGTAGAGGGATACATTGTGATGTTGTTACTTTCGAGCCAAGCGTGTTCATCTAGCCTACAAGAACCTTAATCCGGCCCTGGATAGTGGTGGGGGGGGGGGGGGGGTGCAACTCCAATGTGCAAACGTTACGCACAGGTCACGCTTCCACTGGCGGTCAGCCTCGTAGTTGCACAGCAGGTCCCCGACAGTGCACTCGGTGAGCATGGGCACGCGGCGGTACTGGCGGTGGTAGTAGACGTGGTTGTTCTTCTGCTGCTGGCGCTCCACCCACTCTGCGTTGGCAAGAGAGCGAGAGAGACGGGCAGATGCGCACACACAGCCAGGCACGGACACACACACAGCCAGGCACGGACACACACACAGCCAGGCACAGACACACACACACACAGCCAGGCACGGACACACACACACACAGCCAGGCACGGACACACACACACACAGCCAGGCACGGACACACACACACACAGCCAGGCACGGACACACACACACACAGCCAGGCACGGACACACACACAGCCAGGCACGGACACACACACACAGCCAGGTACGGACACACAGCCACGATGTGGCTGAATTAAATCTGAATATACTGGCGGAATCCGATGAGCTATAAAGCTCTTTTTCACAGATGCCCAGTAGGGACACAAGGTAAGAACGTTACAACAACAATCAGTACAGAAACATGGCAGTGCAGAGTATAAGAAAGGTCAACAAATCACTCAAAACAAGATCAGGTCAACCGTAACGAATACTTACGGTCATGATGGATTCGTCGCGTTGCGCGCATCAAGATTTGTTTTGCAATTTGTACAAATGGAACAATGGAATAAACGCCTCATTCGAGACCCAAACATCGCACCTGCTTGGCTTTTGACATTCCTCAAAGGGCACTGGTGTAGTAACCATCAATTGCATCAGAACAACACGCCCGTGCACACATCTTCGTGAATGGGAACACACAAGGACGAGCCAGAGAAGGGCGACCGTGGCCGCGCAATCCAAACTATGGACCCCAAAAGTAAAATCCAATGCGGTCTGCGCTTCTTTAACGAAGGACGAACAGCAAGACGACACGAACTCTCTCTCTCTGTGTGTCCTGAAGTCCTCCCCCTGTTACTGACCCAGACCTCAACGTTGGCGTTTTAGCTCCCGGACGTATCGCCGAACGCAAGAATAGAAGAGAATTGATCAATGGAATTGGAACGAGACAGAACGGCGCAATACACGGTGCGGTTTGTGCCAAATCATTGACTGACCAACGTGGCGATTTGGGGTAAAATTATTCGCTAGGCGTGGGAAGGCCTTCATCCACCAGTGGGTTGACTAAAACTCACGTGCAAAGAACAAACACCGCACAATACAAGCTACTGTGGTCATTAATCCAGTAGACATGATCTTACAAAGATAAAGAGCCCCCGTATAGCCTTCACCGATTGTTGGGCCAAGTGCTGCTATGAAGGCCGGCACGGCACACGAGGGGGCGGGTGGCCAGCACCACGGCCGGCCGCCTTTGTCTCCCCGGTGGCGATGTTTACTACGCACCCCACCGAGGTGCTCATTCGAGGCCGAGTCGACCTAGGGGAGGGTCAGGACAGGTTAAGATATTCGCCACCGGTGTTGGCCGTGTGCGGGAATCGAACTCGTGTTCCCGTGTGGCACGATCTTGCACTCACACAAAGATCCACTCTGTAGACTACACACAGTTGGGACACTGATACACAAGCTACATATTTACATATTAAGGTTACTAATGGACATTAACCTCGGATAAATAAAATATTTTGATTCTGAACCTTCAATCGAGAGATGCATACCGAACTTACAGCTGTGGATGGTGGAACCCCGCATACAAAACACACACAGAGCACACACCCTACACAGCACACACACACACAGCATGTACCCCATAGCCTACACAGCACACACACTACACAGCACACGCACACACAGCACACACAGCATGTACCCCATAGCCTACACAGCACACACACACTACACAGCACACATACACATAGCACACACATCATGTACTCCATAGCCTACACAGCACACACACTACACAGCACACGCACACACAGCACACACACATCACACACACAGCACACATACACACAGCATGTACTCCATAGCCTACACAGCACACACACACTGTACAGTACACACGATGTACAGCACACACGCTGTATAGTACACACCCAATGTACAGTACACACACACTGTACAGTACACACCCAATGTACAGCACACACACACTGTACAGTACACACCCAATGCACAGCACACACACACTGTACAGTACACACCCAATGTACAGCACACACACACTGTACAGTACACACCCAATGCACAGTACACACCCAATGTACAGTACACACACACTGTACAGTACACACCCAATGCACAGTACACACACTGTATAGCACACACACTGTACAGTACACAATCTGTACAGTACACACACATGCACCACCCATCCCCGCGTGACTTCAGCTCATCCTGCTCGGCTCGAGCTCTCGCGTGCGGCTGTGAATGGCGCTACCCCCGCATCACACACACACGTGCACACACACAGCAGCACATCGTGTACACAGAGGCGTGCACCACCACTCCCCGCGTCACTTCAGCTCGTCCTGCTTGGCCAGACAGCTTGTGGCGTGGTGTGTGTGGCGTGTGTGGCGTGTGTGTGTTTGTGGTGTAGGGTGTGTGTGGTGTAGGGTGTGTGTGGTGTTTGTGTGTGTGGTGTTTGTGTGTGTGGTGTTTGTGTGTGTGGTGTTTGTGTGTGTGGTGTTTGTGTGTGTGGTGTGTGGTGTGTGTGGTGTTTGTGTGTGTGGTGTGTGTGTGTGGTGTGTGTGTGTGGCGTGTGTGTGTGGCGTGTGTGTGTGGCGTGGCGTGTGTGCGTGGCGTGTGTGGTGTGTGTGTGTGTGGCGTGTGTGTGTGTGTGGTGTGTGTGTGGTGTGTGTGTGTGGCGTGTGTGTGTGTGGTGTGTGTGTGGTGTGGTGTGTGTGTGGTGTGGTGTGTGTGTGTGTGTGTGTGGTGTGTGTGTGTGTGTGTGGTGGTGTGTGTGGTGTGTGTGGTGTGGTGTGTGGTGGTGTGTGTGTGGTGTGTGTGTGGTGTGTGTGTGTGTGGTGTGTGTGGTGTGTGTGTGTGTGTAGTGTGTGTGTGTGGTGTGTGTGTGTGGTGTGTGTGTGGTGTGTGTGTGGCGTGTGTGTGTGTGGTGTGTGTGTGTGTGTGTGTGGTGTGTGTGTGGTGTGTGTGTGTGTGGTGTGTGTGTGGTGTGTGTGTGTGTGGTGTGTGTGTGGTGTGTGTGTGGTGTGTGTGTGGTGTGTGTGTGTGGTGTGTGTGTGTGTGGTGTGTGTGTGTGTGGTGTGTGTGTGGTGTGTGTGTGTGGTGTGTGTGGTGTGTGTGTGTGGTGTGTGTGTGTGTGTGTGTGGTGTGTGTGTGTGGTGTGTGTGTGCGTGGTGTGTGTGTGTGGTGTGGTGTGTGTGGTGTGTGTGTGTGTGTGTGTGTGTGTGGTGTGTGTGTGTGGTGTGTGTGTGTGTGGCGTGTGTGTGTGTGGTGTGTGTGTGGTGTGTGTGTGTGGTGTGTGTGTGTGTGGTGTGTGTGTGTGTGGTGTGTGTGTGTGTGTGTGTGTGTGTGTGTGTGTGGTGTGTGTGGTGTGTGGTGTGTGTGTGGTGTGTGTGTGTGGTGTGTGTGTGTGGTGTGTGTGTGTGGCGTGTGTGTGGTGGTGTGTGGTGTGTGTGTGTGGGTGTGTGTGTGTGGTGTGTGTGTGGTGTGTGTGTGGTGTGTGTGTGTGTGGTGTGTGTGTGGCGTGTGTGTGTGGTGTAGTGTGGTGTGTGTGTGCGTGTGTGTGTGTGTGTGGCGTGTGTGTGCGTGGTGTGTGTGTGTGGGTGTGTGTGGTGTGTGTGTGTGTGTGTGGTGGTGTGTGTGTGGTGTGTGTGTGGTGTGTGTGTGGTGTGTGTGTGGGGTGTGTGGTGTATGTGGCGTGTGTGTGCGTGGTGTGTGTGTGTGGTGTGTGTGTGTGGTGTGTGTGTGTGTGTGTGGTGTGTGTGTGGTGTGTGTGTGGTGTGTGTGTGGTGTGTGTGTGCGTGGTGTGTGTGTGGTGTGTGTGTGTGGTGTGTGTGCCACCACCAAGGTGACTGCGAATGTCGCTACCCCGCAAGGTCGTGACGGGGAGGTCGATGGCGAGGTGGTAGAGCTGGGCCACGATTAGTCCCGGGTCGGGCAGCGTGGTGCTCCTCTCTACCGCCGGAGTGCGGCTCGGGGCCTCCGGGTAGACGTCCTTGTCCACCCCTTCAGGCATGGCGAGGGTCGAGGAGACGACGGCGATGAGAGACGGAGAGAGACGCAGAAGCGCTGCGGAGGATCTTGTGGTGAAGCTGTGAGAGCGACAGACGCCCTGAGGGCTGCTGAACGCGCGTGCGTGAAGTCGCCCGTGTGGGTGTTTCTGCCCCCAGGGCGAGTGGTGAGTTGAAATGTGCCGTGCTTGAGTTGGAGGGGCTGTTAGTGGGGGGGAGCGGTGGCGCAGCGGTTAGCGCGCTACGGACCCCACGAGCTGAGTTCGATATTCACAGTTGAACACGTGGGCAGGCTTTAGTGACCAATATCGTCCATAAAAGAGATTGTTTTTTTGGGGGGTTAGATCGCGTAAATATATAAATGTTGTGTCGTTAAACCCGCCACCACCCGACACAGCCAACTAGTGAGGGTTGTCACGTAAACAGAACGTGGCCAATTCGTTACTAGTACAGCACTAGTGTGTAGTCAAGTGTAGTGTATAGTGGTGTATAGTGTAGTGTATAGCAGAGGTGGGACAAAGTCATTGTTATGCAAGTCCAAGTCGAGTCTGAAGTCATCAAATTCATGACTCGAGTCTGACTCGAGTCCAAGTCACATGACTCGAGTCCACACCTCTGGTGTATAGTGTAGTGTATAGTAATATAGTGTAGTGTATAGTGTATAGTAGTGTATAGTGTAGTGTATAGTGAAGTGTGTAGTAGTGTATAGTGTATTGTATAGTAGTATATTGTAGTGTATAGTGTAGTGTATAGTAGTGTATAGTGTGGTGTATAGTAGTGTAGTGTATAGTGAAGTGTGTAGTAGTGTATAGCAGAGGTGGGACAAAGTCATTGTTATGCAAGTCCAAGTCGAGTCTGAAGTCATCAAATTCATGACTCGAGTCTGACTCGAGTCCAAGTCACATGACTCGAGTCCACACCTCAGAGGTGGGACAAAGTCATTGTTATGCAAGTCCAAGTCGAGTCTGAAGTCATCAAATTCATGACTCGAGTCTGACTCGAGTCCAAGTCACATGACTCGAGTCCACACCTCTGGTGTATAGTGTATTGTATAGTAGTATAATGTAGTGTATAGTGTAGTGTATAGTAGTGTATAGTGTAGTGTATAGTAGTGTGTAGTGTATAGTAGTGTATAGTGTAGTGTATAGTAGTGTATAGTGTAGTGTATAGTGTAGTGTATAGTGTAGTGTATAGTAGTGTATAGTGTAGTGTATAGTGTAGTGTATAGTAGTGGAGTGTATCGTAGTGTCGTGTATAGTGGAGTGTATAGTAGTATAGTGTATAGTAGTATAATGTAGTGTATAGTGTAGTGTATAGTAGTGTAGTGTATAGTAGTATCGTGTATAGTGTAGTGTATAGTAGTATAGTGTAGTGTATAGTGGAGTGTATTGTAGTGTCGTGTATAGTGTAGTGTATAATAGTGTATAGTGTAGTGTATAGTGTAGTATACTAGTACAGCACACCGCTGTGTTGGAGAGCCAAGCCACAACATTAGCAATCTGAGTACGACGTTTTGCCAGTAATTACAACCAGCTTCATCAGGCGGCAGCCAGATTTGTGGGCTTGTCTTGAATGTCCAGTTGTCCTGTGACCCCCATTTAATTCTCTAAAAGGTAATAATTTTGTATATTCTTCTCCAGAAAAAAAATCCTTGAAGTGGCCTCATGTGCTCTGAAGATGGGCCATTGCCCGAAACGTCGCCTATCATACAGGCTTCCATTTAAGGCGGCAGTGTTATTAACCGATGTTGAAGATATTGGTTATAATTTAACACGGCAGGGGGCGCAATTTCCCACACTAAACTTAAGCCAAACCAAGACTAAACGAATGTAATTATTGTTTTTTTTTGTGCAGTCGTTTGTGGGCTGAGTAAGTTTACAAATATACAGGTAGGAACAACGTTCCACACTGCCCACCAGGGATTATTTGTCTGTCTGACTGTCTGTCGTGCATTAATAAATATATAATATAAACAGCTCTTTGATTGGTGGAGACCTACTGCCGGGTACGGAGAGGGGAGGGGCCTAAGGAAGGGCGGAGTCAGGAGAGGGGCCTGAGGGGGGGGGGGGGATCAGAGGAGGGGCCTAAGGAAGGGGGGGGGGGGTCAGGGGAGGGGCCTAAGGGGGGAGGGGCCTAAGGGAGGGGGGTAAGGGGAGGTGCCTAAGCAAGGAGGAGGGGCCGATAGTTAAGAGGGCTGGCTACCTGGCTGGCTGCCTGGCTACCTCAAGTCAAGTTATCTTTTATACAGGTAGAGGAACAACAGGTTCCACACTGCCCACCAGGGATTATGTGTCTGTCTGTCGTGCACGAATGCGCTGTCCAACCAAGTTCCTACCTGCCCACTCCGAAGGAAAGTGTAACAATGCTCTTTGGTTCTTTCGGTAAAGTGACTTTACCCACCTGATAACGGACGCTTGTGTTGCGCCCGAAACGTCGCGATTTATTTTCTACCCACGTGACTTTACCGAGAGAACCAAAGAGTATGGATTTCTGCAGTCACGAAAGCTTCAAATCAAAATAGAACAATGCTTTCATGATCCTGCCCATTTCCACACATAGCACGTGACGAGTGTTTGGCAACGACTGCAGGATTGTGGAGCGGTTTGGTGCGGAGCACTCCGTGACATGAGTTCGATTCCTGCCCACGGATAACTCGTCATTGGAGAGTGATGTCCGAACCGGCCGCGAACATAAACCACCACGCCAACTCCGGCCATCATCGCAGAATTTTTTGGCGAGCCGTCGAACAAAGACGGTCACTGCATTGCTCAACTTTCGGATGCGCTTCTTCGCCCGTTTAGAACGCTTTCCATTCCGATATTAGGAATCCACTGGAGCTATGCACTTTTAAATCTAGATTGAAAACTCGTTTTTTTTTTAAAAACAGTTTTTGTACCATTGGAACCTCATTTGCCAGTAACAAAATATGATAATTGGGTTTTTACCCTTTTATCTGGCAACAAAACTGACACCTTTTTTACAAGGAGTCATGTTTGCAGGGATTCATCTTCTTGGTTCTTTCGGTAAAGTCACGTAGAAGGGAAATAATAAAATAAAACAAAATAAAACATAATAAAATAATTATCACGACGTTTCGGCCACAACGCAAGCAGCCGTGCCATTCAGACGCTGTCTTTCCGACAGACCTGTTCTTCACCTGAGGACGGCTGCTTGCGTTGTGGCCGAAACGTCGTGAGAATTATTTATAATGTTTTATTTTTATTATTTTCCTTCTACGTGACTAAACCGAAAGAACCAAGAAGATGATAGCTTAAATTCTCTAATGATTGTTTTGTTTCCAGAAGCTGTCACTTTGGTATGAAACAAAGACCCAATTTAACAAATCACGACTCGTTTCACTTGCGCAGTTGTGTGCCAAAACAATTTTCCTTTATTAAGAGCGAGCGATGGTATTTGGTAAAACCGATTTTAAGTTCATAATCAGATTTACAAGGAGACGCAAGTGCCAGCATGGCTTGAAACCACAGCCTCATACAGACGTCGAAATAAAATAAAATCCACCCCCCAGCCACAGTGAGAAGTGTCAAATAAAATTAAGTGATTAAGTGTTGAACACTACTGTACAATCTGTGTGTGTGTAAGGTTTTCGTGTCTTAAACACCACCGATATACAATAGGGGGAAATGGAAAAGCACGCTGGGGATTTTGTGAACCGATGTACTCTCGTGCCTGTGGGCACGGTTTTACAAGTCCCTGGCTGAAACATATTTGAAAAAATCCAACAATTAGCACGAGAAACCTTTTATTAGAGCTTACTTTTTTTCAAGTCTTTCTATCCATCCAGAATATTAAAAATGTAAAACATGCAACATTTCTCCAGCAAATAATATAATTCCTAAATTTCTAAATCCGCTCTGTTAAATGTCTATCTACCCTTAGTGTTTCATCGCATCATTACCCCAACAGGTTAATACACGAATTCGTTTTCAAATTAAGAAAGAGCTAAAGTTTGAACGGCAAAGGTGGAGCCCTGCAATTTTTTGCTCACGCCACTGTTAGTGGAAGGGTCTTCACAAGATGGAGCTCTAGCGAGCCCCTCCAGTGAGTATTTGGGCCTAAGTGCCGGATTATCCTCGTCGCAAAAGTAGCTACAGATGCTACGGGACCCGCACTTTCAAAGGCCCTGCACTAAATGCTTTCAAGCTGTCAATTCCGGTTAAGTGATTCTGCACTTGCTCTATTACGATAGTACTATACCGCCTTCAACTTTTATGAACGACCGGATGTTTAAGGCTAGCGATTTGTCGCATTATCTGGCTGTATAGCAAATGAAAAATACAATTACTTTACTATGCAAGTAAAAAAATCTGTGTTTTAATATTTACGTGTTTTTTTAATTTAGGGCCCCTTTATAACATATGCTACAGGCCCCGCACTTGCTTAGTCCGGCACTGTTTGGCCTACTCTTCCACGCTGGCCAGCCGTCTTGGAAGAGGTGGGAGTACGCACACTTTTTTGCATTGCTCGGTGGATAGAGGCCAGGGGAGCGATTTAAACAACTTGCCCCATTGTTTTAACTGCCGTGGAGATTGAACCCATCGACCGCTGGATTGCAAGTCCAGCATTGTGCTACGAACCATTTCACCACGGCAGCACCCTAACATTTTAAAGAAATGCAAAAAGCGAGAGGTGCGAGCAGTCAAACTGTTTGCAGAATTATTTCATTAGAATTGAGGGAGGGGGGGAGGCTAATGGAAATTAAACCACAACGCGACCAAAAAAATTACCCTATTCTGCTCTCAAGAGGTTGCAAACTAAAAAGAAAAAACAGATCCACCCGAAGGAGGTAGCTTATTTTTCTGAGACATTTCAGGTCAAACAGCCTCACAAGGGCCGTGATGTGGCCGAGCCGTTGCTGAGGTCCGTGGTTCGAACCAAGTGGCCGCCCTAGTTAATACTGCAGGTATCAACCATAAAATACTTCACAATGGACGTTACAAGACCATGTGGTGACGTTATTTCAACATTTTTAAAAGAATGGGGCCACGTGTGCCGACGTCACGGGCTAAATTTGAGGAATAACCAGAAAATTACATAATTGGGTAAAACCATACAGAAATATTGTACCCTACCGGTTTAACCATATCCATCTGTGAACATAGCACCTTTGTGGTAGCCTTGTGCTATTGGAATGGTGCAAATGCCGAGTGTACTAAACTATCTTCTTGGTTCTTTCGGTTCAGTCACGTAGAAGGGAAATAATAAAATAGTATTAATAAAACATAATCAAATCCAATTCTCACGACGTTTGTATTTTATTATGTTTATTATTATTTTATTATTTCCCTTCTACGTGACTTTACCGAAAGAACCAAGAAGATGAATCCCTGCAGTCACGAAAGCTTTCAAATGTACTAAACTACTAATATATACGGAGACCGCTTTCATTCTTTGACGTGAGAAGGGCTGCGACTCCTCCGTCCTCCTCACGAAGCGTTTTCTGGAGCCGTCATCGGCTGCAGGTAGAACGTCGAGGTGCGTCGCTGCGGTACGTCCTTGCTGACGCTCCTCCTGAAGATGCTCTTCATCATCTTGAGGATGGACAGGCGCCGCTTGGAGCCCGGCTGCTCTTCTGTCTGCCGCTGCTCGTCAGTCATCCCCCGCCGCCGATGACGGAGGCGCCAGTCCCCTCCTTCTCCTTCTCCACAGCCACCTCATCCTTCTTCGCCTTGCCGCCCTCTTCTTCCTGCTCGGCGTGGGGAGGCTCCTCATCATCATCATCCTCCTCCTCATCATCAAAATGCTCGCCGGCGACGGTACTGAGGTCGTACGTGGAGCGCGACTTGAAGAGGCCGTCCTCCTGGGCGGCGAGCGGGCCGTACGAGAGCGTCGCCCGTCGCTTGAGCGCGAAGGCGCTCTCCTCGATGGCGCTGCGTGCAGGCGCCGCCTCGCCCCTCTCCTTGTCCCCCTCGAACAGCAGGCACGAGTCCACCTTGTGGCGAGCGACGTGGTCGGGGAGGTTCACCTTGCGCAGCGCCGCTTTGCAGATCTCGCGGTCGGCACCCTCCGGGGCGACCGCGTTGGCCGGCGACAGCGGAGGCTGGACGTCCTGCTCGCGGGATTTGGCCGCGTCGTTGCCCTGGACGCTGCGGCTCGGCTGCTGGGCCAGAAGCTGGGAGTTGCGAAGCAGCCGGGAGTCTGGGCTGCCGCCGGGCCCGCCGGGGCCCCCGCCGCCCTCGCTGCGGGCCACGGGCGACGTCGGCGGTGGCGGCTCGAGGGGGGTGGCCGGAGAGCGGTGGCCTTGCTTCACGAGCGCGTACAGCGGGTTCACGGGCGGCGTGAAGAGCTTCGGCAATGCCTGCGTGGGGTTTTTGGGCGGGGAAAAAAATGTGTCTGTTGTGAAAATAGGTTTTTTTTTCGACATTTTTGTAAAATTGTACAATTAAAAAAAATATTTTATTTACCAAGTAAAGTCTAATAAGATATACAGCTTTATTTAGATGCGACTTGGCCACAAATGAAAGCTCAACGAAGCGGCTTATTGTCACACGGACATTTATAGCGGACAAATACTCTGAGCACACGTTGATTCTAAATGTGGAGGGGAAAACTGGAGGACCCAGAGAAAAATCCACCCAGCCACAGAGAGCGAGAGAGACATGCAAACTCCAAATATACAGCAGACGTCAGGGTCGGGATTGAACCCACGACCTGCTCCATACGAGGAGGTTGTACCACTTCGTGGGAAAGTAGACAGTGGCTGCTCTATGGATATACTCGCCCCCACCCCCCCACCATAGGAACGTGGAATTGTCAACACCCCTCAAGGTTGTAAACAGGAGATAAGCACTGCCAGAACAACTCAACTGAACAGAAAAGCACCCTGACTTTGAGTGTGTGGATCTTAATAGGTGCTTGCCAACAGCACAGTCCTCAACGAACGAGGCTATACCCGTGGGTCTTAGTATGATCGTGTGTGCTAGACTAAGTGACATTGTCTTACAGTAATGCTCATTTCACATGCATAGCTCTTTAAAAAAAGCATTTAAATTTGAGAGAACACTTGAAGACGTGGCGGAGAAAATGTGATGAAAACAGCACTGCAAGATGCCTCTGTCGCTTTCTAGGAGCTCACTCACAAAAGGACAGATTTGAGCCCGTATTTGGGCCTGGTCCAAAACGTGTACAGAGCAACTTTTACCATCGTTTCTCACCCCTGGCCGGCGTTTCCCCGCCACAGGGGAATGTCTTGCAGTGATATTTTCATGACAGAGTCAGAATCTTTATTTAGACTGGTGGAGGAACCCGATGAGCTGTGAAGCTCTTTTCCACAGATGTCCAGTAGGGGCACGGGGTCGGCGAGTTACATCAACAAACAACTACTACTATATTTTGCCACTGGTAAAGGAGGTCTCATAGTGTAAATGCTTCACCCCGAGCTCTCAATACTCTGAGAGTGCACTGTTTTTGAGTTGTATGCCTTTTGGCGTCATCTGGTCCAACACCAATGGAGACTAGGCTCTAAGAAAAGCTGTCTCTGGTGTGGACCAATCAACTTCAAGGACAGTGCATATTATTATCATTATCAGAGTTGTTTCTTTTTGTTTGCATTTTGACTACTTGTGTTGTGGTTATTGCAAACATGATGCCTTGTATAAAGGTGTCAGTTTTTGTACCAGTTTAAAGGGTAAAAACCTACTACTATATTTTGCCACTGGTAAAGGAGGTCTCATAGTGTAAGAGCAAGATAGGGAAGAGGTAAGCAAGCCCTTTATATAATAAATAAATATATAAAGCCTACAAGTACAAATTGCACAAGTACATGAATTCATGACGATTTGTCAACACCAAATGCAATCTTGGGGGTCGAGGCAGCAAAACAACAACAAGTCCCAGGCCGCACCGAGACAAACACCACCACGCTACAGTCCCTCGATTACGCCGCACATTCAAATGTCACCGTCGATAACCATGGGTAACTCTCGATTTAAAGCTTTCGTGACTGCGGGGATTCGTCTTCTTGGTTCTTTCGGTAAAGTCACGTAGAATGGAATAATAAAATAATAAAAATAAAACATAATAAAATAATTCTCACGACGTTTCGGCCACAACAACGCAAGCAGCCGTCCTCAGGTGGAGAGCAGGTCTGTCGAGTAGACAGAGTCTGAATGAAGAACAGGTCTGTCGAGAAGACAGAGTCTGAATGACTATCTTCTCGACAGACCTGTTCTTCACCTGAGGACGGCTGCTTGCGTTGTGGCCGAAACGTCGTGAGAATGATTTTATCATGTTTTATTTTTATTAGTTTATTATTCCATTCTACGTGACTTTACCGAAAGAACCAAGAACATGGGTAACTCGTCGACAACTCCGACGCGTCACCTGCAGGCCGGCCTTCGAGGTGGCCTGCAGCGCCGGTTCCTGCGGCTGTGCGGTGGCGGCCTGTGCCCTCGCGGCCGGCGAAGGGGAGAAGCTGAATATCGGCAGCTGGAGAGGCGGGCGAGCGACCGCCGGCGCCCCTGGCTGCTGCTGCTGCTTCTCCTGGAGGGGTTTGGACTGCGCGTAGAGGAATCTGAACTCCATGTCGAACGTCTCCACCACCTGGCCGGACAGCGCCGTGACGATGTGTCTGTCCATCCGCGATGCCCACCACGTGAAACTTGACGACATGAGAGGGTAGTAAAACAAGACAGCGGATGAGTGAATCAGAAATCAGGAGTTTATTTCCTCCCCCTCCGAGGAAAGACAGCTGAGCTGAGCTGAGAAGCTCTCTTTCAGGACAACAGCAAAGCATTCCAAAATTACGGATTATAAAGAAACCAACTTAAATTTCGATTGAAAGCTTTCGTGACTGCAGGGATTTATCTTCTTGGTTCTTTCGAAATAGTCACGTAGAATGGAAATAATACAATATTAAAAATAAAACATAATAAAATAATTCTCACGACGTTTCGGCCACAACGCAAGCAGCCGTCCTCAGGTGGAGAACAGGTCTGTCGAGAAGACAGCGTCTGAACTCTGTCTTCTGAACTCTGTCTTCTCGACAGACCTGTTCTCCACCTGAGGACGGCTGCTTGCATTGTGGCCGAAACGTCGTGAGAATTATTTTAGTATGTTTAATTTTTATTATTTTATTATTTCCATTCTACGTGACTTTACCGAAAGAACCAAGAAGATGAAACCAACTTAATGAGAGCAATTATATTGTTAAAATTACATTGATACTTCAACTTTAGGGATTATAATAGTCGGTTGAAGTCAGGACAGAGATCGCTGAATGGAGATGCCAAGGAGATGGAATTAGGTGGTTCCAAAATTTTGGGGCAGCAGCTACGTTTGGTAGGGGCTTTTGTTCGGGGATGTGTGGCCATTCTAGGTGGCCGTGTCGCTCAGAAATCAGTGGCGTTGGCTGCACCTGTAGGTATGAGGATGATGATGGTGTGTGTGTACATGCTTGTGGGGAGCTGGGGGAAGCGGTGGTGTAGTGGTTAGCGCGCTGCGCTATGAACCTGGTGACCCAGGTTCGATTCCCGCTCACGGCCAACACCAGTGACGATTATCTGAGCTGATCCTGGGCCTCCCCTAGGTCGACTCAGCCTGACACGAGTACCTGGTGCGGTGTGTAAACATCGCCACTGGGGAGACAAAGGCGGTCGGGCGTGGTGCTGGCCACCCACCCTCTCGTGTACCGTTCTGGCCTTCATAGGTGCTCGCTAACAGCACTTGCCCCTACAGTCTGAGGCTATACGGGAGATCTTTGTCTTTATCTTTGTAGGGAGCAGTAGCGTAGTCATTAGCGCGCTGCGCTATGAACCTGACGACCCGTGTTCGATTCCCACTCACGGCCAACACTAGTGATAATTATCAGAACCGGTCTTGGCCTCTCCTAGGTCGACTCAGCCTCATATGAGTACCTGGTGCGGTGTGTAAACATCGCCACTGAGGAGACAAAGGCGGCCAGGCGTGGTGCTGGCCACCCAAACCCTCGTGTGCCGTGCCGCCCTTCATGAGAGTTACTCGCTAACAGAACTTGCCCCAACAGTCTGGTGAGGCTATACGGGGGGATCTTTGTCTTTGTGCTCATGAAAAACTTCCCACAATTGTGTGGTGATCGTGGTGGTGGTGTTCAACCTCCATGTATGATAAATAAATAAGTGCACACATTTGTTACGCGCTACACAGTTTCCGTTAGATTGAGAGGCACAGGGAAACACAGATAAGCGGGAAGGCAGCCAGAACCGGCCCTACCAACCGTTGCTCAAATTCTGTGGCCCAACATCGCGATGTTTTAACCAACTCTATTAACCCCATAACAGAGGGTTTTTTGGGGGGGGTTTTGGGGTTAGATCGCGTAAATATATAAATGTGTCGTTAAAACCCGCCACCACCGGGAACAGCACATTTATATAATTACGCGATCTAACCAGAAAAAAACCCTCTATTATGAATGATATTGGTCACGAAAGCCTACGTGTTAAACTCTATTAACCCTATTTAGTAGACATGTGGGAAGAAACTGGAGCACCTGGGAAAAAAACCCTCTCGTGAAAATTGGGGGGGGGGGGGGTAACACGCAATCCCCGTACAGATGAATACAGATGGAGATTAATAAACTTGCTGTACTGCCATCCGCTCACCTCCGCAGTGCGGGACTACCCGCGAGGGTGATGTGGCTGTGACAGCTGTCACACGTGCGGTGGCGGTGGCGGTGACGGTGATGGTGGTCGTGTTAACCGTGGGCTGTGGTGGTGGCTATAGATTTTGGTGGTGGTGTTGGCCGTAAGCTGTGGTGGTTGTCGGCTGTGGTGGTGGCCATGGGCTGTGATGGTGGTGGTGGTGGCCGTAGACTGTGGTGGTGGCTATAGGTTTTGGTGGTGGTGTTGGCTGTAAGCTGTGGTGGTAACAGTGGTCGTAGTGGTGGTAGTGGTTGTCGGCTGTGGTGGTGGCCGTGGGCTGTGGTGGTGGTGGTGGCAGTAGACTGTGGTGGTGGTGGTAACAGTGGTGGTCGTGGTGGTGTTGGCTGTAGGCAGTGGTAGCGTTGTCTGTAGGCTGTGGTGGTGGTGGTGGTGGTAACCAGTGGCGGTGTTGTCTGTAGGCTGTGGTGGTGGTGGTAACAGTGGTGATCGTGGTGGTGGCGGTGTTGTCTGTAGGCTGTGGTGGTGGTGGTGGCCGCACCTGTAGGTACCCGTGAGCACCTGGTCTCCGTCGATGATCATGAAGCGCTCCTGCATGCGGCCCGTGATGCGAGCGCCGTTGCGCGAACAGAAGCTGAGGCCCTCGAGGGAGCGAGCGCGCATGTTCTGCACACCACAGGCAGCAGCAGCAGCACCAGCAGCAGCAGCAGCACCAGCAACAGCAGCACCAGCAGCAGCACCAGCAGCGGCAGTAGAAGCAGCAGCAGCAGTAGCAGTAGTAGCAGCAGCAGCACCAACAGCAGCAACAGCACCAGCAGCAACAGCAGCACCAGCAGCAGCAGCACCAGCAGCAACAGCAGCAGCACCAGCAGTAGCAGCAACAGCACCAGCAGCAGCACCAGCAGCAGCAGCAGCAACAGCAGAAGCACCAGCAGCAGCAGCAACAGCAACAGCACCAGCAGCACCAGCAGCAACAGCAGCACCAGCGCCACCAGCAGCACCAGAAGCACCAGCAGCAGCAGCACCAGCAGCAACAGCAGCAGCAGCACCAGCAGCAGCACCAGCAGCAGCAGTACCAGCACCAGCAGCAGCAACAGCAGCAGCCACACATGACAATACATATGTAGGGATTATTACGGGAGAAACGGCGGACAACAAACACAGGGGTGTCGGCACTCACATACACGGGTGGTCACACCGACGTCCGCATCCGTTATTGCCCACGCCCCCAGCCCTCGGAGGTGATCCCTATAAAAGGTGGAGACCCAAAGAGCTCGAGGCAGTTCGACACGAAGCTGACCAGTGAAGATCCAAGACTCGGAGATTAGGCCCTGGGACTCCCCGGTCTCGCCGTCCTTATAAGGGCCGAGCCGGGTAAGCCAGCGGCGCGGCCCAAAAGCTTCCAGACCGCTGCCCTTATCAGGGCAAGGCTGGTTAGCTGGTGCCGAGATCTGTGCTTGCCAGGGCCAGATCAGTCAGCCTCCCGTAGCCCAGTAGAGGAGGACTGGGGAACAGGACAGAGGGCTTAGTACTAGGGTGGGTTTCCCATAGTACGGGTGAAAGGGGCCGATACCCCTTCAACTATTGTGCCTGTCCCGGAGTTAATTAACAGAGTGTGCCTCAACTTCGACATCGTCTCCTCGAACTTACTACACATACAAGACAGCATACGAGTAGCTGGGTGGCCAGAGCCATGCCCGGCCGCCTTTGTCTCCCTAGTACTGATGTTTGCGCACTGCGCAGGAACTCATTTAAGGCGGAGTCCACCTAGAGGACCGGTGTCGTAGTGCAGCGAGCTAACTACTGCACCACCTGTGCTCCCTAAAGAAAAAGACAAAGATCCACCGTATGGCCTCAACAGACTTTTTGGTCAATTGCTGTTAGCGAGCCCCTATACATGTCGGCACGGTATACGAGGGGGTGGGTGACCAGCACCATGCCCGGTCGCCTTTGTCTCCCCAGTGGCGATGTTTACACATTGCACCAGGTACTCATTTGAGGCCGAGTCGACCTTGGGGAGGCCCAGGACCAGTTAAGATAATCGTCACTGCTGTCAGTGGCCGTGAGCGGGAATCGAATTGGGGTCGCTGGGTTCGTAGCGCAGCGTGCTAATCACTATAGCTCCTCACACACCTGTGCTCCTCACAAAGACAAAGATCCCCCATATAGTCTCAACATACTCTTGGGGCAAGTGCTCTTAGCGGCCAGCACGGCACACGAGGAGGGGTGAGTGGCCAGAACCACGCTCCCCACACACATAGACAAAGATCGAGCACCTATGAAGGCTGGCACGGCACGGCACAGCACAGCACACACACACGCACGCGTGCACACCCGCATGGAAAAGATGTTGATGGACACGGCTCGGCACGCCGCGAGGAAGGATGCCACGTTCTGTTCGTCGACGAGCACGTAGACTGGCACCCGGCGCCTCACCGCCGCGTCCGCCACGTCCTTCAGGATGTCCACGTCGGAGAACTCGTCCATCACCACGGCGATTACCTGGAACACGTGGGCGGGCAGGAGCGTGGTATCATCGCACGTGAACACGCGGAGTGAAAGGAAGGCTGTGTGATTCTAGATTTGAAGCTTTCGTGACTGCAAGGATTCATATTCTTAGGTTTTTTCGGTAAAGTCACGTAGGTAAATTTATTTATTTATTTTACTTTTATTAATTTAAATTTTTTACCTACGTGACTTTACCGAAAAAAACCTAAGAATAGGCTGTGTGATGTTGTCTGCCAGCCGAGTCGCCCTTGGCAAAGAGCTTTCTAGCTAAGTGGGCTTTATTCGGGAAAATAAACGTCTGATTCTGAAGTACGTGGGCGTGTGAGTGGGCGAATGGGTGGGAGAGTGGGCGAGTGGGTGGACGAGTAAATGGGTGGGTGCATGAAGTGAGTGTTTTGGTAGGTGGGCGAGTGAGTGTGTGGGTGGACAGTTGAGTGCTTGCGTGAGTGGGCCAGTGAGTGTGAGTGAAAATTTGTGTACTTGTGGAATTCTTCGATGTTGTCTGCCGCCCGAGTCGCACTTAACAAAGAGCTTCTTAACTCAGTGGGCTTTGATAATTGTTTTTTTACCCTTCTATCTGGCAACAAAACTGACACCTTTTTACAAGGAGTCATGTTTGCATAGACCACAATACCTGCAGTCATAATGCAAACAAAAAACACAACAAGTTGATTGGTCCACACCCGAGTCAGCTTTCAGTGGGCTTTACTAGGGGAAATAGACTTCTGATTCTGAAGTGAGTGGGCGAGTAGGCGGGTGAGCGGTTGAGCGGGTGGATGGGTTTTCATTTACAAATCGTAATATTTCTCCCTTCCCCCTGTGCAACATCTGGAGATGAGTTTGCATTTAGAAATCAGTGTAACCACCGCCACCCCATCTTAGCGAACAACCTTGAAAAGACGCAATGCAGGGCTGCCAAAAGGGTAGTGGAGGTAGTGGAGGCCCCAGGCTTCATGCCAGATCAGGGCCACTCTGAGGCCCTCTCCCGTTCTCAGCCCTTTCTAAGGCCCTCTTTGCGACCAGAGGCCTGGGGATAACTGCATGTCACCTGCCCCCCCCCCACTCCTGCCCCCTCCCCTCTCTCTCTGTAGCCATGGGAAGATGAGCTCCGTACTTCTAACTTGCCCTGCTATAAAAAAAAATTAATTAAAAAAGGTTAAGCAAGCCTAATATTTTGCAATACTTTAGGGCTTTTGTAATGCCAAAGTGTAGAACGCATTTTACATCACGCTTTTTTTATGCAGTTACTGTTGACTCGGTTGGCACTGTCAACTTTAGTTGCTCCACTTGAAAGCCCGGTTTAAATCACGGGGTGGTTGACGCCACTCGTAAACCCCTGGATCTCGGCAGTGGCGGCTCAGTTACTCTGACAATATTTGCTTCCTCAGCCACGTGGTCACTGAAGGGGGAAGTCTTTCAAGAGGGCCATATCGTCTCGGGAGTCAATTCGCGAGTTGAAGAATGTTCCTTTTGCGTCCCATTTCTGTGGCCAAAATGTGCTGCGATCTTCATGACCCGAGAGGGCCCATGCAGAGCCCATAATAATAAAAAGTGTGCCGTTCCTGCCCCCCCCCTCAACCATTATATATACGGAGTGGTATCTCTTGTAATTTCTCATTTGCTTGATACAGCTGTAGGGCTGTGACGGTTCCACCTGAAGACGGAAGCTTGTGTTGCCTCCGAAACGTCGTGATTTTTATTTCATTTTTTATTTTACTTTTATTAATTTAATTTTAATTTTTGACCTACGTGACTTTGCCGAAAAAAACCCAAGAACATGCAGAGCCCCTTTGTCAGTCCACCGCTGGATGAAAGCCTCCCCCATGCTGTGTGGGTCGTCAGGGTTATTTGACCGCAATTTATTGCGCTGGTCAGGATCGGTTGGTGAAGGCGGACAGCACAGGCGTTTGAGCATAGCACGACAGTACAGCACCGGATGCTGTTGCTGTGCTGCCCCACTGCCGAAAATGTAGCCTCACATCATCAACAACCGGGCAGGTAATAGGTTTAGAGGTGGAAAAATTTCACGGAAAGACGGATAAACAGACAGACGTCATTGCTTGTACAACTTCTTTCGCGCCGTACGTAGCCAACCGCGCTAATCGGAGGTGCGGGGGAAGGACAACAGACGGACAACTAACTCACAGAATGATGGACAGACAAATCAAATGAGAGGTGGACATAGTTATGGAAGGAGGGACTAATTGTTTAACGGGAGGACTTGCAGAACGATCGCTAAAACAGATTTTAAGATGGATAATGAACTAGACGGACTCGTGGAACGAAGTGCAGAATAAATTTAGGACAGCGTTATTGACGGACAGCCGGATGAACGAAGGGAGAGAGTAAACGATGCAGACACGGACAAACAGATGGACAGAGAGACGGACGCGTAGAAACATCAACGGACAGACAGGCAAGACACGAACCGATAGGCGGATGGATTGACGAAGATGGAGAGAAACATACCCACTACCTTGATTTGAAGCTTTCGTGACTGCAGGAATCCATACTCGTTGGTTATCTCGGTAAAGTCACGTAGGTAGAAAGATAATATATCACGACGTTTCGATCGCAACACAAGAAATCGTCATCAGGTGGGACAACCACAGCAAGAAAAACTCAATTCAGAAACGTCATGATCTATTATCTTTCTACCTACGTGACTTTACCGAAAGATACAAAGAGTATACTCCAGTAATAAAACGCTCCGGAAAATAAGACGCACCCCAAACTTTTGCGCATTGTGTCAACAAAGTTACACAAATACACTCTCAATTGTTTCCTTCGATTACATTGGGGGGGGGGGGGTGGAGCGCGTTTAATAATCCGCATAATACGGTTACAAAATAACCCCACTCTACCACCAAACGTTATGAGACCTCCATTACCAGTGGAAAAATATAGTAGTAGGTTTTTACCCTTTAAACTGGTACAAAACTATAGTAATAGGTTTTTACCCTTTTAACTGGTACAAAATCTGACACATTTATACAAGGCATCATGTTTGCAATAAGCTCAACACAAGAAGTCAAAATGCAAACAAAAAGAAACAACTCTGATGATGATAATGATATGCACTGTCATCATCATCGGAGTTGTTTCTTTTTGTTTGCATTTTGACTTCTTGTGTTGAGGTTATTGCAAACATGATGCCTTGTATAAAGGTATCAGTTTTTGTACCAGTTAAAAGGGTAAAAACCTATTACTATATTTTGCCACTGGCAAAGGAGATCTCATAGTGTAAATGGTACAAAACTGACACCTTTATACAAATCATCATGTTTACAATAACCACAACACTGACTACTTGTGTTATGGTTATTGCAAACATGATGCCTTGTATAAAGGTATCAGTTTTTGTACCAGTTGAAAGGGTAAAAACCTATTACTATGATCCCTTGTATAAAGATATCAGTTTTGTACCAGTTTAAAGGGTAAAAAAAAACCTACTACTACCCCACCAAAAACGTCTTCACGTCCTCACCTGATGGGCACCTTGCACCATGGCACGTGCGGCCTCCTTGATGCTGGGCGCATTGGGCCCCAGCGGAGGCTGAGCGTGGACTGCCATGACCCGGGTCACACCGCGGTACCTGCCCACCGCCGGCCATCCCAACTCAAGGTCCGGCGCAGGTGCATCCGAGCGATCTGGCCAATAGGTGAGAGACCCCGTGTTGGACAGACCAGCTGCTCCACCGTCCGTGGGCGAACCAAACGCGGATCTCGACGGACGCTGCTCGGATGATCCGACGGAGGAGATTCCGTGACCTCCTCGCTGCTTGCTCCGAGTGTGATCGCCTTCGTGCAGGAGCAGAGCGAGTTCCTTGTCGGACAGGAATGGCTTCACCTTGGCTGTGTTCGTGTAGCCCAGGTATTCTGGGGTCCCACCACGGAGGAGGGCTTCTAGTGCCAGGCGTTGCTCCTCGCTGTGGCTCGTCTCCTTGTGGGTCTCGCCAGGACGCCAGCCGAAATTGTCCTCCAAACAGGCGATCTGAGATTCGGCCATAGCCCGAATGTCAACCACCAACACCACCAACAACAACCACCACCACCAACCACCTTCTTCCAGCACCGCTGCGCACGATACAAAAAACGGCGCACCTCCTGTTACTGTTGATGTTGTTGTTTAATTGTTGTGACTGTTGACTGAATAAAATGTCAAATGTTTGTCGATGTGTGTGTATGTGAGAAGAGTGTAATTAATTATGAGTGCCACTACATTTAAGTGTTTGTAACCTCTCCCCCTCCTCTCTCTCTCCAATGCGACTTGGCACGAAACACCGCGCTTCCGTTGTTGTTCAGTAGTCGTAGTCGTCGTCGTCCGTGACTTTACTCTTGAAAATGTCAAATGCCCCTCGGTGTTTGCGCGTGTGTGAGATACTGTGAGCGCGACTGAAACTATCTTTCAGACCTGGCTTTGGAGTAAAGAAGAAGTAAACTGTGCGTCTGTTGTCTAAAACAATGTCAAATGTTTGCCTTCATCTTCGTTTGTGAGTCAATTAACGCAACTTCCTTGAAGGTCTTCAAACTATCTTGGAGATGAAAAAACCCTTGAATGAACAGTGCGCCCGCCTTCTGCTGCTGCTGCTGTTTAATAATTGTGTGATACAATTATTACAATTATCTGTGTGTGTGTGTGTGAGTAAGCGATGTTGATAATCAGTGTGATACACTCTTGAAGTTAACCATGCCTTGCCGTGGGGTTCGTTGAGTGAAGCAGGCAAACACACAATCTTTGTGAACCACCCACCAGCCCTGCACACACACACACACAGGTGAAGGCAATTACTGGGATAACCTGTTTTGAGTGGAGGAGGCACTGCAGGGCATGTAGGGCTGAGCTGAGAAATGAAAAATGTTAAGACCACGGGTGCATACTGCAACAAACGGCATGACAGTTGGGGCGTAGGGTAACATACGACAATGGCTTTCGGTAAAGATAGAGATTTGTCCATTGTGTATATTGCAGTAACAGTAACAAAAAAATGTGCATCGTATTCTCCCGATTATAAGACGCACTGCAAGTATGTGCCCGGTGTCAACGGTGATACAAGTGCGTCTTATAATTCAGAGAATATGGTAATTATACTCTTAGGTTTTTTCTGTAAAGTCACGTAGGTAAAATAATAATAATAAGAAATTTAAAAAATTTAGCCTACGTGACTTTACCGAAAAAACCTAAGAGTATGAATCCTTGCAGTCACGAAAGCTTCAAATCTAGAATATGGTAATTATTACAATTCTATTGTGGAAAATTACAGACAAGCCCCAGTCGGAGTGCGATTGTGTCCATGCAATCCAAACTTTGGACCATATCGTAAACCCAGAGACGCAGAGAGAGAGATACAGAGACCCAAACCGCTGCCACCGTTCACGATCTTGCAATATAATCGTTCACTTAGCACCTGCGGAGGAACCGATTTCCTTCATTATAATTGAGCATTGTCCGTCATACCTTCTGTCTCCATGTCTTGCCTAAGCCTGCTCGCCCTCATAGTTTGGATGATGTTGTTAAAAGGGTTTCTCATCCACACATTCCTCTTTCTCTCAATGTAAGCCATGGCATGCATCTGTCCATGGTTATTTGCGCACATTTACATTTGTGCGTCGATGTTTTTCATAAATGGCCATGTTTCTGAACCATGTGTAACAGCAGGTAAGTGAACAGTATAGCACATCATTTGAATAACATGTAAGTCATCAATATTTTTTGGGTTTTTCGGTAAAGTCACGCAGATAGGTTGAAAGAAAATAACAAAAACTACCACGTTTCGATCACAACACAAGCGATCGTCCTCCTGATGACGATCGTTTGTGTTGTGATCGAAACGTAGTTTTTTGTTAAAGACCCAAAGAATATAAATTCCTGCGGTCACAAAAGCTTTAAGTCAAGATGTAAATAATGTATACAGACGATCAAATAAATATGCACTGTCTACAAAAAATACAAGAGTATTTCTTAAATAACCCGGATTGTTGCATAATTTCAGCAGAATTGTTGATGAGGCACTGTGTGGGAAAACCGGTCCAGAGATTCGCTTGTCTGGAATCAATCGTGCTGAACAAATGCACTCCTAGAGTCGTGAGTCTGATGATGGTTTGTGCAGAAAAATACGTTTAGATTGTGTAAGTGGAGGGACGAATATATGACGGAGACATATCGCCATTCTAGATTTGAAGCTTTCGTGACTGCAAGTATTCATATTCTTAGGTTCTTTACCTACGTGACTTTACCGAAAGAACCTAAGAATACGTATCCCCATATTTACCTTGTTATTTATACACACCACACGACGCTAATGGCATTTTCTGAGCCATTTCATTGATATACTTGGCGAGTTTGTTGAAAGGGGGGCGGACGTGCGTTTGGAACGGAAAACATTTATTTGTTTGAATCTACGAAGCCTCATGTATGTTATATTCTTAGTTCTTTCGGTAAAGTCACCATGTAGGTAAAAAATGAAATTAAAATTAATAAAAAATAAAAACAATAAAAATCACGACGTTTCGGAGGCAACACAAGCTTCCGTCTTCAGGTGAAACTGTCACAGCAAAAAACCTTGATACAGATTTTTGAAATTAAAATTAATAAAAAATAAAAACTATAAATCACGACGTTTCGGAGGCAACACAGCTTCTGTCTTCAGGTGAAACTGTCACAGCAAAAAACCTTGCTGTGACAGTTTCACCTGAAGACGGAAGCTTGTGTTGCCTCCGAAACGTCGTGATTTTTTTTATTTTATTTTTTTATTAATTTTAATTTCATTTTTTACCTACGTGACTTTACCGAAAGAACTAAGAGTACGAATCCTTGCAGTCACGAAAGTTTCAAATCTACGAAGCCCCATGGATGTTGTCACATGCCTCCCACACGTCTGACCGATCGTCACCGTCCCGTAACTGACAGCGAACCACGAAAACGTCCCGCAACCACAACAGTCGTGGGGGTGGTGGTCCGGACAGGATGTCACTCGCCCGATGCTTCTATGAAATTCTTTCAGGGCACCGCTCCCATTTCACATTCCACACGGGGTCCCAACTGCGGTGCCTTCGGGTGCCCGCGTCTCGCTGCAGCCGACACGCGGAGCCGTCGCCGGACACACTGAAGCCCTGGGGGGCAGGGTCGGTGGTGGCCACGTGCACGAACGTGGGACTTTTGGGGTTGGGGTTCAACTTTTTCAACCATCTTCTTGGTTCTTTCGGTAAAGTCACGTCGAAGGGAAATAAAAAAATAAAAAATGAAACATAATAAAATAAAATTAAAATAAATTTTAAATATATTATAAAATAAAAAATGTTTTAACCATACCGTTCATCTTCTTGGTTCTTTCGGTAAAGTCGCGTAGAAGGGAAGTAATAAAATAATAAAAATAAAACATAATAAAATGAAATCAAAATATATAATAAAATAAAATAACATTTAAATAAAATTAAAAAAATTTCAACCATACCGTTGTCAAGCCATTCGGGTTTTCCCCGTATTCTTGAACAGGGAAATTGTGTTTTCAGGTCCATACGACGTACAGACGTTTTAATACGGGGGAAAACAAAACAATGTCGATTTCATTGTGTTTCTCCCTTGTGATGGGACATTGTAGGATGAACGTTGAGATTGATAAGGGCACGGGGTGACCAATAAGGTCTGAATCATAATAATAGAGGTTGTTTTGGGTTAGATTGCGTAAATATATAAATGTGTCGTTAAAACCCGCCACCACCCGACACAGCCAACTAGTAAGGGTTGTCACGTAACCAGAACGTGGCCAATTCGTCACGAGTACAGCACTAGTGTGTAGTGTAGTGTATAGTAGTGTAGTGTGTAGTGTATAGTAGTGTAGTGTGTAGTAGTGTAGTGTATAGTGTAGTTTGTAGTGTATAGTGTAGTGTAGAGTGTAGTGTATAGTGTAGTGTATAGTGTAGGCTACTAGTACAGCACACCGGTGTGTTGAGGAGCCAAGCCACAACATTTACAATCTGAGTACGACGTTTCGCCATTAATTACAACTAGCTTCATCAGGCGACAGCCAGATTTGTGGAGAAGTCCACCTGTTTCGTTCCTTGTGTAGAGGCGTAGATGTGGTGACCACACTTCTGCGCTCTTGCACAAAGTGGGGGGATGGGGGGGATTACTGAGTCAACGTACATGATGCATGTGCGTTATGCGAGCCCATTGATCTTGTCCTTCCTGTCCATTGTGTGTACTAAAATAGCCGTACCAACGGTAATCCCGATTGAAGAATGTTGGCATTTATAGGCATGCATTTAAACAACGTATTATTTGATGATTCGCTTCCACACCAAGGCGGTAGCTAAGCGGTTTAGGTAAAAAAAAAATTTTATTTTGATAAATTCTCTAATTATTCTTGGCCATTCGTTGCTAGTTTTGCACAGAACTTCAACATGATCAAAATCAATTGAGTGTCCTTGTTGGCACGCGTGTTCTGCTACTGCTGACAGTTGTATTTGGGAGTATTTAATATTTAAGGTCTGTATTGGTTGCACTAAGGTAGGCACTGATAAGGGGGTGACAGGTATGCGTTGGCCCAACAAAAACCTTTGCGTGTTTACTGGTGTGGCGAAGATTATGAAGGCCATCTCCCAGGAAGGGTCCTGTGGATTGGGGATGTTTATCCGGTTCCATGAATGAGTCGTTTTGGCTTCGTGTGGGAGGAGAAAAAAAAAGTCATAGTACCCGGAGAAAACCCCATCACACATATGAGGAGACTAAAGTTTCAGCACTCTCTCTTCGCCACACCTCGGAACCCCACACCTACAACACCTGGCGAGCCCTGGTGGTCACCCAAACAAGCTCTAAGATTTTTAACTTCCCAGTAAACATGCAACGTCGAAATAGATGTTAAATAATGTGGGAGCCAGAGGACATCCCTGTCGCACCCCAAGGTGAACAGGGAATGGCTCCGACTCCCGTCCACGTAGTTTTACCCGGGCCCGCTCACCATCATGAAGGTCCTTAATGATCGTGAGCAGAGGGTCAGTGACTCCGAAAGCACGAAGAACAACCCAGAGCCCAGGCCTACTGATGGTATAATAGGCCTTGACCAGGTCAATAAAGCAGAGATGTAGGACATTTTGGAATTCCCTACACATCTGTTGTAGCGGACGGACAGAAAATATGGCATCTGTGCAAAATGGGGTTTGGCCAGGAGACGTCATAGACGCCTGTTCCCCTGGGGCCTCCTGCACAAGCTTAATAATTTTTTAAAATTGTGGTAATTAATTGAAGGTGGAGGAGTTACCAGCCCCTGGCACCCGTCCATAGCCCCCATTTGGCCGCTGCGGTGGTTACAAACGCCATGAGGGGAATGGCAAATCTAAATTGGCCCTCGCCCCCACGGTATTGCCCACCACAGCGTTGCCGCCCGGCACCACCGATGTAGGGGGTTGTTTTTGCCGGGTGATATAATATTATTTTATTATGTCTTTTTGGTTCTTTCGGTAAAGTCACGTAGAAGGAAAATAATAAAATAAAAATACAACATAATAAAATATATTATATTACTTTATTATGTTTTATTTTTATTATTTTATTATTTTCCTTCTATGTGACTTTACCAAAAGAACCAAGAAGATGAATCCCTGCACTCACGAAAGCTTAAAATCGAAATATCAAGCTCTTTTTCACAGATGTCCAGTCGGGGCGGGTAAGAACGTTACAACAAACAGTACAAAAACACTATAGGAGTGCAAAGTATAGGACATGTAAACAAATCACACAAACACAACGCTAATCCATCCCCATCCTACCAGGCAAAATCCACTGAGGTATTCACTTATTTTTCAGAAGCGACCTGGCCACAACATTACAGCTCAACAACAAAGTGACCCCGTCATTTGGACATTTATAGCATAACCCTACACATGAAATGACATCATTGGAACCTCCTTTGCCAGTAGCAAAATATGATAATAGTTTTTTTACCCTCTTATCTGGCAACAAAACTGACACCTTTTGTTACAAGGAGTCATGTTTGCATTGACCACAATACCTGCGGTCGGAATGCAAACAAAAAGCACAACTCTGATAATGTATGCACTGTCCTTGAAATTGATTGGTCCACACCCGAGACAGCTTTTCTTAGAGCCTAGTCTCACATGGCCAAAAGGCGCACAACTTTTGGCGTCATCTGGTCCAACACCATATGACTCCTTGTAAAAAAGGTGTCAGTTTTGTTGCCAGATAAAAGAGTAAAAAACCAATTATCTCACCATGCAATGACATCTTTCTGAATTGCAAAGTAGTTTTTTCTGGAATTGGAAGAGGTTTTGCTAAACAAATGTTGTTTTGAATTGAAGCATTCGTGACTGCAGGAATTCATATTCTTTGGGTTTTTCGGTAAAGTCACGTAGATAGATTCAAAAATATATATTTAGAAAAAAAATTGTATTAAAAATTATAAAAAAAAAAAACTATCTACGTGACTTTACCGAAAGAACCAAATAATTTATATTTAAAGCTTTCGTGACTGCAGGGATTCATCTTCTTGGTTCATTTCGGTAAAGTCACGTAGAAGGGAAATAATAAAATAAAAAAAACATATTTTTTATATTATTAAGATGTCATTTCATGGTTATTAACATATTTTTATTATGTTTTATTTTCATTATTTTATTATTTCCCTTCTACGTGACTTTACCGAAAGAACCAAGAAGATGGACCCAAAGAATACAAATGTTTTAAAAATATAACCGCAATAATTTATCTTCCAGAAGATGGAAGATTGAATAAAACGCGAAGAAGACATCTCACGGAATGGGAAGAGACTTAACGAAGCCGGCCAATCAGAGCCGCGCTTAATCTCCCTTGGGGGCGTCGCGCCGCGGACCAATCAGGACGCGCCTTATTTGAATATCGGAAACTACGGTGGCCACGGCGGTCGAGCCGACGGCCAGAGAGAGAGGGGGGGGGGTCGTTTCGCGTTTGGTTATTCAGCGTGACCGACCGCATTAAATCCTAGCGACGAGTTTCATAATAATCGAGTCTTGCCGAAGTAGCAGCGCCGTTTGCAAGATCGTTCACTCCTCGAGCCTCGCTGTCCGCTTCATTAGCTGGCTGAATCGCGCACGCAAGAGCTCATTGTCCCCTCCCGTGGTAAAGTCAACGTTGAATTCCGTAGATGTCTTCTTACAAGCAAGCGTCCATCCGTCTTCTCAACACCCTGTAGGTACAGTGCCGTGTTCGTTTAACGCACGCAAAAAGCCGGTGGAGATTAATTAAAATTGCGCGTATCTCTTTGAGCACACGACACATTTTTTGTCGATCGCCCTAGCACGTCGTTGCTTGGAAAGTGAGCTATTTGCAACGCTTAAGGATTTGCTTACTGTACGTACCTGTGTGGTGGAGCGGTGGCGCTGTGGTTAGCGCACCGCGCTCTGAAACGTGGGTTGGGTCTCCAGGTCACGGATATCATCTGTGGCGAGTGGAATCTGAACCGGTTCCTGTGTATCATCACCACCACTCACCACCAACACTCACCACTCACTACCAGTACCACCACCACCATTCACTACCACCACCACTCACTACCACCACCATTCACTACCACCACTACCACCACTCACCACCACCACTCACTACCACCACCACTCACTACCACCACCACTCACTACCACCACCACCCACCACTCACTACCACCACCAGTACCACCACCACCATTCACTACCACCACCACTCACTACCACCACCACTCACTACCACCACCACTCACTACTACCACTCACCACTCACCACCACTCACCACCACCACTCACCACCACCACTCACCACTCACTACCACCACCACTCACCACTCATCATCACCACCACTCCTCACCACCACTCCTCACCACCACCACTCACCACCACCACTCACCACCACCACTCACCACCACCACTCACCACCACCACTCACCACCACCACTCACCACCACCACTCACCACCACCACTCACCACTCACTAACACCACCACCCACCACTCATCATCACCACCACTCACCACTCCTCACCACCACCACTCACCACCACTCACCACCACCCTCACCAACCTGCACTGAACCAGGGTGGTGAAGTATGGTCAATTCGCCTACGTGACAAGTCGCCTGCAACGGCGTGGTGAAGAGAGAGGCGTTGGCAAAGCGTTGTTATAGTATTGCAAATACTCTACAGGGATGATAGTAGTAGTTAGTGGTGGTAGTTTAACGAAATGTTAGTTGTGATCGGAGTCATCGATTGGTCTCGACCGATTGTGGATTAATCGATACTAGACGATTAGTATCGATGATTGCAAAGTTGATGTATAACTTCTGGAGACGGGGATAATTGGGGTGGAGAGACCTTCACGGGCTGTGTGAGATGTCCGGCACACATTCAACCAAAATCAAAACACTCAACAATTTACTTGCCTTGAGTAATTGCACTCACAACGAATTAAAACCCAACGCTTGTAAATTCACATTTCGTTGCTTGATAACCATTGATTCGATTGGCGCCATCACCGTGAAATGCAGAGATGGAAATGTGTGATGTTGTCAAAGATTTTGTGTGCGTGTTTGATTACTTTGTAAGATAAATGTTAAATAAGTTTGGGGGGGCGGGAGATTAAATTATTGTCATGAGTCCGAGCAGAGCGCACACGAATGACTGATGCTTCCAAGGATACGGGATGGGCTCCAATGCCCCACGAAGCGTTTTAAATCCTCTAGTTTGAAAACTAACCTCTTTCTCTAACTTATACTCTGATAGTGCGCTGTCTTTGAGTTGTACGCCTTTTGGCGTCATCTGGTCCAACACCAATAGAGACTAGGCTCTAAGAAAAGCTGTCTTGGGTGTGGACCAATCAACTTCAAGGACAGTGCATATCATTATCATCATCAGAGTTGTTTCTTTTTGTTTGCATTGTGACTGCTTGTGTTGTGGTTATTGCAAACATGATGCCTCGTATAAAGGTGTCGGTTTTTGTACCAGTTGAAAGGGTAAAACCTATTACTATATTTTGCCACTGGTAAAGGAGGTCTCATAGTGTAAATCTTACCCCGAGCTCTCAATACTCTGATAGTGCGCTGTCTTTGAGTTGTACGCCTTTTGGCGTCATCTGGTCCAACACCATGTGAGACTAGGCTCTAAGAAAAGCTGTCTCGGGTGTGGACCAATCAACTTCAAGGACAGTGCATATCATTATCACCATCAGAGTTGTTTCTTTTTGTTTGCATTGTGACTGCTTGTGTTGTGGTTATTGCAAACATGATGCCTTGTATAAAGGTGTCAGTTTTTGTACCAGTTGAAAGGGTAAAAACCTACTATTATACTTGTGTGTTTAGAATGTTGTCCTGCCCCCACCCTCCCGCACCTGCGAAACACGTTCAACGTACGTACAGCTTTGGGCATAAGTCTCACGCTTACGCTGGTAGGAACCTCCTGGTTACACCAGCCCACAGGGGATTATTGTGTCCGTCGTGCAGGGAGGGGCTGGGTGGGGAGGGAAGGGCTGGGTGGGGAAGGGAGGGTGGGGCTGGGTGGGGAGGGTGGGGCTGGGTGGGGAGGGGCTGGGTGGGGAGGGAGGGGCTGGGTGGGGAGGGAGGGGCTGGGTGGGGAGGGTGGGGAGGGGCTGGGTGGGGAGGGAAGGGCTGGTTGGAGAGGGAGGGGAGGGGCTGGGTAGGGAGGGGCTGGGTGGGGACGGTGGGGAGGGGCTGGGTGGGGAGGGGCTGGGTGGGGACGGTGGGGAAGGGCTCGGTGGGGAGGGTGGGGAGGGGCTGGGTGGGGGGGGGGCTGGGTGGGGAGGGGCTGTGTGGGGAGGGGCTGGTCACCCCGTGGTGCCCTTATAAAACTCAACGTTTAACCTACTCACGCCGGCTTGTGCCCGCCCTCACAGTCGGGCATATTTGCGGAATACACCACGCCGCCGTTGACCCTGGCCATTGACCGAGCAACCCAACGTTCCTACCAGCTCCCTCCGCAGGAATGTGTTGCTTCCTAGCATAAGCGTGAGACGTGGTTTGTCATAGACCTTTGGGGGTAGGGGCCGTCCATAAATGACGTCACGCACCTGGGGGGGGGGTCAGATATTTGTGACGATGTGAAACGGGGTGTGGGGGGGGGTTTGAGAAATGTGACGTCACATCAAAATGCGCAACTTTAAATAATTAAGAATTGTTATAACAACACTAATTGTTATAACAACACTCCTACAACATCAGAGTGCAGCGCCACATTAAATAAGCACGACAATGACAATAGTTTAAAGCGATTTGAAGCATGTTTTATTTTCAAAATGGAAATATGGTTTTGGGGGGCTGGGGCATCAGAGCTTTGTGACGTCATATTTGAGGGGGGGTGGGATCTGACTTTACGTGACGCCGTGTGACGAGGGGGCGGGGGGTCAAAAATCGTCCAAAATCGCGTGACGTATACCCGGGAAGGGGTCGGCAATCTGCGGCTCTGCAGCCGCATGCGGTGGCTCTTTAAGGGCCGCTCCTTGACCCACTACCGCATACGAAGCTGTCAACCCATACGGGTTGACCCCGTATTCTTGTGCAGGGAAATTGAGTTTGCAGGTTCATACGGCGTCCAGCCGTTTCAATGCGGGGACGTTTTGTTTATTTGTTTGTGTTTCTCTCCCTTAGTGATGGGACTTTGTAGGATGAACGTTGAGATGTATAAGGGACACGGGGTGACCAATAAGGTGTGAATTGGTCTGTAATAAGGTAGGGCACTGATAAGGGGTTGACAGGCATGCATGCCACCGTGTCTCGTATTCACCACAGTGCATTGCGGCCCCGTGAAATATTGAGATTTTGTTGACCATATTCGAAAAAAAATTAACCCGTAAAAACAAAGTTTTTCACTATAAATCTTTTATATGCGTGGCATCGGGGCGGCTAGAGTCCTCTTGTCCTCTGGCTTGAGATGGCTGCCACCTATGGGTCAGATGATTGTCTGGCAGCATTAAACAATTGGTAATTAAATATTTAAGTGCTTGCACAAAGGATAGTAACATCTCATCCTGTGTTCTTTGGAATCGGAACCCTAAACAGTGTAAAATTTGGGAAACTTTTTTTCACGAAAATGCATTGTCACGCACAACGAGTCTGTGTGCAAAATGTCAGCTCGATTGGATCACGGGAAGTGGGTTAAAAAACGACCGAAAGATTTGCACGGTCCTAAGCAAGCAAGCGAACTTAATATAAAGGATTTAAAAAATGACTTGCTATTTTCGTTACAGAACCCCTGGGGTAGACCGATGCTTGGGGATTAACTGTGAAATGTAGTCGAGTCAACAGTGCTTTGGATATTAAAAAATACCTATTATCCTGTAGAAATTGTTTATACTTGAGGTCGCCTTCCCGGCTTACCATGAATTCTGGCTTTAATCGAGGCCAGCTTTGAGAGGTTGTTACTGCACGACTAATTGATCAGTCGATATGGGAATAATGCACTAATCGAAACAGGTGTAATTGATACTCTTTGGTTCTTTCGGTAAAGTCACGTAGGTATAAAATAAAATAGATCGCGACTTTTCGGGCGCAACACAAGCGTCCGTCATCCGGTGGTGGCTTTCCCACCTGGTGACGGACGCTTGTGTTTTATACCCACGTGACTTTACCGAAAGAACCAAAGAGTATGGATTCCTGCAGTCACGAAAGCTTCTAATCAAGGTGTAATTGATTAATAACGAATGCATTGAGTCAAAGGTAGAGATTCCGTCGATGCTCTTTAATTCATGGGTTTAACCGAACTAAAAGTACCCTATTTGATCAATAGAGACTGCAGCAATCGATGAATCAATACTTAATTGCTTGATTGTGTACGTGACTTGAAAATTTTGGTCAATGTATGCGCTGTATGTTTAACTTCTTTCGTACCGTACGTAGCCAACCGTGCTGATTGGAGGTGCACTGGGTAAGAACTTGAGACCCCCTGAAGAAGACTGCACAGGCTCTGTTGATACATTACACTTTGGCGACGTGGGGATGACGTTTGAATTCCACTCCTTCGCCTGAGCTGCGTGTAGGCGTGCAACCACGCAGAGAGAGAATTTGAGACGGGCATCCACCATCGCACGAATTTGTTGAAAGGTGAAACAACAAAACGTTACCATGATAATTGGACCAGAGCGTGGATAGTGGGGAATTTTGTGCTTTCACGCAAATACCTCACATGGGAAATGGGTTTCAAAGTTCAACTCGCTCTCAAAGTCTGCTGTGTCCAAGGCTGTTGAGTAACGTGGAACCATAGAGTTACATTATTAATCATTTTAATAACTGACTCCCAAGTTGCCAGTTGGCAACGCCGAATGGAAACATTTGCAGCGCTTATTGTTGTGGCACAAACAGGGCAAGCAAACGCCCTCGTGTTTTTTTTTAAATTATACTAACCATGCACACAAACACACACACGCGTGTAAGCGCTACCCGTGAAACGATGATGCATCCAGTCGACGATCAAAATCGATTCTTGCGATCGCGATGCATGCATCAAATTGTTTATATTAGAGTATATAAAATGGAGATTTACGCAAAGTGTGTCAAAGTGATATGCAAAGGTTACATCGAGGCTGATGGGATTATGAAACCGCGAATGAGAAACGGGATACAAACTTAATTTGGAGCTTTTCTGGCTGCAGGAATTACTCTTTGGTGGTTCTTTCGGTAAAGTGACGTAGAAAGAGAAAATAAAAAATTCAATACTAGCATACGACGTTTCGATTGCAACACAAGCAATCATCATCAGGTATATATGAAATAGAAACACAAATCTAGTATACTAAGAAATGTAATTTAATACAACAGAGAGTAGGGATGGTCAAACACGACAAAAATAACTTGATTCTTGAATGGAATCGTGATCTCAATTGTGATCAATCGTCAAATTACTTTCGGTGTGAATCAATACGTGCCTAGTAAACTTAATTGCACATTTAATTGCAACGGGAAAGAAACCCATTCACGACTGCCCATTGGGTGTATCTTTTATTGTGGGCACAAGCAAATTTTTTTTACGTGACGCGCAGTCGCACGTGTTGGTTTGTGATGGACCGTTAATTTTTGTTGTCAGCCGCGAGCTTCGCTGAGCGTGCACCGAGACACGAGGCTGGTGCATGGCGCGGGGGCGCCGTGCCACCCTGGGGCGCCAGCGCGGGCAACGGTCGGTGCTGTGACGGCGATGGCAGCGTCCCCAAAGAGCAAGCAGGTTGGTGGAGCTTGTTCGCTCGCTCACTCGCTCGCTCACTCGTCTGCTCGGCTGCAGAGAAATCTTTATTGCATGTTTTAATTCTCAGAGCTGGCATTTTCATCAAATTAAGCAAAAAAAAATCTAATTTGACGTGGTTATATTTTTGTTCTTCTTGGTTTTTTCGGTAAAGTCACGTAGAAGGGAAATAATAAATAATAATTTAAAAAAACATCAAATAATTCTCATGACGTTTCGGCCACAGACCTGGTTTTCACCTGAGGACGGCTGCTTGCGTTGTGGCCGAAACGTCGTGATAATTATTTTATTATGTTTTTTTTTTTATTTTCCTACTACGTGACTTTACCGAAAGAACCAAGAAGATGAATCCCTGCAGTCACGAAAGCTTTAAATCGAAATGATATTTTTGTTTTGATGCACAGTCGTTGCTGACTGGGCGAAGGACATCACCTCACGATGATCGAGAACCTGTTTGAATCATTAGCGGCTGAAACCCAAATTAAAATGCAGGATCCTCAACTGTGCAGGCTCGGTGCTCTTACCCCGAGCCACGCAGTCACTTCTGGAGAAGCGTTGAAGTCCTGATCACGCCGTGTCCACACACACAGACTCCCCGCAGCCGTGACTGACACGTACGACGGCGCGCGTGACGATTTGGTGACGGCGGTTTTCGTTTCTTCCGTACTCCGTCTCCGTTTTCCCCTGGCCCCCCCCCCCCCCCGGTGCCACCGCCGCCAGGGGAGCGAGGGCCCAGAGAGGTTGGGTCTCGCCACCGTCGAAGCCCTCGGAATCCTCAAGCAGCAGCTGGAAAAGGTCCTCGCCGACCACCAGCAGCAGCAGGAGGACCGACCTCGCTCGGTGAGGAGGCCCCTCCCCCCCTCGCTCGCGCCGTTAACATCTCGCCACTGTGGCGCTCTCGGTGTTAACTCCCACACCTGGTCGTGGGTTCGATCCCGACCCTGACGCCTGTTGTATATTTGGAGTTTGCATGTCTCTCTCCCCGCGGTCACGTGGAGTTTTCTCCAGGCCCTCTGGTTTTTCCCTCCATATTTAGAATAGAAATAGAAACATGCGTTTCGAGTCTTTGGCTGCTATAACTGTCCACATGATCATCCACTTCGTTGAGCTTTCATTTGTGGCCAGGTAGCTTCTGAAAATAGCTATGTAGCTGAGTGGACCTTACCGAGTAAAATAAAACTAGTTTAGTTTATAGTTTTGGTTCCTGGCCGAGTCCCGTCCCATATCTCTCTATCTCAACTACCTTTTCTCATTCGGAGGTTGGTGGTAGCTCTGGTCTGCGTTTCCGCGGAACATCTGCTGGTAAGGATTCCACTTCGATTTTTGTCCACATATTTCCTTATTTTTCCCTTGCACAAGGCCCCTTCGCATCACCTTGTGGCCCTCACTGGGGCTTCTGTGTGAGCCTTCATCTCGTCTTGTCTCGTCTCGTCCCTTGCTCCGGTATAGCTGGCATGGCAGAGGAGTTTCCTGCACCACGGAAACCGCTGGTCATGCTTCCATCTGCTCGGCGCTCTACTCATGCTGCTGGCGGGCATGCTGCTTCTCTGCTGCCATGGGGGACAGCCCAAGGGCAGGTCAGACACCCCCCCCCACACCTCCCGCCCCCCACACCACCCATTGTGCTGGCAATGAAGAAGGCATTGTGCGGCAGATATAACTGTCTGCGCAAGGACAGGGCTCGAACTATCAAGTTTTGGTTTTGTCCGTGAGAGTTTCTATTTTGTTTGGGGTGCAGCCTGCAGAGTATGGCGGGATTCTGAGACAGTTTTCTGGGTGCTTAATAGGCAATTAATCATTCACCCTCTCTGCTACGGCAGACTAACGTTCTACGAATGACAGCGACAGATATGTTTTTAAATCTCGGAGATAGCATTTAGGCAAATTAAGTGAAAGAGAAAATTTAATACGATAGATCTTCTGTGAAATTATTGGTGACTGAACTTAGACCATGAGTTCAACCACCTCTAGAGAGACCTGCGCATTAAAGATGCCATTCGCATGATTTTGCGTTTCTTAAATGACTATTTACATCACATTACATTATACCTATTCTTTGGGTCTTTCGGCAAATAACAAAAAACTACTAGTTTTTTTGTTATTTTTTGTTATTTTCTTTGAACCTATCTACGTGACTTTACCAAGAGACCCAAAGAATATGAATTCCTGCAGTCACGAAAGCTTTAAGTCAAGATTTACATTAGACCATCAACTTTTTGCGTTTAGTTTGTTGTCCTTCCCCCTACACCTCCGATCGCCATGGTTGGCTACATACGGTACGAAGGAAGTTCAACATACAACTAGCTACCCTTGAGAACCTAGTTTAATCAAAGCAGCTGAAACCTGGATTTGAACCCAAGACCTCGGGAAGTGTCGGCTTGTGTGTATAACCTAGCAATATCTCACTTCTACCACTTCTAGCACGTGACATTTTTTTTTCTTTATAGATACCACGGCAGAATTTTAACGGCTCGTGCCGCTTGTGGGCCTCGCATCCTTTGTGAAGCCGCCGCCGAGTGAGTGTGTTTTGTCACGTGCGTTGCAGCGAGGGTGCGGAGCTGGTGAATGGCCTGGCGTTGCTGGCGCTGTTGGGAGTCAACCTCTACGTGATGGGGCGGCAGGCGCGGCTCAAGGACACGGAGATCCCACGCCGACTGCGCTCGCTGCTCGACGGCATTGGCGGTCGGTGCTCGTTCGCTCGTTTGCTCGTTAACGTGCACACTCGCTCATTTAATCACTCACTCGGTCCCTCGCACACTTGCTTGCTTGCTCATTTTCTCACGCGATTATGCAATAGCTTACACGTTCACTCACCCAGTTCAGTGAATCTGTCACTAACTCGTTCTCTCATTTTCTCTCCTGCTCACCGTTTCTCTTCTTCACTCGTTCAGTCACGTCCTCATGGTAACATGCTGTTTACAGATCGTGTGTATAATTGTGGGCGCCGCCATCTCCCTCTCTCCCCTCTCTCCGTCTTTCCCCTCTCTCCATCTTTACCCTCTCTCCCCTCTATCTCTGCCCTCTCTCCGTCTCTCCCCTCTGTCTATCTCTGCCCTCTCTCCGTCTCTCCGTCTCTTCCCGACTTTCCCCGCTCACCCCGCTCTCCCCTCTCTCCCTTTTCTCCCTTCCCCCCCATCCTCTCCTGCGTAGACACGCTGCGTGAGTGCGGCGATGGCCGCACGACCCCCTGGGAGAAGTTGGCCTACCCGGACCTGCTGATGCCGCACTCGAAAGCCATCGCACTGCAGTGGGCGTACCGTGACGGCGCGCTCATCAACCTCCCGCTCAGCCTCCTCGTCGAGGGCGACGTCATCTCGCTGCGGCCCGGCCAGGACGCCCCCGTGCACCTGCGCGGAATCAAGGCCAGCGCTTCTCTCTGTCTCAGTTAGCGACTAAAAAAACTTGGCGCGGTGTGTTTTACTACCAGTCCGTGTAAGGATTCACTCCAGCTCCCCCCCCCACGGACACCAGCGATTGGACGAATTGTAACGAGTCAGCGGTCGTGATTTGATTCCTCAACGTTCATTTCTCTTGCGTCTTGTTTGCGTAATTTCTCATTCGTTCTATCTCTGTACAGTTACGTTCACTTCGTTAAACTAAATGTTCCATGAGCATATAATTTGCGCAACATTTTAACTAAATGTAAATATAAATGTTCCCGCTAACGATTCAACTGCACATATCGTGAGCTGAAGAAGATGTTTTAACCCTTTTACGTTCCAATGACGGAACAGAATTGGAAGAAAGACCTTGTGTCCACCGCGTATATTCAGCGCGTATTCACCGCATATTCACCGCGTATTCACCGCGTATTCACCGTGCGTCGCCGTGTGTCGCTGTGTGGTCTCCTCGTGCGAGCAGGACGAGGAGCACCTGCTGCTGGCGCCGGGCGACCTCTTCCTGCGACCCTCGCCGCTGGCGTCGCCCGTGCCCTGCGACCGCGGCCGCCCCCACGCGCCGCAGAAACCGCGGCAGTTCCGTGTGACGCGCACGCCCGTGCTGGAGAGCGTCAGGTGCGAGCGAGTGTGAGTGTGTGCGTGAGAGTGTCTGTGTGTGTAGTGGGGAGCGGTAGTGTAGCGGTTAGGCGACGCTGCGCTATGAACCCGGCGACACGGGTTCGATTCCCGCTCACGGTCCAACACCGGTGGCGATTATCTGAACCGGTCCTGGGCCTCCCCTAGGTCGACTCAGCCTCAAATGAGTACCTGGTGCGGTGTGTAAACATTGCCACTAGGGAGACAAAGGCGGTCGGGCGTGGTGCTGGCCACCCACTCCCTCGTGTACCGTTCCGGCCATCATAGGTGCTCGCTAACAGCACTTGCCCCTACAGTCTGTTAAGGCTATATGGGGGATTTTTGTCTTTGTGTATAGTGGTTAGCGCCCTGCGCTGCGAACCTGGCGATCCGGGTTCGATTCCTGGTCACGGCCAACACCAGTGACGATTATTTGAACCGGTCGACTTGGCATCAAACGATGTGCAAACAGCACCACTGGGGAGACAGAGGTGGCGGGGCGTGGTGTTGGCCACCCACCCCCTCGTGTGCCCTGGTGGCATTCATAGGTGCCCGCTAATAGCACTTGCCCCTACAGTATGTTAAGGCTATGTGTGCGAGTGTGTGAGTGTTCCATGTGATGCACATGCCCTTGCTGGAGCGCATTAAGCTGGACACACGGCATCTTGAGACACGGCCATCATACAGGGTGCAGGGGATGCGAGATGCTGCTGATACATATCGATTAGAAAAGAACAAAAATATGTTTTAATTGTGGTACATTGTAGGACCTTTAGTGTCTGCGCGGGGCCATGTGAGCCAGGGATATACTTCAAATACAATTCGGTAATATTGGATTCTCACACACATGATTCCATGCATGTATCGTGAGCGTAAGAATCAATTTCAGTCGATGCACTGTTTCATCGCTGCACCCGTTCCCCGCCCCCCCAATTGTCAGTAACATTTTTCCATGGTTTTTTCTCGCCATCGTCTTCGTCGTTGTTGTTTGGTGTTGGCAGGAAGTGTCTGGAGGGTGGCACGGGCCGCCCCGTCAGCGTGCTGGACAACGAGTGCTTCGCCGCGCGCACGCTGCTCCACCGATTCGTCGTGCCCGCCACGCTGGTGCGACACGCACGCAACCGCTCACTCGCACGCACGCATGCTCGCTTGCGCGCACGCACGCACGCGCAACCACGCGTGCGCAGCCGCACGCACAGCCGGTGGAAGACTGCGCACGCGACCACCAACGCAGCTGCAACACGCGGCCGCTTGAAGCTGTTTTCCAAAGATGTTCCAGTAGGGCCGCGGGGTCAACGAGTTACATCAACAAACAATAATAAAAACACGAATTAGAGCAAGATAGAGAAAACGTAAGCAAGTCGCTCAAATAAACAAATATAAATAAAGTAGTACTAATTGCACAAGTGCATACATTTCTGCTGATTTGTAAACACCAACTGCAAGCTTGGGGCGAAGCAGATTAACGACAATGAATACAGTCCCAAACCACGCACAGTCCCTCGGTTTTATTGCACATTAAGATGTAACTATCGATACACGGGTAAGATTCAAAGTTACAAATCACATCGGCTAATGTGGCTGTTAATCCGATAAGCACGGTTGGCTACTTACGGTGTGAAATAAGTTCAACATACATGCGTATGTAGCACAAATCTTCTGGCACTAACCCGGAGAAAACCCACCACGCGTACAAGGACTTCATAGTGCCACGCCTACAACACCTGGCAAGCCCCAGTAGTCACCTATCCGAGCGCTCAACAGGTTCTACCCTGCCTAGCTTCCGAGACCCAGCGGTCAATTATCACGTATGGTCCTAGCCCGGCCAATTCAAGCGATTGAATGATGCCCTCGATTCCCTGTCCACAGCTTCTCCTGCTGGTCACCAACGCTCTGCGGTTTATCCTGAAGGCGCCCGGCATTGGAAGTCCTGTCTACACGTTCATACAACTGCAGGTACGCCCCGCAGCCCGTTGCCCATAGCCCAGTGTTATGGCGGTCCATCTCTTCCCCCTATTTGCCTGAAAGATTTTCTGACGGACGTTAAAAATCTATGTTGGGTAATGTCTAAAAATCAACGAGATCGGAACAGGTGGATAAACCGGGACGTCCCATCGCAACGGCTTCACCCGATTCCTCACGAGAGTGCTGCTTCAGTAACGGTAATATTCACTGACCTGGATCTACAAATAATAGCTCAACAAAGTGGCTTGTCACGTGCAAATTTATAGCAGCCAAATAATCTAAATAATCTCAATGCACGTTTCTAAATGTGGAGAGGGAAAGACCGAAGGTACCCGGAGCAAAAAAAATCCACGCGACCACGGGGAGAGACATGGAAACTCCAAATGTGCAGCAGGCGTCGCCGCCATCTCCGCTGTCAACAATTTATTTATTTGTCTCTGATTGGTCAAAAAATGTTGCTCGCCTTTCAACATTCCAGTATTTCGGAACCCACCAAATCAATTTACATATCTGCCCACGTGACTGGCGCCGTCTGATGGTGGCGAAGGGTTATAGTTTAAAAAAAAAAATTATACCAGCACAAAATATCCCAAAATTAACTTAATTATCAATCGCCGCCATCTCCGCTGTAAACCGGCACGGTGGAGACTCGCCGTGCCACCGCCAATGTCGCTCGTTCTGCCGCCCGGCTGCCTGTCGCTCTGCCCGGTTGTTCATGCAGGTGAACGGCGTCCTGCCGTTGTTGCCGCTCATCTTCCCGGGGCTCTGGGTGCTGGTGAACGCGTACGGAGAGGCCAAGGTGCTCGCACAGTTCAGCAAGGCGCCCCCCACGCCCTTGGTACGTTTTTCGCGCCTTTGCACTCTCGCCGAGAAACCCCCACCCTGCTTTGTATCTGGGGAGGAAGGGGGGGAGGCTGGCTGGAGAGGGCTGAGCACCCCCCCCCCCATAGACCCCCCCCCGCCACCACCGTACTGTTAACTCGACCCCCGTTTCTAAATTTGTACAGTCAACTCAGAAAATGTCGCTGCGATGTCTGACACCAGCGGCGATTTTTCTACGATGGTCCCCAACCTGGCGAACGCTCGTGAAAACCGCCTGCAGATCGTTTTAGCGGCCGTCGCCGGGAGATGGAATCGAACTTCGCATCCGGTCACGTGCTGCTAACCGTGTCCACTAATTTAGCCGAATAAAGCAAAACACGCCGCTTATCACGTACGTGCGTCAGGCAAGACAGCGCACCACGAGCTTGTTAATAGCCGCTCCGCTGGATGTGGCTTTGTGGGGACCCCACGTTGCTCACGGACAGCTCTCCGTTAAACTAACAACTTACCCGTTATTGGTTTAATGCCGCCACTGATGACACCGGTCCAGGGCACTGTGTCGTGATTATTTTTGTATTTTTTATTTTACTTACATTTTTTAATGTTGTGGTAAACACGTAAGCCCGGTACAACGCGTCGATAGATTTCAGGATAGGGGGACTGAAAAAACGCAGGAGGGGAGGACTTTCGGTGCTTCGATGCCCCCAACTTGTGGGATCTTCCGTCCAGGAAGGTGGGGGGAGTGAGAGCTTTTATATATATGGAGGGGGGGAGGGGAAGGTTGGGGCCGGGAAGAGGTAACCGATATTCTAAGGGGAGAGCGCGTGCAGGGAGGGGGGAGGGGGGTGGACTGCGTCGTGATTCTTGAGCAAACTCTGCTGAGTCACGCGTCGATGGTTTGTGAAAAGTCATTTTCTAAATTGAAAACTCATTCTTTTGAACTGCTTTTTTGTGCTTAGTTTGTTGTCCTTTCCCCCCCCCCCCCCGCCGCACCTCCGATTTAGCGCGGTTGGCAGCGTATGGTGCGAAAGAAGTTCAACATGCTTACACACGTCGTCGCGCCCTCCCCGTCGATCTCTCCGTGACGTTTGTGATCGCCGCTGTGTAGTGCTTTTGCCTCGCCCTCTGACGCCTCCCTGTGTTTCGCTTGTAGCTCGCTAAATTCTCTGAGGACACTATAAGCAGCTACACTGAAGTGGTGTCCTCTAAGGTACACGTACCCCCGCGCCCCCCACCCTACCCCCTACTGCTTGCATCGTCATCCTCTCCCCATTGAGCCACCTGCTTTGCCGTACCCCCCCCCTCCCCCACCATCACACCCCCCGCCCTCATTTTAACCTTGTAGATACATACCCTAAGCGGCATGACCCGGACCCTCCAACGTACATGGGAAGCTTCGTCAACGAGACGGAAAAGTTTTGACTCAAGATAATTGTGAGCGTCGTTGCGGAGACCATGAGTCTGGTTTATCATTAAAAGCGGGATGTGGAAAAGCCCAAGCAACATTGATACCAATTTATTTATTTGCGTGTGATTCGTCAACAAATGTTGCTCGCCTTTCAACATTCCAGTATTTCGGAACACACCAAATCAATTTACATGTCTGCCCACGTGACTGTCGCCGTCTGATGGTGGCGAAGGGTTATAGTTAAAAAAAAAATATTATACCAGCACAAAATAACCCAAAATTAACTTAATTATCAATCGTGATAGCCTCCGTATAGAATCGTTTCACAAAACTGTTAGCCAACGCTGCAGTGACCTCGCCGCGGTGACAGATTTAAAAGCACGGCGGTCGTGCCACTGAAACTCTCGCGGTGCCCTGGACGGTGACTGTGCAGAGCGGCGTTGCGAGTTACGTCCTTTGGATTGCATTTTCCATTCGGCGCAAGCAGCAATGTCACTCTTCACGGGATTGCACGCGTCCGTGTGCCCTTTTAAATGTTAGCAGCCGTTTCAGTTTCACCTTGGCGATCCGCGCGCATTCGGCGGCATTTTCTGCGCCCGCCGCGACGAGCCTCGCGGTGGCGATAATTCTTCCGATTGATCACATTCAGAATCTTTTATTTAGACTGGAATAATCCGATGAGCTATGAAGCATCTTATTCACAGATGTCCGGATCGATGAATCGGTTGGCCGTGTGCGGCCTAGCGAGATGGGTCTAATCGGCGTAAGCGGCCGTTCCGCCGCCCGGCTCGACAAAGCTACGCCGCGGGCAGTCGGTGCGCGACGCTCATCGCCGAACGGCAATTTCCACCGACGATGCCGGCATGAACCGGTGCTTTCACGTGCTCCGTTTGTCCCCCTGCGGTCATTCATTTCGTCATCTTTAAAAAAGTAATAATTCACATTTCGATTTAAAGCTTACGTGACTGCAGGGATTCATCTTCTTGGTTCTTTTGGTAAAGTCACGTAGAAGGGAAATAATAAAATAATAAAACATAATAAAATAATTCTCACGACGTTCCGGCCACAATGCAAGCAGCCGTCCTCAGGTGAAGAACAGGTCTGTCGGAAAGACAGCGTCTGAATGTTCAGAATAATTTTATTATGTTTTATTTTTATTACTTTATTATTTCCCTTCTACGTGACTTTACCGAAAGAACCAAGAAGAATCATTAACATCTTTAGCTCTTTCGTATGCGCATGCATGTGTGTGTGTGTTTTGCTCCATGCATGAATGTTGTTTTACTTCAGTTGCTGATGAGTGTTTCTTTTTGTTTTAACCTCTTCAAAACTCCTCGTTCCCGTCATCCTTCCCACTGCCTTGTTCAATTGTGCAATGGGCAATGTCGCAGTAACGGAACTACAACCTAAAAACTATTTTAAACTTTTTTATTTTATTTTACCAGATAACGCCCACTGAGCTATATAGCTGAATTTCAGAAGCGACCTGGCCACAAAAGATAGCGCAATGAAGTGGCTTTGTCATGTGGATATCTATATTAGGACCCGGAGAAAATTCCACGCGACCACGATGGAGACAGAACGTAGCAAATAAACAGGCGTCAGGGTCGGGATCGGATCCACGAGCTCCTGTCAATACCAGGCGAGGTAGTCAACATCTCGCTACCACAGCGCCCCTGATAAGTCACGGTATTTAACGTTCAAAGCATCATTGGCGCTTTGATAGCTTGGAACTGTTTGGCGTGATGCATAAAACCGCCTCGTTCATCGGCGGTGCCAGTACGCGCATGCTGATGTAACTCCGTTACCGCCGATTTCCCCACGGGCATCGCACCAGGCGAACGTTTCATGCCAGGGGTGTATCGACGCATCGGTTCAATGATTTAACGTCGATTCTAAAAGCTCGCCACATACATATACGTGTGTCGAAAACGCGCGTACTGGAGTTGATGCATTTTCTGTTCCTGAAAATTATACACAAACCGTAAGTCTTGTGAAGGAAACTGCACGACAAATGGGGCGGATATGATGAGAAACAATACAAACGAAACGGCGGAAATGAGACAATGCCTGAAACGTTAACCTATTGACTCGGACTTTTTATTCAATACCTGGCGCAGTGTAAAAGCATCGGCTCTGGGGAGACAAAGGCAGCTGGGGGGACCCCCACCCTCTTATGCGCCATGCTAACAGCGACTCGCCTCTGCCCACGGTCTGTTAAAGCAGCGGCACAGTGGCGCGGTTGGCATGGGCGCTGGTGCAGGTCATGAAATGGAGCATCCTGTCCTGATTTCCCTGCCTGTTCATTAGCCTGGCACTTGGAGGGGGGGGGCACCTCCGGGCGCACGGTTGCCCGACGCACTTGCACGGCCCGTGCACTCGATAGCCACACCGCCGTGTGAATCGTTACACGGTGATCCGTGTGGTTCTGCCGGTGTCTGCGTGCGTTACCCCGCTCGCTCGCTCCTCCACCCCTGGTGCCTGAGTTCGTGCCCCCCCCCACCTCCCTGTCTGCACCACCCCCCCACCCCCCCCCCCCCCATAGGAAATGTGCCTGTGCGAGTGGAGCCATTTCATCCGCGTCCTCCGCGGACGCTCGCCGGCGCTGTGCCAGACCGGCAGCCTCCTGCACAACCTGGGCTCCGTCACGGTGCGTTGGCGTGCGTGCGTGCGTGTGTGTGTGTGTGCCTGTCCGTTTTGTTCTTTGTCCGTCTATTTTGTCGCTCATTCATATAATCTCTATCCTGTGCCCTTTTGTGTACGTCTGTGTGTCTGTCAACTCTCCAGTATGTCGATCGGTCTGTTTGTGTCATGGGGAGCGATAGTGTAGCGGTTAGCGCGCTGCACTATGAACCCGGTGACCCGAGTTCTATTCCCGCTCAAAGCTAACACCAGTGACAATTATCCGAATAGGTTCTGGGCCTCCTTTAGGTCGACTCGGCCTGAAATTAGTGCCTGGTGCGGTGTGTAAACATCTTGTCCACTCGCCCCCTCGTGTGCCGTGCTGGCCTTCATAGGTGCTGCTCGCTTACAGCACTTGCCCCTACAGTCTGTGAAGGCTATACGGGGGATCATTGTCTGTCTGACTGTTCAGCTGTTCATCTATTGCTGCTGCTGTTGCTGCTGCTGTTGCTGCTACTATTGCTGCTATTGCTGCTGTTGCTGCCACCGCCGCTGCCACCGCTGCTTCCACTGCTGCTCCCATTCCTGCTGCTGCTCCTGCTGCCACTGCTGCTGCCACTGCTGTCACTGCTGCTGCCACTGCATCTGCCACTGCTGCTGCTCCTGCTGCCACTGCTGCTGCCACTGCTGCTGCCACTGCTGTCACTGCTGCTGCCACTGCATCTGCCACTGCTGCTGCTCCTGCTGCCACTGCTGCTGCCACTGCTGCTGCCACTGCATCTGCTACTGCTGCTGCTCCTGCTGCTGCTGCTGCTGCTACTGCCGCTGCTGCTGCTGCTACTGCCACTGCTGCCGCTGCTGCCACTCTCTGGCTGCGCAGGTTCTGTGCTGCGTGGACAAGCAGGGCGTCCTCTCCTGGGCGAACCCTAGCCCCGAGAAGGTGGTGTTCTTCAGCAGCCAGCCCGGCCCAGAGCCCGGCTACGACGACGACGACGACGACGACGACGGAGAAGAAAAGGACGACGAAGATGAAGACGAGGAAATGGGAGAGGAGGAGCGCGGGGACGAGGTGGACGGGGTGGACGAGGTGGAGGAGGTGGACGAGGTGGCGGACGCCCGGAGGAGGAAGGCGGGCAGAACGTCGGTGTCGGGGTCGTCGAGCGCCGTGCGGCTCCTGGAGGCCGAGTGGACTGAGGTGAGGGGAGCACGGTGCGACCCGCGGTCGCGCCGGTCAGCGCGTCTGTGTGTTGGTGAAGGGGAGTGGGGGTTGGGGGTGGTGGGTACGGACATCGCTTACTGCTGGTGTGAAACAGCCGTGGACGTGAGAATGGAACTCGTGTTGCCTGGGCTTTCGTCGCGCAGTGTGCGAATCGCTGCACCACCGTTCCACCGAGTGTGTACTTATGTTGAGCTTATCGGAAGGAAGAGCGTTCCTGACGGCCGCAGAAGCTCATCTGAAAGTGCGCGATGCGGCGACCGTCTTTGTTCGATGATTGAGCCAAAAGCCGCCGCTGTGAGGATGACCGGAGTTTGCGTGATGGTTTATGCTCCCTGACGAGATCAGCAGGGTATTGTGGTTCATTTGTGACAAGCACCTTGTATGTAAATGAGTCCGACCTTTAATGTGTTCGTGGAACCAGTGCTATAAAGCTGTATACGAATTGCTTCCGTAGCCTTCCGCCATAAGTCTGATATCACGTGCGCATAACTCGGGAGCCTCAAACAACATAAGCAACATACGGGTGTCGTTCTGACGGTTCCATTCCCCGCCCCTCCCTGAGCAGTTACGCGAGACACAGTCCCTCCTCCCGCCGAACGCCGACATCGAGCGCGGCCCGGACCAACCTCCCCGCCCGCTCGAAGGAGGTCGAAGGTCAAGTGCCGCCCCTAGTGCCGCCGCCGCCACCGCCACCAGCGGTGCCAACGCCGCCACCTTCGCCGTCGGCTCGAGCCCTCGGTGCTGCCCGCCAGCGACCCCCGCGGCCAAACCGGCGGGGGCGTCCGTCGTCAGCTTCTGCCAGTGCGTGGAGGGCGGCGCCGGCGAGCCGGAGAAGGAGCGGCGCAGGGACGGCCTCGAGGTGGAGGTGAGAGTGGGGTCACCTTTGGGCTCTGGGTGTATGCTCCGGGGGAGGTGGGGGGGCGGGCAGTGACGGTGGTGAAGTATGGTCAAAGATTTCCGTTCCGAACACGACGTTGAGAGGCCTTCCATTTCTTTAGAACTGATTGATTTGTTTAGTTTTCTGTCCTTCCCTCGCACCTCCGATTAGTACGGTTTGCTACGTACGGTGAGAAAGAAGCTCAACACGCATACCGACATACAACTTCTAAAGCGTGGCCGCTCCCCCCCCGGGCCACAGGCCATCGCCGAGCTGGCGGAAGAAGAGGAGGAGGAGGAGGAAGCGGCGACGGCGACGGGGGCGAAACGCCATGGCGACGGCGGGGACGACGTGGACGGGGAGACGGACGACTTCGTGTGCGACTACCGCCTGGAGGTGCTGAGCCTGTCGCAGGACCAGCAGAACCCAGGCGAGCGTCCAGTTCGACGACGCGCGCTGGCCGCTGCACGCCACCTCGCTCAAGCCGCTGGGCCTCAACGTGCTGCTCACGGCGTGCAACGCGCCGCTCGCCCCGCGCACACTGCGCCTGTGCGACCACCTGGCGCAGGCGGCTCGCGCCGGCAGGGCCGCCTCATCCTGCCTGCCCACGCGGCCGCCCTGGGGGCTCTGCGAGCTGCCTCGCATCATAGGTTCGACTCCGCGATAGGGGTCGGGGAGGGAAGGCGGCCGGGGTGATGTTGCGGGTTGGGTTGCGGGGTTGGGGGGTCTGTGATTGGAGGCTGGCGTTGTGTTTTCTTTATTTATGTTTTCATGATATTTCAATAGGAGTCCAGCATAGAGCACAGACCGCGACGTAGGGAGTGGGTACAGAAACTCCGCAGACCTTGGTTTCGAACGCTGTGCCCCTGAGTTTAAAGAAGGAGGTGGGGAGAGTGGGCTCGCTGCTCTTGCGGTGTGTCTTGATTTGCCGGTGTTGGATTTGGGTGCAGTACGAATGATTGGGCGGGTGGGATTGGTGAAAGTATGAATGAGTGGCTGAGTGGATTGATGAGTGTATTAAGACTAAAGGAGGTATAGAGTGCATGAATGAGTAAGTCAACAAGAACATTGGTGGTTGAATGAAGGAGTAAAGGAGGAAGTTATTGAGTGTATTAATAACAGAGTGTGAGTGACCGAGTGGCTGAATGGAAGATTGCATGATGGAAGCGGCTGTTTGAGCGATGCAGCGAACTGGCGAGTGAATGAACAATCGGCTTGCCGGATGCGCGACTTTGTCAACGAATCAGCGGCCGATCAAAACTTAACTCATTATCGACTGACCATGCGAACCAACCAACCAACCAACGAGCGAGCGGCTGAACGTAAGGTCGCGCTCGACGGCCGAGCTTGAATGTGGACGGTGCCGCGCGGGCGGGCGGGCAGGCAGGTGGCTGAGCGTGTTTTGTGTGTCCGCGACGCAGGCTTCACGCCCGGAGCCAAGGACGTGTTCTCGGTCGAGAGCTACCTGGCGCTCTTCCAGCTGCCGAGCGGCGAGCACCTCCCCTCGGGGCGCGACCGCGCGCGCCGCCTCTCCGCCGTCGTCAAGCGCCGCCTCCCGATCGGACACCTCGTCTCTCTCCTCGTCAAGGACCTCAATTCTGGTGAGAGGAACCGGCGGGCGGGAGCGGGGAAGGGCAGGGTTCGATCGGGGGGGGCGGGGAGGATGGGCAGAAGCGATTGGAGGCGTTTGCGGTGTGGCTTGATTTGTTGCCGTTGGATTTCAGATGCGCTTCTGCGGCAGTCTGGAATGTTCTTCCTTCCGATATTAGGAAGCCAATGGGAGCTATGCACTTTTAAATAATCATCAAGATTGACAAACGATTTAAAGCTTTCGTGACTGCAGGGATTCATCTTCTTGGTTCGTTCGGTAAAGTCAGGTAGAAGGGAAGTAATAAAATAATAAAACCTATTATTTTATTATTTTATTACTTCCCTTCTACGTGACTTTACCGAAAGAACCAATAAGATTGACAAACGAATTTCTGTAGAACTGCTTTTTAAGTTTAGTTGTCCTTCCCCTGCACATCCGATGAGCACGTTTGACTACGTACAGTGCGAAAGAAGCTCAACACGCATTTGGTATTAATTATTGGGTGGGTGGGATTGGTGACAGTATTAATGGCTAAATGAATGAGTGGATGAGTGAGTGTGTGAATACCGAAGGAGTTATATAGTGCATGAATGAGTGAATGAGTAAATCGCCCAACAGTATCCTGATCTGTTCTCTTACACAATCTTGTCTCAAAAGTCTGAATGCTGTCTCACACTCCCACAGTGGCCGACTGTCTCACGAACTCTTCCATCATGTTTCACTGTCACGCACTGTGGCCCCCTCTCAGCACCGTGTCACGTGCTCCACGCTCAGCCTCCCTGTCTCACACTGCGCTCTGCCTTCTCACAAAGTCTCCCACCACCTCCCACCATCTATCGCCATCTCTCGACATCTCAAATATCTCCCAGCACAGTCTCGCACAGCAACCCATCTTCTGCTGCTCCACCGCACCAGACAAAACTATTTTTTTTATTTTACCAGGTAAGGCCTGCTGAGCTATATAGCCTTTTTGAGAAGTGACTTGACCACAAATAATAGCACAACGAAGTGGCTTATCGTGTGTACATTTATTGCAGCCAAATCCCCTGAACAGCGGCGGTTGCGCGTTATTACTGTAGGCCCCGTACTTTGGCCCATCTTTCACCGCAGTCGGCGAAATTTCACTTCCGGGACAAAACGAAAACTCGAAATCCCTGCCGTGGATTTTTATTACTCGAAACGATTCTCCCACCATCTCGGCACCCACAGGAGACCTGCAGCTGCTGTCCCACGGCACGGCCGACGTGGTGCTGGATGCCTGCACAGACTTCTGGGATGGGTTCGACATCTACCCGCTGTCTGCCTCCGACAGGTGACGTCCCTCCTGTGCTCCTGCCGTCTCCTGCGCTCGCGAACACGCAAAGACAGAGATCCCCCTTATAGCCTTAACAGACTGTTTGGGGAAGTACTGTTTGTGAGTAGCACCTGTGAAGGCTGGCACGGCACGCACGGGGTGGGGGGGTGGTGACCCAACACCAACACCACCACCACGCCCGGTTGCCTTCATCTCCCCAGTGGCAGTGTTTACACACTACACGAGGTACTCATTTCAGGCATACAAACACAAAAGACACAGACATGCGGTCACAATCACACACAGCCTTGTTGTGGCAATCGCACAGGCTTGCGGCGAGGATTGTGATGAGGTTTAGTTGGCACCAGACCAGAATTTGTGTGGCTTGGCTAAGTAGAAGTGCGTGGGGCTTGTTGCTCACCATGTGCCCTGGTTGAGCCTGACAAAAATTTTGTAGCCCTATCTTATACTTGGGCACGTGCGTGTGTTCTCCGTTTGGCGTGCGTGTGTTCGTTGGGTGTGTGCGTGTTTGTGTGTCTGCTGTTTGGTGTGCATGCGTGTGTGTTCGCTGTTTGGTGTGTGTTTGTGTGTCTGCTGTTTGGTGTGCATTGTGCGTACGCTGTGTTTTCTGTTTGGCGTGTGAGTTGTGCGTACATGTGTTCACCGTTTGCGTGTGTGTTGGGTGTCGTCGCGCTCGACACGCGTACCCGCGTCCGCGCACAGGAAGAAAGTCCTCGACTTCTACCAGCGCACCTGCCTCTCGGGATACTGCGTCGCCTTCGCCTACAAGCCCATGCACGGGCCGCTCGCGCCCGAGCTGGACAGGCGCTGCGTCGAAGCTTCCCCCGGGTCACGACCCCTTCGGGGCCATCGCGGCCTCCGCCAACGCCTCCACCACCGTGGCCGCCCTCTCGGCCCCCGGCGGGCCGGCCGAGAACCTGGGGGGCAGTCGCCACGCCGACACCCCCGGCCACACGCCCGTCAAGACGAGCGGCGCTCGCAAGAACAGCTGGAGCTCGGACGGTGAGACCCTCGGCTCACTTTTATGACGCGCTTTCCAACCAAGGGTACGACCGTGGTGAGATGTTAACTACCTCGCCTGGTATGCAGGAGGTCGTGGGCCCGACGCTTACGATGCCTGTATATTTTGAGTTTGCATGTTCTCCCCGTGGTAACATGGATTTTTCTCCAGGTCCTAGAAACATGATTTGAGGTTATTTGGCTGCTATAAATGTCCACATAAGCCACTTCGTTGGGCTATAATTTGTGGCCAGGTCACTTCTAACTCAGTGGGCCTTACCTGCTCAAATTAAATAGTTTATTTGTCTAAATCGTTAATGCATTAGCCCTGTCTGCCTGCAACGGGGGAGTTATGGTAACGACCGTAAGGACGATGCTGTTCGCGACTTACCATATAGAATAACTGACCACATTAATTAAACGGTTTTCCTAAACTCAGTGAATAAATGTATTTATTTATTGCCTCTACTGATTAACTTTTATTCTAGTTTTTCTTCCAGTACGTGTATATCATCGGAACGGCAAAGGGTTAAAGAGTCTTTGGACGCCAGGTGAAATCCACGTCGTGTCGTTACCGTGTTGTCGCCGCCGTCGCCGCTTGCTGGCGCGCGGCAGAGGGCATAGGCGAGGGCGCGGAGAGAGGCGAGGGCGTGCAGGCGCTGTCGGGGCAGATCTTCATGGGGCTCGTGTCGGCGCAGTACCAGGCGCGCCTCGACATCGTGCGCCTCATCGACGGCCTGGACAGCGCCTGCATCCGCTTCGTCTACTTCTCCATGGAGGACGAACTCCGCAGCAAGGTCCGCCAGCGCTGGCGCTCACGCAGCAGCTGCAGCTGCAGTAGCAGCAGCAGCAGCTGCAGCAGCAACAGCAGCAGCAGCAGCTGCAGCAGAAGCGACGGCCACAACACTGATGACACTGATTCCAGCCTGAGTAGTAATACCAGCTGCAGCATTAACGCATAAGAGGCTTTTTGGGTTAGATCGCGTAAATATGAATGTGTCGTTAAACCCGCCACCACCCGACACCGCCGATTAGTAAGGTTTGTCACGCACCGGTTAGTGCTGTACTAGTAACGAATTGGCATGTTCTGTTTACGTGACAAACCTTACTAATTGGTTAAGCATGGGAGATGGAGTGGCAAAATCGGCTCGTATGCAGGAGCTGGCTAGATGACAACGTAGCGGGATTTATTGAGATGGCGGTGGGGTGGGGAGGCTTTCATCCAGTGGTGTGCCGACCGTGGATGATGTTGATGATGACCACTACTTCGCAATTTCAGATGCGCTTCTGCGGCCGTCTGGAATGCTCTTCCTTACGATATTAGGAAGCCACTGGAGCTACGCACTTTTAAATCATCTAGATTGAAAACTTATTTCTTTAGAACTGCTTTTTGCGATTAGCACAGTCGGCTACATGCATACCTACGCACTCAGCCTTGACAAATACTGCGGGTGTTGGACTGCGGTGAACGATGCCGTCAGTGCGTGCGCGTGTGCGCGTGTGCACGTGCGAGTGCAGGTGTTTGCGGAGAAGATGGGCCTGGAGTCGGGCTGGAACTGCCACATCTCACTGCAGTCCAGCGGCTACGACCTGGGCACGGACGCGCCCCCGCACAGCCCCAGCCAGGCCAGCTCGCTGCACGACCACGCTCAGCAAGGTGATGCCGCCGCCACCGCGCCCCCCCCGCCACCCCTACCCACCTCACTGCTGCTTGCCCCGGGAAATCGTGCGATGGCGACATTGACCCCTGACCTATGACCCCATGCGGATGCTCAGAAAGGGAGGTGCAGATGTTGCTGGAGGAGGAGACGCACTCGGACGTCGTGAGCTACCCTCCCACAGACAGCGACGCGCCCAGCATCCTCGAGTACTCCAACCGGGTCCGCCATGCATGCACAAAGACAAAGATCCCCCGTATAGCCTTCATAGACATGTTGGGGCAAGTGCTGTTAGTGACCTACCTAATGAAGGCCAGCACGGCACATCAGGGGGTGGGTGGCCAACACCATGCGCCCTTGTGTGCCGTGCCGGCCCAGTGGTGATGTTTAACCACTGCACTAGGTACTCATTTGAGTTCGTCGACCTAGGGGAGGAAGCCCAGCACCGGTTTGGATAATCGTCACTGGTGTTGGCCGTGAGCGGAAATCGAACTCGGGCTGCCGGATTGATAGCGCAGTGCGCGAATTGCTACATTACTGCTCCCCATGCATGCAAATGCGCGCACGCATACAAAGACAAAGATCCCCCCTATAGCCTGAACAGATTGTTGGGACAGGTGCTGTTGGCCTATGCACGTGTACACACACTCTCACACAGTTCCACATCTAACACGCGTGCAACAATAGCATCTATATTGGTGGTGACGTCACTAGACTATTGTGTCAAGCTAGGTGCTCATACAGGCCACTTGAAGGCTTGCTGACAGGAGGTCACCAGAGAGACCCAGGTGTAATAGGGCCACTGGCTGAGATGACAAGCAGATGCACACCATCTCTTCTCCCTACTGTGCCAACTTACTGCGTTTTATCCGCCCATTCTGAGCGTCGCTCCTCTGCCCTCTATTGTTGCTGAAGGGCTGGCTGCCTCCAACTTCCCAAAAGCATCCTTCACGAGCCTCAGGCACATATCGATACCTCAGCAAGTCTAATCGGCTTCAAACAATGCGATACCACGCGAGTCCATCTGCTCTGTAGCCGATACGCCCATTTAGCTCTGTCTGGCCAAACAGAATTCGGAAACCAACGGAAAGTCCTTGACCCAGACGGGTCTACCGTGCAACAACTGTATGATCTAGCAGCAGGAAGTCACGGTGGAGTGTGGTGACATCGGCAGCATTGGCCCTGATGACCTCTTGACCTTGACCTGCGTTCTTGATCTCGTTTGGCACAGGCGAAACTTCCTCGCGGCATCGAGAACGTGCGGCCGCACCTGGAGAATATCGACAACGTCCCGCTCCTCGTTCCGCTCTTCACAGACTGCACGCCCGACAGTGAGACACTGACACGTGGCCCTGAGCTGGTGCTCACCCCTAGCCCGACAGTGAGACACTGACACGTGGTTCTGAGCTGGTGCTCACCCCTAGCCCGACAGTGAGACACTGACACGTGGCTCTGAGCTGGTACTCACCTCTAGCCCGACAGTGAGACACTGATACGTGGCCTTGAGCTGGTGCTCACCCCTAGCCCGACAGTGAGACACTGACACGTGGCTCTGAGCTGGTACTCACCTCTAGCCCGACAGTGAGACACTGACACGTGGCTCTGAGCTGGTGCTCACCCCTAGCCCGACAGTGAGACACTGACACGTGGCGCTGAGCTGGCCCTAGTGTGCAAACATCGCCACTAGGGAGACAAAGGCAGCCAGGCGTGGGACTGGCCACCCACCCCCTCTGCGTGCCATGCCGGCCTTCATAGCTGCTCGCTAACAGCACTTTCTCCCACAGTCTGTTGAAGGCCACACGGGAGTAGACGTTCATTGTTTGTGTTTTTCCACACGCGCGTCTCCAGCGATGTGCGAGATGGTGGCGGTGATGCAGGAGCACGGCGAGGTCGTCTGCTGCCTCGGCAGCTCCGCCAACGTTCGCAACGGGCGCGTGTTCCTGCAGAGCAACGTCAGGTGGGCACGCGCGCACACACATGCGCACACGCTCACCCTTGCACATACACGCACACCTTTGTATATACACACACACACGCTCATGCATGCGCACACATGCTTATGCATACGTGCAGTGAGTCCAACTGAGTCGCAGACGTTATAGGCAACAGCTCACCAAGCTCTCCGCTAGGGCTGGTACTACACTCATCTACGGGGTGTACGCGATGGCGGTGCATCGCACGCCGTGCTATAGTAAAGCCGGCATCACACAGCGACCCTCCCGGGCCGGCACCATACAGTGGCATCCCTGATGTCACTACATACGTACACACGCACACGCTATGTACATATGCATCCTGATTCAAAGACAAAGATCCCCCTTATAGCCTTAACAGACTGCTAGGGCAAGTGCTCTTAGCACCTATCGAGGTAGGCATGGCACACGAGGGGGTGGGTGGCCTGCACCACGCCCAACCGCATTTGTCTCGCTAGTGGTGATCTTTACACACCGCACCAGATACTCATTTGAGGCTGAGTCAACCTAGGGGAGGCCCAGGACCGGTTCAGATAATCGTCACTGGTGATGGCCGTGAAAGGAAAACAAACTCGGGTCGCCGAGTTCGTAGCGCAGTGCGCTAACCGCTGCACTACCGCTCCCCACTGCGGACACAAAGATAAAGATCCCCCGTATAGCCTTAACAGACTGTAGGAGCAAGTGCTGTTAGCGAGCACCTATGAAGGCTGGCACGGCACACGAGGGGGTGGGTGGCCAGTACCACGCCCGACCGCCTTTGTCTCCCCAGTGGCGATGTTTACACACCGCACCAGGTACTCATTTAAGGCTGAGTCGACCTGTGGACACACACACACACATACATGCGCACTTACGCTCGGCGCACCTGAGAACAAAACAAAACCACCCGAACCGCGCCGCTTAACCCTGCACGCCGGCGTCGGTGGTGACGCCAGTCGGCGGTGTCGTCGGCGCAGCATCGCGGTGGACCCTCTGTACCCGTCACGGTGCACGTGGGAGCGGTTCGGCTTCGCGCCAAGCGGCATGCCGGCGGACACGGAGGCGCAGGGCGGGGGGCCACTGCGCCTGTCGGGGCAGCTCAACGGGCTGCCCTGCTCCGTGGCCTTCCACCACGAGGAGAACCTCAGCATCATCAAGCTCATCAAGCAGGCGAGAGGACCAGACGCACGCATACACATGTCGTACAAAGACCAAGATCCCCCCGTGTAGCCTTAACAGAATGTCGGGGCAAGTGATGTTAGCGAGCACCCATTAAAGCCGGCAAGGCACACGAGGGGGGTGGGTGGCCAGCACCAAGCCCGGCCGCATTTGTCTGACTAGGGGCGATGTTTACACACCTGCACCAGGTACTCATTTAAGGCTGAGTCGACCTAGTGTAGGTTCAAGACTGGTTCAGATAATCGTCACTGGTGTTGGTGGCCGTGCGCGAGAATCAAACTTGGGTTTGCCCGGTTTATACGCTCACCGCTGCGCCACCGCTCCCCACACACGCACTCACGCACACGTGCATGCACGTGCAAGAATTCGCCAAAGACATAAACCTCCTCCCACGAACCGTGAACTTTCGCAACGCAGCTACCGCTGGGCCACGCCACCGCACCCACCTTGGCATATTCGTCTCGAACTCTGTGGCCGTAAAATAAAACGCAAGTATTACAATAAATTTCGATTTAAAGCTTTCGTGACTGCAGGGATTCATCTTCTTGACAAGTATACAATAGACGACGTTTCGGGCAATGGCCCTTCTTTGCAGCACGTAGAGAGAGAGACGCCAGAGAGCTCGGGTGCCCTCAGCCTAGGGTTCACCGCCCGTCCGTCTGGATTTGGCCAGGACAGTCCTGGGAAACAGCCATTGTGTCCATGTAGCAAGATTGACAGCGGCACAATGTCTAATTTTAGACGTCCAGTCACTGTGTGCGTCCGGAGCTGGGAAGTCTTGCTGTGCCGGACAAACAAGAACAGCGGCTATTGTTATCTGCAGGGAAATATAACACCCATTGTTTATCCAAGAAAGAGTTTCGAAGCTCTTTTTTTTTTTCAAATCAAATCTCTTTGATTTGGGTCCTGCTTCACGGGCGTCTGACCAACTCTGCGAGCGAGCGTTTTGGACGCGTGTCGGGAGGTAACCTACTCGGGACGTCTGTGAAAAAAGAGCTTCATGGCTCATCGGATTCCTCCAGTCTCAATACAGATTCTAAACTGGTAGTACCTGGGGGGGAGGGGGGGGGAAACGATTAATACAAATGTGATCGCATTCACGGCTCCACACAGATATACACAGGAATCTGTCCTGCCGTATCCCGGCCACCAAGCAGGCCCAAGTGAGGTGGTGTGTGTAGGGAGGAGCAGTACAACAAGTCGTTTTCTGACAAGCCACCGTTGTGTTTTTAGGTTCAGCGTTCTCCCCTTGATTGCGTGGATTGTTTCCGGGCACTCAGGATTCCTCGCACACCTCCAAACACTCACTTCTTGAAACTGGCCAAATATCTTATTTGCAGCAACCTTTGTTACCGAGGCTCTCCTGGGTTTCTAATTGGCATAGTTGGCATTCTATATTTGCCTGCAATTGTGTATTTCCAAAACGATAACTTTTACGGTTACCAATCGGTTATCTGCAATACACAGAGTTAAACCGGACGCCCAGCAGACTTATCCTTGAGTCGGTCTTTACCCTGTTTTTACCACTGGCACATCCGAGCTGAGCCAACGTGGGGGGTTTGCATCGCTGTACTTACTGGTGGCTTTCCACTGGCCATGCGCCGTGCCGGTAATAGCAGCTGTCTCATGCACAGAGACACATTCTGATATACACACACAGAGCTACATACAGAGATACACACACAGAGATGCACAGAGATCCATACACACAGGTACATATACAGAGATACACACAGAGTTACAACATTGTGTGTATATCATCTTGGTTCTTTCAGTAAAGTCACGTAGAAGGGAAATAATAAAATAATAAAAATAAAACATAATAAAATAATTCTCACGACGTTTCGGCCACAACGCAAGCAGCCGTCCTCAGGTGAAGAACAGGTCTGTCGGGAAGACAGTCACGAAAGCTTTAAATCGAAATTGTGTGTATATTTGGCGTGTACTGTGTGTGTGTACTGTGTGCGTACTGTGTGTGCAACTCGGTAGGCAGCAGTCTCGACGTGCGGTTTCACTTTGTTGCGCCCTTTCCTTGGAACGTTTCTACCATGACTTCTACCTCCGCGTAGAGCGAGTGTAATCCCGTGAGCCTGTACCTTGACACTCAAGCGCTCTCGTTGCCTTCCGATTGGGTCCGTCTGCCAGGCGAGGCACACCATCAACGGCATGCGCAAGTGCTTCCTCTTCTTGCTGCAGTGTCAGCTGTCCCTGGTGCTGCTGCAGGTGGGTGCACGCTTCACGGGGGCGCTGTCCGCGAGGCACGCTCGACGACTCGCCAAACGCGGCGGGGACGTGGAGCCGTTTGTGCCGCACGGCAGTCGGACGAATTGTCGCGATTCGGTGTCAGGATTCTGTTCCGAGAATTGACACCTCTAATTAGGGAAGGAGTTGGTTACGAGCACCCCCCATGAGAGCAAGGCCTTTGTGCGTGCTTAGATTCACTCCTATTCGCACCTAAGATATGCACGGTTGGCTACGTACGGTGCGACAGAAGTTCAACATACATGCATACATCCGAAATAGTGTGCTTATATCAGAAGTTTCACTTCGACTCCCCCCATCGGTATCATGTAGGCACGTGGTGTGAAAACACTGGTCAACAAAACTTTTTTTTTTTCTGGCCTGGACTTTTGCAGCTGTTTTAGACTAATTTCAGGGTGCTGATTCCAAATCTGATCTCAGATTTGCTCTATCACATCTCATTTTATGCTATCGGCATACCCCATTTTCATTGATTTTACCCGAAATTAACTCTGTCACTTATGATTGCAAGTTGTTGTGAGTCAGTGACTGCTTTAGTGTTAAAATATGGTGCTGTATTTTTAGGATAGTGTGTTTATAATATCATTTTATGTAGATATCCACATTTATTTAATATTTTTCGTCTGCAGTTTTTATTGAAAATGCAATATTTGATATCTCAAAAACCTGATGTGATCGACAAAAACTGATGCCAGATTTGGAATCAGCACCCCAAAATTACCTTAAAACCTTATGCCAGAAAAAAGGTGTGTTGACCAGTGAAATATGAAGTGTGCTTATATCCAGCTTAAATTATATATATCGTTAATACCATCTCGTTTGCATCGTTTATCAAACATTAGCATAGCATTAGCATAATGATTGCATGCAATTGGCACGAATTGTAATTAACTTGATACCGCACGCAAAGCTTTCAATGCACGCAGTGTGAGCGGGTCACTCCACGCCCGGCCAGTGGTGGCCGTGTGAACGTCGCGTCGACTCCGCGGTAGTCGAGATGCGGGCGCTACGGAGTGGAGAATGACGGGTGACTGAACCGGGGCGACCCTTCCCAAACGTCGGACCACAATAACCCCGCTCGCTCCACCTCGATCACTTTCATCGCATGTGCCATTATTATAATTGCTGAAACAAGGCGCTATATGAATGTCGATAAGATATAAGAAAAAAAATCGAGTCATAACTCAAATGTGTTTTTTTATAAATTTGATTAAACAAGCCTCCGTTGTGTGGCAGTAGAATTTCCTCACGTGACTTAGAGAAGGAGCAGAGTAACTCAAGGACTCTCCTGCCCCCTCCTGATTTTAGACGACTTCTCAGAACCGCTCTGGGATTAGCTTACCGGGAAATGACCCAGCCCAAGTCGCGGATAGCAAGTTTGTGAATAACGAGGTGAATGTCTGTAAAAGTGACTTTTGTTTGCGTTGCGTGCGGCAGGTCGTGAGTTGCCTAGTCCAACTGCCGCCACCACTCAGCACGACCGACGTCCTGTGGATGTCGTGTGTGTCGCACCCGCTCATCAGGTACGATTATAAACTAAACCTGAAACTATTTTTACTTTTACCAGGCAACGCCCACTGAGCTATATCTAGCTCTTTTTCAGAAGCGACCTGGCCACAAATGATAGCTCAACGAAGTGGCTTATCACGTGGAAATTTATAGCAGCCAAATACTCTTAACGCGTCATGTTGATTCTAAATGTGGAGGGAAAAAACTAAGGACTCAGAGAAAAATCCACGCGATCACGGGGAGAGAAACACGCAAACTGCAAATATGCAGGCGTCAAGGTCGGGCTCGAACCCCCAACCTCCTGCATGCCAGGCGAGGTGGTTAACATCTCGCCACCTTGGCATCCTGGAGTTCACAAAGAAAAAACTGATTTTGATTCATAGCCATGGTGAGTGATATATATTTGTATATATACATGAATTGGTCACGTGCGCTCCATACACCAACCTACACTGACCACCGCGGTGGACTGACAGATAATTGCAAAAAAATATATGAATCAATTATTTGTTGATATCTGCTTCTTCTTGGTTCTTTCGGTAAAGTCACGTAGAAGGGAAATAATAAAATAATATTTATTTTTTATTATTTCCCTTTCGGTAAAGTCACGTAGAAGGGAAATAATAAAATAATAAAAACAATATTTTATTATTTCCCTTCTACGTGACTTTACCGAAAGAACAAAGAAGATGAATCCCTGCAGTCACGAAAGCTTTAAATCGAAAAATGATATCTGCTTGTTCAGATCATGGAAATTGTGACGGAGCCACGGTCGAGGGCCCTCCTCGTGTTGAATTTCCACCCCCGCTCCTCTGCCTCCCCTGCCCCGTGCCTCCGCAGCGTGTCGCTCCTCGGCAAGCAGCCGGACAACTCCGTCATGACGATCGCCACCGGCAAGAATCTTATGGTGCTGCCGCGCAGGGTGGGTGCCACGGTGGCAAGATGTTAACTCCCTCGCTTGGTATACGGGAGGTCGTGGGTTCCATCCCGAGCCTGCGGTGTCTCTCCCCGTGGTCGTGTGGATTTTCTCCGGATCCTCAAGTTTTTCCCTCCACATTTAGAATCAACGTGCGTTCAGAGTTTTTGGCTGCTATAAATTTCCACCTGATAAGCCACTTCATTGAGCTGTCATTTGTGGCCCGGTCGCTTCTGATAAAGAGCTACACAGCTCAGTAGGCCTTGCGCCTGGTAAGTACAAATGGTTTAGTTTAGTCTGCAGCGTCTGCTCCGCATCCACCGTCGACGCGAACTCGACTTGCCGCTCTTTCTCTTGCAGCGGCTTTTGGCTCGGCCATCGAATAAGAAGGTCATCGCATCCCGCGCCTTCAGATGCGCTTCTGCGACCGTCTGGAACGATATTAGGAAGCCATCGGAGCTATGCTAGATTGAAAACTCACTTGTTTATAACTGCTTTTTGTGTTTAGTTTGTGACATTTTCCCCCGCACCTCCGATTAGCACGGTTGGCTATATGGTACTGAAAGAAGTTCAACGTACATACATACGTGCCGCCCCCATTCCCCCCCGCCCCTCGCTCACTGCGACAGACCGTGCACTACTACGTGCTCTGCTTCCTGGGCAAGTTCCTCCCGTCCGTGTGCATTTACCTGTGCTGCTTCGCGCTCACGCTCAACGGCTTCTGCCGGGCGGGCAGCAAGAGCGTGGGAAACCACAACGCCACGCACTGCGACTCCTACCCCTTCAGGTACGGACACGGGGGGGGGGGGGGTGGCTCACACATGCGTGAGCGGTAGCAGAATGTGTGGTCCAGGTTGTGTGGGTGTGGTCTGGGTCGTGTGGTCGGAGTGGTATAGGGCAGTGGTTCTCAACCTTATCTGGCTGCTATACTTACCCCCCTTGTTGAATTTAGTTTCAACCGAGTATAACCCCCCTTGCCTGACCCAACATGGTTCTGAGAAATAAATGTATCAATAATTTAATCAATTACCCATTTTGTGAGGTATCCTAACTTGAAAGGAACTGTTATTGTTTTATATTTATATTACCCGGCCGCACCAGGGTCGCAAATGGGTACCCGTACCCGCACCCGGTCGGGTACGGGTAGCCGTTCCCTACCCGTACCCTACCCGAAATGAGTGACAAACGGTTACTCACCAGTGACTCACGGCCTACCCGTACCCGGCCGCACCAGGGTCGCAAACGGGTACCCGTACCCGTACCTGGCCGGGTACGGGTAGCCGGGTATCGGGTAGGGTACGGGTATTGGGTACCCGGTTGCGACCTCTGATGTCCAGCTGCCACATGGTGGTCTCGGTGGGGTGGCCGGCTAGTCCCGGGTTGTCGTTTGTTTGCACCGGGACATGGATGGCAAGGAACCAGGGGTGGTGTGGTCTGTTTGGGGGGTTTGGTGAGTACGAGGTTTGTTCTGGCCGGTGTGGTTGTTTTATACCGAGGTGTCATCTCCGTGGGATGGATGGCCAGCCACCACGTGCGTGTTGTGGCTGGTGTGGTGAGGATGGTTTGTGGTCTCCCATCACCAGCGTGCGGTTAGGATGGCACCTTGGTGTGGTGTGGTGGGTGGCGACTGCGGTGGCGTGGGTTTATCTGCCGATCCTCGTGTACGCTTACCGATCTAACCCGTGCGCTGTTCTCTGCCACCACCACTGCCACCATCACCACCATCATCTCTGCCACCACCATCACCACCACCAGCCAGTTTGATGGCACGCTGTGGTTCGGGGATTACTCCAACGCTCTGCTCCTGGCGCAGAAAATCACCGCCGGCTTCCTGCTCCTCAACAGCCGTGAGTGGCGTTTGATGCGGGGCTCTGGGAGAGACGCTCCGTAGGGCCGCGTGCTGATAATAGTAATGGTAACAAATAGCATTTAACTATCGATGAACTTTTAACCATTTTGAATTTGACCAGGTGAGGCCTACTGAGCTTTATAGCTCTTTTTCAGAAGCGTCCTGGCCACAGATGATAGCTCAACAAAGTGGCTCATCACGTGGACATTTATAGCAGCCAAATACTCTAAACGCACGTTTCTAAACGTGGAAGGAAAAACCGGGGGACCCGGAGAAAAATCCACGCGACCTCGGGGAGAAAGAGACGCTCAAATACACAGCAGGCGTCGGGATTGGGATCGAACCCACGACCTCCTGTATACCGGGCGACATAGTTAACATCTCCTAGCCACCGTGATGATGATGAGAGAGAGAGACGCAAACTCCAAATACACAGCAGGCGTCAGGGTCGGGATCGAGCCCACGACCTCCTGTGTACCAGGCGAGGTAGTTAACATCTCCTAGCCACCGTGATGATGATGAGAGAGAGACGCAAACTCCAAATATATAGCAGGCGTCAGGGTCGGGATCGAACCCACGACCTCCTGTGTACCAGGCGAGGTAGTTAACATCTCCTAGCCACCGTGATGATGAGAGAGAGACGCAAACTCCAAATATACAGCAGGCGTCAGGGTCGGGATCGAGTCCACGACCTCCTGTGTACCAGGCGAGGTAGTTAACATCTCCAAGCCACCGTGATGATGATGAGAGAGAGACGCAAACTCCAAATATATAGCAGGCGTCAGGGTCGGGATCGAACCCACGACCTCCTGTGTACCAGGCGAGATAGTTAACATCTCCTAGCCACCGTGATGATGAGAGAGAGACGCAAACTCCAAATATATAGCAGGCGTCAGGGTCGGGATCGAGTCCACGACCTCCTGTGTACCAGGCGAGGTAGTTAACATCTCCAAGCCACCGTGATGATGATGAGAGAGAGACGCAAACTCCAAATATACAGCAGCAGGCGTCAGGGTCGGGATCGAACCCACGACCTCCTGTGTACCAGGCGAGGTAGTTAACATCTCCTAGCCACCGTGATGATGATGAGAGAGAGACGCAAACTCCAAATATACAGCAGCAGGCGTCAGGGTCGGGATCGAGCCCACGACCTCCTGTGTACCAGGCGAAGGTAGTTAACATCTCCTAGCCACCGTGATGATGATGAGAGAGAGACGCAAACTCCAAATATACAGCAGCAGGTGTCAGGGTCGGGATCGAAGCCACGACCTCCTGTGTACCAGGCGAGGTAGTTAACATCTCCTAGCCACCGTGATGATGATGAGAGAGAGACGCAAACTCCAAATATACAGCAGCAGGTGTCAGGGTCGGGATCGAACCCACGACCTCCTGTGTACCAGGCGAGGTAGTTAACATCTCCTAGCCACCGTGGCGCCCAACTGCTTGGTCTCCACGAGAGCGAGTGCTCGATAGCCCCTCTCGAGGGTACGCGCCCTTTAACCTCTCAGCAGCCGGGCTAGCCGCAGCGACGTGTGCGTGACGTTGTGTCTGTGCCCTTGGCAGTGTGCGTCCTGGTGACCCACGTGCATCGCACCCAGCCGCTCTGGAGGCACAGCCCCTTCACCAACACGTGGTGGACAGCAATGGTGCCCTTACTGTGAGTACTGTGCAGTATGCAGCCAGCCCCTAACACTTACTGTGAGTACTGTGCAGTGTGCAGCTAGCCCCTAACACTTACTGTGAGTACTGTGCAGATTTCAGCCAGCCCCTAGCCCTTACTGTGAGTACTGCCTCATTAATCTCTCGCCCCTAACCCTTCACTCGCATGGAGTCGGGCTTGCCATGCTGCCATTGCTGCGTGAAGGGCCCAACAATCCCAGCCCTCGCACTGATCCTTCACCAGCACACTGCGTCACCCCACCCAGCACTTGCCCGAACCCGTCGTCAAAAACACTCGGTTGTGTTTAAATGTGAGGACTGGCCGACCCGGTCCCAGACGTAACCCTTCGCTTGCATCGAGACGATAGCAACCTCACAAGGTATGCGAAACGTTGCGTCGTTACATCAGCAGTTGATGTTGCTGCTCAGGAGGCGCCCAGGTTTTGTTGTTCCACTGCAGCAAACGAGCTGAGCCGTGCTGTTGATGTGTCTTTCAATACGCGTGACTTTGTACCTAACAATGGGGTTCACTCGACTCCCCCCAACCAACACAGATTGCTGAATTCACCACAATGTGTGGAGTATAGAAATGATAAAAGCAATTCTTTAATGGAATCACGAGTGTGATGAGGAACGGCCTGCGCCAAGCCAGTCCGGCTGCGGGCATGTCCCGATCACGCCGCACTCCCCCTCGTGCCCCCCCCATGACCCCCACCTACCAGAGGTTGTAATCGGGTACCCGATACCCGGCTACCCGTACCCGGCCGGGTACGGGTACCCGTTTGCGACCCTGGTGCGGCCGGGTACGGGTAAGGAATCAAAAGTCGTTTGCGACCTCTGCCGCCTACCCCCCCCGCGTAGCCCCGCGTGACCTCATCCGTGCCCCCGTGTGACCCCCCCCCCTGTGCCCCCGCGTGACCCCACCCATGCCCCCACATGCGCCCCGCCCTGCAGGTTGGCGCTGCAAGCGGTGCAGGCGGCGGTGGACGTGCAGCTGTGGCGGAACGGGGAGAGCCTCGTGGCGGTGTGGCTGGCCGACGTTCCCGTCGTCACGTGGCTGCTGGGCTTCCTGTGGCTCATTCCGCTCGTCGTGGTCAACGAGCTCATCAAGCTGCATGAGATCCGGTGAGTGTGCCCCTGGCGGCTGCTGCTTTAATTATAGATCATGAATAAAAAATAGCATTCAGTCAGCGGCCATTTCATTAGGCTTACACGATTACTATTGCTTCTATTTACTGCGCTTGTTTACCCAGGATAGCTTCACTGAGTCTCACGACTCGTTGTCAGGGAGGGTCCTGCAAAGTGTTCACAGTGGGCCGGCGGTGATTGCAGCTTATGTCTTCCAATCGAGCAAATTTACATCGTTTACTTAAAAGCTATGGGGGGGGAATATTGTATTCGAGTTGTTTTATTGCAACCCTGGCTGCTGGGCTGATGGAGGTGACTGTGGTTTGCTTGGGGTTAAGTGGCTTGTGGGGGGGGTGGGGCGTTGATAATGACACTGAGTCAGCGCCACCAGGATGCTGTGGGGGGGTTCAAGTCCCTTGGAGCTGGGACTCACGACGGCCGCGTCGCTGCCACCACACTAACGACGGCCGCTCTCCTCCCCCCCCTAAACCCTCCCGCTGCCGGTGCGACAGGATGCGCGTGCGCTACCAGAAGCGGCAGAAGCTGCAGTTCGAGACCAAGTTGGGCATGAACTCTCCCTTCTAAGCGCTGGCCAGGCGGCGCCGGTCGCCCGTCTGCGCCGCCCACCGCTCTGCTGAGCTCATGGCGAGAGACGCGCTGTTCACCGCACTGTTCACCGCACTGTTCACCGCGACGTTCACCGCGACGTTCACCGAGCTGTTCACTGCGCTGTTCACCGCGACGTTCACCGCGACGTTCACCGCGACGTTCACCGCCGTGCTGTTCACCCCAACCCCCCCCCCCCGTTGTCCCGGACATGACAAAATCGACGGGCACCACGCCGCCAAACTTTGCCGGCGAGCACCTCCCTCTCTTCCTCATCCTTGTTTTTCCCTGTTAGCGCGTTGTCTCAAACTGCAACGGAGGGGAATCGGCGATGAAAACCCAATACCTCTTTATTCTAGTTCGCTCTTTGCAACTGAGCCACGCCCGGGGGCCATGCTGAGCGAACCCGGCACGGCTCGGCATAGCGCAACGTACGAGCCGAGATGTAAGCTTGTGCATTGAACTACTTGCCGTACGTAGCCAACCGTGATAATCGGAGGTACGGGGGAAGGACAATAAACTAACACACAAAAAGCAGCTCTAAAGAAATTAGTTTTCAATCGAGATGGTTTAAAGAGACGACGCGACGTGACGAACGCGTCGTTAACCCCTTTGCCCCTGGCCCTGCTTGGCCCCCCGAGCCAGATTCAGATGCTGTCGCGAGGGCCCGCGTATCACGGTTTGGTTCTGGCTCGGCACGGCATAGTGCCGGCGGCGGCGAAGCCACCCGTAACGTGTGCCGCGCGGTGCCCTGCCACGCTGCCCTGGCTCGAATGCGCCAGTAGGAACAAATGGGTATTGAGAGAAGGATGAGTTTCGATTTAAAGCTTTCGTGACTGCAGGGATTCATCTTCTTGGTTCTTTCGGTAAAGTCACGTAGAAGGAAAATGATAAAAATAAAACATAATAAAGAATTCTCACGACGTTTCTGACACAACGCAAGCAGCCGTCTTCAGGTAGAGAACAGATCTGTCGAGAAGGCAGACGGCTGCTTGCGTTGTGGCCGAAACGTCGTGAGAATTATTTTATTCTGTTTTATTTTTATTATTTTCCTTCTACGTGACTTTACCAAAAGAACCAAGAAGAAGGATGAGTATTAACGAGGACTGGGGAACAAAGGTGAGTTACTTCACTTCGGAAGGAACTGGCGACCGGTTTGGGACCCGGCGTGTTTGAGCCTCGATTTCCGCGGCGGAATTGGCACCCTCGTCGCCGCCGCCGCTTCTCGCACTCGACGGCGGGAAGTTGTCAGCGGTTGTGCGGAGACTGAATTCCCGCATGGGATTGTGGGAAATTTACCACTGGCTCAGGAAAGGCCTTGGGAGATAAGAGCACCGCCCTTTCTACTTGTGCTCGGTTAACCACTGGGAGGCTTTCACTCCGGATGTAGTTATTACGTCACGCGTGTGTGTGCGTTTTGGATACTCGTACGCGCCGTTTGTGCGCACGTTATTCTATGAGCTATATATCAATAACTTGCCTTGCTGCAGTTTGGCCAGGTTATAGGGATGGCTTCCCTACTCAGTGTATGCAGTGTTCCGTCAGATTAGCATATTCATTGACAGGTTCATATACACAAGAGGACAGGTAGGTGCTCTTACTGAAATTTGAGTCAAGTAATTTATTATCCAGTTCAGTCGTCGTCATCATTAGCCGTGAACAATCCACTGCTGGATGAAGGCCTCCCCAAGTCACTGGCGCCTCGTGATCCTGCAATGTAACACTTTCGCCTGGCTCCTCCACACGAGCTGAATTCACCGCCCCATCTCCATGGTGCTCCACCTTTAAAACAAATCTCCCTTTTGCGCCGCCAGTGACACCTTCACTTTTAAATATGCAATCAAACGAAAACGGTCTTGATTGATTTCATGAATCCATTTGATTTTCGATGCTACCATCAGTCGTGCCAAATGTTTATTCTGTTTTATATCTGCTTTGGTTTTCATTCTTTAATTCTATCTCTTGACCTGGCTTTTGGATGCACTTCTCAGACTTTTCACCTTGGCCAAACTGCACAGCCCAGAGATGGGCCCTCATTCCGCACACGGGCCAAACAGAATGTGTTTGGTACAACGATCAGAGCGTTGGCCTCATTTTCTCACGTTCAAAGGTCGGTCCTGAAAATAGGGAACGTGACCACAACGTCCGTCCAGCAATCGGATGCCGTTGCGTGCAACTTGCAACCAGTTTCCTACCTTCAAAACCAGTCGAGCGTCGTTTTGGTTACGTCGAAAAATAATGGGGGAGGAGGGAACGGTGGGTGGGGTTGCGGTTGTTTTTACGTTTATTTATGAAATATTTGCTGTGTGTTGCATCAATACTCACGTAATAGCGGAGGGCGGCCTCCACACGTGGCAACTCCAGGGTTGGTGCTACAAACGCCACTTACGGGTTTTCCAGTTCCAGCCAACACTCGCAGTTGGTATAGTTATTCACGATAATGTAGAGACAAAACGCATAATAATAATACTGATGTTCTATGGGTGCTGAGCAGATGAACAGTTTCCAGACGAGCTCTCCATGGTTCGCGACGTGGCTGACAGACGGCAGTACGGCAATACATTCATGAATCTATCTGATCGGAGGTTTGGAGCATCGCCACTTTTTCATATGCGTGGGTATCCTCCTCCCGCACGCCACGCAATTGTTAATGAAATTAGCCAAGCGTCCTCAACGTAGCAGGACCCACCTGCAAAAGAATATTGTGACTCGGTGAGGCTTCTTTTCTGCGTAAAGGACTTTAGTATGATTACTATTATTGCATCAGCGCTGCCATCTGGTAGAGGGAGCCCTAACGAAGTCACAGCTATTGCATTACGATTGCACTCCTCGGATAAACCAATCTCTTGAAACCGAGAACACCTGGAGCGGAGTTTGTAGCCTGCCCCCAAACCCGGTCACAGACCACTCAACTCGCGCACCTCGGCCGAGCAACACACTTCGGAATAGTTGTTGTTGGTTGTTATTGCCATAGAAATAACGATGACTGGATTTTCCGAAACCCGGTTTGCCATGGCAGTGCCACTACGCTATTGGCTGCGGCGCAGACGGGCGGGCCTCCGATGTTTGGGGATCAGTTCGAGACGGTGTCGTTGCTTCATTGAGGGACATTTACTGTGGCCGAAATCTCAAAGTTGTCAAGTTTTACGTTTGTCGTCGAAAAACTAAAATGTGCATTTTTAAAAGCGTCTCCATGTTTTAGTTGCATATTTAAAATGTGTGTGTTTTAACTGTGCCTAATAGATCAGGGATGAGTTTCAGTAAAAAAAAATGTATTTTGAATTGTGTCGTAACTTCGACCGACGACGTGTGTTTGTGCTAACAAAAGTGACGTGGTTACCTGATGCCACGTGACCTAACTTGTGTGGTGGGGGAAATTTCGGAAGTGATGCGATTCGAGTGACGCCATTTGCCGTGATGTCACGTGGAAAACGAGAGATCATTATTGACACGTGGTTTTTTTTTGTCTTTTTTTTCCCACCCGGATCGTTTGAATTTCGTATACTTCGGATTAATCGGAAAATTGTTAACGCATGCATCCCCTACAATGGATGCTCTTTCTCGAATGTAAAGGAACTTGTTTGTTCTTGATTTGAAGCTTTTTGTTTATGCTACCTGCCATTGTCTGCATCAGATGCACTATGAAGACATCGCCCCCCCCCAAGTTGTTGACTGCTGCGATGGTTTCACGACGCAGCCTCGCGACTCACATTTGTTGCACTTTCTAGGGTTAGGTTTTCCTCGAGTAAAGTTAAACCAAAAAAACAAACAAACAAAAATATAAAAATGAGTCGATCAAAATTGCTGCGTGGTGCCGACAGGATTTCGCGGTCACCTGTGCAGATGCGCGAGTGTTCGCCACGACATCTCTCGCGTATTTTCGAGTTGTTCCCCAAATGCGAAATGATCGGGCGTCGTGTTGAACAACGATGCGGCACATCGGGGCTCGTCCATAAATGACGTCACGCACCAGGGGGGGGGGGGTCAGACATTTGTGACGATGTGAGGGGGGGAGGGTTTGAGAAATGTGACGTCACATCAAAATGCGCAACTTAAAATAAATATAGACAACACGTTTTACGTAATTAGACTTTTTTTATCAATGTTTTCTCCTACAACATCAGTGCAGCGCCACATTAAATACGCACTACAATGACAATAGTTTAAAGCGATTTGAAGCATGTTTTATATTTTTTTGGGGGGGGGGGGCAGAGCTTTGTGATGTCATATTTGAGGGGGGGGGGGGTCTGACTTTTTGTGACGCCGTGTGACGAGGGGGGGGGGGGTCAAAAATCGCGTGACGTCATTTATGGACGGCCCCATCCCGAAACACAGTCCGGAGAGCTTGGACAGCGCAACCGTGGAAACCTACGCAAGTGGGACTGTTCGTCTCCCTGGCTTGAGTTTTACCCTGACACCAAAGTCTTTTCTCTACCTCCTGAAAGAACAAAAACTAAAACTTCCTGAAATCCATCCGCCAAACGTCCACAAATAGTCTTGAGCAGTGCCCCCCAACCAACCTGGCCGTGGGAAGTAGTCCGTTGAACTAATAATAATGACAATACGTGACATTAATAATTCGCCTTTCTACAAGGTACTCAAGGCGCTGTACTTCACAAAAATATATAAATCATTGGCCAAGGGGAGGAAAAACACAACTATCGAATGAAAATTAACAAGAACCAAAGGCGAGGAAGAGTGGGGGGGGGGGGGTTAAGCACCACCGCTGTTCCTCTCCCAATCGCGGGCAGCACTGAGCAAGGCGTTCCACACATAGAGAGCGGCACAGGCCACCGGCACGAGGCAATGCCCAGTCCGGGGATGGCACATGGCACCGGCCATCGGAGAACGAAGCCTTCGCTATGGGCAACACACATCGTGGTGGTCGGTAAAATCTGCGAGATCACTTGGGTTCGTGTCCACATTTTTGAGAGCTCTACAGGTCATGAAGGAGGACGGTAAAACTCCCACTCGGAACTGTATCGGCAGCTGGTGACGAGAGGCCAAGACTGAACTCGTATGTGCGCATGCTCGGAGTTTTGATCAGGGGTCCAGCGGTGGCTATGAGATGTTAACTTCCTCGCCTGGTATGCAGGAAGTCGTGGGTTCGATCCCGACCCTGACGCGCGTTGAATATTTGGAGTTTGCGTCTGTCTCTCCCTGTGGTCGTGTGGATTTTTCTCCGGGTCCTCCGGGTTTTCCCTCCACGTTTAGAAACATGCGTTTCGAGTATTTAGGCTGCTATACATTTCCAAATAAGTCATTTTGTTGGGCTATCATTTGTGGCCAGGTCGCTTCTGAAAAAGCTACATAGCTCGGTGGGCCTTACCTGGTAACAAAATGAAAAAAATGTTTTTATAGGTTGGAAACCAATGATGTCGAGGCCTTCAATGTGGCTTGTAATTTCTTGCTCTATGGTCGATATTTAACGGGTACCACCACTCTTGTCAAGGTGAGCTATCGTGCTGTGGAGAGACCTGGCTTTCGCCATACGAATGTTGACATTTACATCACCTGCTCAGGAGCGCCACGCACAGCGTGTGTCGCCTAAAGCTCGTTAGGGCAGCGAGACACTTTTAAGTAAATCAATTGCTGAGCTTGTTGTAATATAACCCCAAACTTTTTGACTCTTGCCGGCCAAAACAAGGCCATAATAGATAGGGTTTTTTGGGGTTAGATTGCGTAAATATAAATGTGTCGCTCAACCTGTCGCCACCGAACACAGCCATTAAGTAAGGTTTGTCACGTATACAAAACATGCACATTTGTTACGAGTTCAGCACACCCGTGTGTAAACTTACGACATTTCCAATTCGAGCACGACGGTTCGCCAATAGTTTCAACCAGCCTCATCAGGCAACAGCCAGAATTGAACATAACAAGGCCGTTTGCTTAATAATACCTGCAGTCTCGTGATGTTACGTGACGTGCAAGGCATTATGGGATGGACCAAGCCAGCTGTCACAGTCGCGCTTTGTGCCGTCACATTAAATCGCCTGTTGCGCGTGCTGTTATTGCTCTCGTTTCAGTTCCGGCCTGCACAGCACATTGCTGTTAGTCACTCGTGTCTCGTCACTTGCGTAAAGTGTTTGAATTGGTCTGACTGCGCATTTCAGCAAGTCCTCGTTTAACGCGGTAGGAGTAGATGTGTTCCTGGAAAGTGTCGCGGTTGGCGAACAACTTATGAAGCGCGAACTATTTCCCCCTAAATGATTGTAACGATAAGGTTTTAAGAGATACGATGTACTACGTCTACTACGCACGCAGTGAGATGGCACGACTAATAACTGAGGGTACGTCACCGTTTTACGTTTTCATTCCACGTACTGTACAGCAGCGCACAGTCGTGCAACTGAAGTAGTTTGTTGTCGACCGCTCAGAAACTGCGTCATAACGGGGCGCCCGTTCCGTGTTGTGCGAAAACCGTTCCCCGAATGGAAGAACCGCGTTCTCGCGAAAACGGGTTGCGTGAACAGCACCACGCGTTAAGCGAGGACTTGCCGTGTTGACGTCGCAGCGTGTCACAGTCTCCTGCAGTGTGATTGGCCCAAGCCCACGCTGCTGGGCGGCGAGGTGGAGCTGATGCTGTGGCTTCTCGACCAACGATCAATGATGAATAATATTCACGTGTTTTAAACAAACAGATAGTCCACCGTCGGCTGCATTATTATCGAGGCTTCACCCCCCCCACCACCCCCCCGTTTCCTATGCGTAAGTACATTGTCAGTAGACCCCCCCCCCCCCAATCTCCCCTCCATGCGTACGGACTCAATGGATGGCCCCCAAAGACACACCAGCGCGCTAAGCACCGTTGGGCTTTGCTGGAGGACGTCAATGTTTCACGACTCGCGGGGGGAGAGGGGGCTTGTGTCTACGTCGTGCAGTTTAAGGAGGTTAACTTGTGTGGCCCCGTCGCGTGTTTATTTCGGTGAGCTGTGTGTGTGTGTGTTTTTAATAAAACCGTTTATGTTGTGATAGAAGCCTTGTAATGCAGTCCAATCGTTGTTTCAGTATCAATAAAACGTATTTTACTATGTACGTCTTGTAAAACGGGGTTTGTTTAAAAAAAATCACGTGATGTATGTAATACGCGACAGTAGATCACGACTGGGTCATGGCTTATAGGGCAGTAACAGCTATGCCACCACTGCGCCCAAGTATCATTCTAAGCGCGTATAAATACACCATCGTCACAATAAGTCAACCGAGTCGCTTGCCTGCCCTGAGGTTTCACGAATACGTTGATAGAACAGCCTGCTACCGATTCGTACTCTTAGTTCTTTCGGTAAAGTCACGTAGGTAAAAAATGAAATAAAAATTAATACAAAAATAACAACAATAAAATCACAATAAAATTTTGTGATTTTTATTTATTTTTTATTAGTACAATTTTGTGATTTTTATTTATTAATTTAATTTCATTTTTTACCGACGTGACTTTACCGAAAGAACTAAGAGTATTAATCCTTGCAGTCACGAAAGCTTCAAATCTAGAACTGCTACCGATTACCAGGAGAATTCGGAAGCCACTGGATTTCTGCACTTTTAAATCACCTAGTTTGAAAACTCGTCACTTAGAACTGCTTTTTGTGTTTAGTTTGTTGTCCTTCCCACGCACCTCCGATTAGCGCGGTTGGCTACATACGGCGCGAAGGAAGTTCAACATGAAGACAAACACACTCCGCCATGTATTCATCATTGCCCTTGGAGCTGGCTGACACCACACTATCCGTCTCGCCAGTCGTAACTGCGGCCTCCAACAAATATGCGACCCCCGCCCCCCCATGGACTCGGAGGCAACTCAACGCTTGACTCGAGCCATGCGCAAACAACGGGGCAGAGCGAGAGATAATGCACGGGAAGAGACAGATGAGCGACACAGACTTTGAGAAGAAGATTGTAAGGGGAGTGGCAAAGGCGTGGAGAAACCAGAGGACACATGGATACAGGGGAGGTCAAGGAGAGGAATGTACAGAAAGACATTGGCGCATTGAAGAGAGAACAGCCACATTGAGATACAGGGCACAGCGAGAGATGGACATCAACAACATCACGGTAAGACAGAGAGCAAGAGACAAGAACATGGAGACGCACATAGAGACAGATGCAGAGAAACAGATGAACATAACTGCTCGCCACTGGCAGCATCCCAGTAAATGTGGTCGACGACGTCCCACGACACTGTAATCCAGACACGCACCTGGCTCTGCAAATTAACAATATGGTAAGTCCTCGCTGAGCGTGCGGTGTTCACGCAACGCGTTTTCGCTATACCGCGGTTCTTCCATGAGCGAATACCTTTCGCTCAACGCTATAATGCGTGCTGTTATAACGTGGAACGCGCCCTGTTCTAACGCGGTTTTAAAGCATTCGACGACCAAATACTTTCTTGAGCTGCGCCGCTTAGCGGTGTGATGCAGCGATGTGGTGGTACATCAGTGTGGGGTGTTATATTCTTGGTTCTTTCGGTAAAGTCACGTAGAAGGGAAATAATAAAATAATAAAACAATACCGAAAGAACCAAGAATATGAATCCCTGCAGTCACGAAAGCTTTAAATCGAAAAGTGTGGGGTGTGTGTAGTAGTGCATCGTATCTCGCCAAACTGTATCGTTACATTAATCATGGGGAAATTATTTCCGTTTAACGTGACATTTTTGAGTAGCGCATCTACCGCGTTAAACGATGAATTACTGGGCAGTATCTAATCATATGACATTTTTGGAAAAAAATCCATTCCTAGGAAGTTGGCTCGGTTTGAAATGTCAGCTTATTACACGTGTCATAGTTTATAAGGGTTTGCGTATTGTTAACAAATGTAGTCGTAGTAGTAATAATTGAGATTTTCCAACCTGAATTATTTCAGCAATCCCAACATAGAACAACTATTCACCGCTGAACCAATGCTTGCATCTTAAGGCCACCGTACAGCCAAAATGTAAGTGAAACACCGTTTAGTTCAGTAGTAGTAGGTTTTTACCCTTTTAAACTGGTACAAAACTGACACCTTTATACAAGGCATCATGTTTGCAATAACCACAACACAAGTAGTCAACAATGCAAACAAAAAGAAGCAACTCTGATCATGATAATAATATGCCCTGTCCTTGAAGTTGATTGGTCCACACCCGAGACTGCTTTCTTTAGAGCCTAGTCCCCATTGGTGTTGGACCAGATGACACCAGAAGGCGTACAACTCAAACACAGTGCAATATCAGAGTATTGAGAGCTCGGGGTAAGCATTTACACTATGATATCTCTTTTACCAGTGGCAAAATATAGTAGTAGGTTTTTACCCGTTTAAACTGGTACAAAACTGACACCTTTATACAAGGCATCATGTTTGCAATAACCACAACCTACTACTATATTTTGCCACTGGTAAAAGAGTGTAAAAACCGTTTAGTTCGTGAGCTGTGTATATCTCCGGATATTATTTAGCTTAGACACACACACGTTAAGCTCGTAACAAAGAACGATCGTGTAACCAACAACGTCCTTGCTAACGCTTAAAACGCAGCCGCGAAGCACAATTGCAGTGTGACAATTTAATCGCATAAAACTCATGCAAATATGGTTTCCCATAAATGTAATGTTTGACTTTTTCTTTCTTGGAAACGTGATATGAGGTGAGATTTGTTCGTGTGTGTTATTTAACGTGCAAAATAAAAAAAAATTAACTCGGCGGATAAAATAAAAAGTGATTCATTGTTAGAGCGGCAGCAGCAGCAGCAGCAACTAAAAGCACAACGCGGTCCGTTACGTCAGCCCGTTGAGTCGAAGCGCGTTTTTTCTCTTTCACACACACACGCGCACACCGGTCGTGAATTCACTTCTGAACCGTGAAATGTGTTCGCCGTTATGGAGTGCCCCTTCTCCCCTCCTCCGCTACCCATCTCTGCAGTTTTGCATTACTCATCCGTAATGCCGGCCACTGAGTCAGCCTCGTAGCATCAACCGGGATAGATGGGAAGGGGTGATAGATGTATGATGAACTTCTTTCGCACCGTACGTAGCCAACCGCTCTCTGAGCCTCCCACTCTAAATTCTAGCCTGAACGGTCAGCAACTCCCCCCTCTATCCCCGACTTCAACATTCTCGGTCGGAAATTATTTATCAGCAGCGTAGTGTTGTTGATGTTTTATTTGCCGCGTTAGGCGAACGCACCGCACGCAGCCAACCGCGCCAATCGGAGATGCGGGGGAAGGACAACAAACTGAACACAAAAATTAGTTCTAAATAAATGAGTTTTCAATCGAGATTATTTAAAAGCGCATAGCCGCCAGTGGCTTCCTATTATCGGAACGAAGAGCGTTCCAGACGGCCATCTGAAAGTGCCGCGCGATGCGCTGATCCGCCGCCGTCTTTGTTCGACGGTTAAGCCGAAAGCCACTGCAGCGATGATTCAAGTTTTTCATTTATTAGGTATAGCCCTGTGAGCCACGCGGCTCTTAAGTCGGGTGCAACCGCAACAAACAGAACATCTTAAAGCGACGACGCGTAACAGAAACATCCTGGAATAAACCAGCAAATATAAAAAAAACGTATTAAAACGCTGTGTGCCAAAAATCCCAATGTGGTGCAAGTCAACAATAAAAACCATGAGACAATTTAGATTAACCGTATGTTTTCGAATCACCAAAATAAAGCTATAAAAACAATGTAACAACAGTAATCATAGGAAGTGTGATTCGAATTTAACAATAAACGGAGTTCGCGTGATGATGGTTTATGCTCCTAATATAACCCCCTGCGCGTTTCTTCCTTCCGTTCGCGGGATCTGTGCCCTGACGCTCAAACCGTCTGCAGTAGCCAGAGGGAGCTAAGGACAAATGCACAAATGAGAGTACAATGGAAATGTGGGTGTCTTCACAGTCTTACCTCGCAATACGTGTAGGGGGCGACAGCTGCAGCAGAATGCACGATAGATAAACATCATCATCATATCGTTACTTATTCCGCTGCGTGTTTTATCACAACATTAACGTATAATAATAATTTCATTTTATACAGCGTCATTAGTGCTAATATCATCCCATAACGCTGTACATTAATTCTATATAATGACCACATTTCCATATACAGCCACGAGCAAGCACGCGGAAATCCTTCTACCAAGCAAAATAATATTTTTTATAAACGAATGAAGAAACGGAAACGAAACCAAAAAGCACGTTTAACATTAAATCTGAATAGTTATTTATACTGAGGAATCCGATGAGCTGTAAAGCTCTTTTTCACAGATGTCTGATAGGGGCGGGTAAGAACTTTACAATAACAACCAATTACAAAGTCATGATTGGAGTGCAAACTACAGCAAAGGTAAACAAATAACTTTTCAAAAAGATATACGAATTACCAGATAATGCCCACTGAGCTATTAGCTTCATTTTCAGAAGCGACCTGGCCATAGATGACAGCTCAACGAAGTGGCTTATCAACACGTGGAAATTTATAGCAGCAAAAAAATAATAATCTAAATAATTTCGATTTAAAGCTTTCGTGACTGCAGGGATTCATCTTCTTGGTTCTTTCGGTAAAGTCACGTAGAAGGGAAGTAATAAAATAATAAAAAATTAACCCGTAAAAACAAAGTTTTTCACTATAAATCCTTTATATGCGTGGCATCGGTTTTATTTTATTATTCATTTCTGTTTTTCTTGAGTAAGAGTTTCATTTTTATCACATTGGTATTTTAAATTCAAATATGAAAATTAATTTTTCCTAAAAAGTGGAAAATTTTGGAAAAAAATTTTCACGAACATTAATTGTCACGCACAACGAGTCTGTGTGCAAAATGTCAACTCGATTGGATCACGGGAAGTGGGTTAAAAAAACGACCGAAAGATTTGCACGGTCGTAAGCGCGCAAGCAAGTGAACTTAATATAAAGGATTTAAAAATAAGTATTATATTATTATTTTATTATGTTTTATTTTTATAATTTTATTACTTCCCTTCTACGTGACTTTACCGAAAGAACCAAGAAGATGAATCTAAATAATCTAAAAGCACGTGTCGTTGATGAGAATTCACATACAATATAGTCGACGTGACAGCACCTAAGAGTATTATTTTAAGAGGCCCAGACTCAAAGCCATATCTGGTCCAAGCCACCTCTGCCCAGCTGGAGCAAGCTGTGAAACAGGCGGAAACCAAGAACGAGGTCAGAGCTTTTAAATGCCACAGATTAAAATTGTTTTTACAATTTAGCACACGTTGGCTATGAGGGAGACAGGGTTAAAGCTCTTGTGCAGCGTTCACTGTGTCCTGTCATGGTATGTAAGATCCTTATTGACGACCAGGTGATATCAATCACGTTATGACCAAATCAGTCGAAAGGCGCCCGGACTCGATTTAAAGCTTTCGTGACTGCAGGGATTCATCTTCTTGGTTCTTTCGGTAAAGTCACGTCGAATGGAAATAATAAAATGATAAAAATAAAACATAATAAAATAATTCTCACGACGTTTCGGCCACAATGCAAGCAGCCGTCCTCAGGTGGAGAACAGGTCTGTCGAGAAGACAGAGTTCAGAAGACAGAGTTCAGACGCTGTCTTCTCGACAGACCTGTTCTCCACCTGAGGACGGCTGCTTGCGTTGTGGCCGAAACGTCGTGAGAATTATTTTATTATGTTTTATTTTTATCATTTTATTATTTCCATTCGACGTGACTTTACCGAAAGAACCAAGAAGATGCGCCCGAACTCGTCAGATCTGTGAATCTCAGTAGAGTTTTTTGGGTCCTGGATATTGCTTCGATGCGTGACCATCGTTCACATCCATGTCGGTGATGCTGCTACGTTGGCTGCGGTGCACAAGCACAGTCAACGATAACAAACGCAAAACATTCGTCAGTAACACAGCCCTTTTGGCGACGTTTAAGGAAATTACCCTTTTATGTGCTCAGATCTCGAAAAACTACTCACTTTTAAATCTTTTGTAGTAAATTATGTATTACTTTCGTATAAATGTTAATTTTGATTCATATGTTGTTTTTTTCTGACTTTATGTGAACGAAAAGACACACATTCGCCCGTTTTATCATTGAAAATAGTTACATTTCTAAGTATCAGTTTCATTTCATTTTCAGTTTCATTTAATTGGTATAGCCCTGTGCAGCCATTCGGCTCTTGAATCAGGTTGCAACCGCATATCACTGTCCTTGTCACAAAGCAAAGTTTGTGGGGAATAATAGCTATTATCTATACTTTTTAGGCATAAGCAATTACGAAATAACGCTTATTACCCAGGAGCAAAAATTGTGTTCCGTAGCGTTCATATTCTTGGTTCTTTCGGTAAAGTCACGTAGAAGGGAAATAATAAAACAAAAATAAAATAATCATTTATTATTTAATTATTTCCCTTCTACTTGACTTTACCGAAAGAACCAGAAATAATAATCCCTGCAATCACGAAATCTTTAAATCGAAATTGTACGTAGCGTTATGGAGTGTCCCTCTCGGCCACACCTGGTATGTGTGTGTGTGCGGGTGGAGCGGAAAACCCGCAAAAGCCGGAACGGACTCCGCTCACGGACGCGCAAACTCCACCGCTCTTGGATCCGGATTTGCGGGCGGCGGCCTCTACCATTCCAACCGGGGGGAGGGGGGGGGAAAAGAACAACTCCCTTCTAAGCTGGCTTTCATCGACTGCCGCAATCGATAAAAAAAAATCCGGCTTCAATTTACTCACAAAACACATCTGAAGCAGGTTTATTGATTATTATGATTATTATTGAACAACTAACCAAATGTTACTAGTTAAATTAAAGGGGCGTGGTAAGATCGTCGATTCCACCCCCCCCCCTCTGATCGTGGCGCACTTGGGCTCGCCCACACCGGAAACGCTCGCCCGCCATCTTGGCTCTTGTCCGCTAATCGGTTGTCGCTGGGAACTCGGCGGCTCGAGGCTTGCGACGTTCGCGTTAAGAAACAAAAAAAACCCCACGAAAAACATTTACAACAACAACACAACAAAAACACGCCACGAACAACAGCGACTTTAACTGATCCGACCACTTCGCTGGCCGTCGTTAAAAGTTGCTGGCGGAGGCGACGGGTAACGCCGCTGAGTGAAAATGTTGAGGTGAGCGCTTTTTATATTTTTTTTGTGTGTGTGGGGTGGTGGTGGTGGCCTTCTCTCCCTCACGGAGAGTTTATTCGGTTTACAACAAAATGTCTAACTCGCACTTTATCGCCTTTCAACTGCCGATCACTTATTAATCCGTTGTTGTGAGTGCCGCGAGGGTGACGACTGCTGCTGGCGGTGGCGTCGAGGGCCGCCTTGGGCCTCGGCGAGATTCAATGCCTGAGACTGACACAGCCGGGCGTGAGGCTGACACAGCCGGGCGTGAGACTGACACAGCCGGGCGTGAGACTGACACAGCCGGGCGTGAGACTGACACAGCCGGGCGTGAGACTGACACAGCCGGGCATGAGACTGACACAGCCGGGCGTGAGGCTGACACAGCCGGGCGTGAGACTGACACAGCCGGGCCTGAGACTGACACAGCCGGGCGTGAGGCTGACACAGCCGGGCGTGAGACTGACACAGCCGGGCGTGAGACTGACACAGCCGGGCGTGAGACTGACACAGCCGGGCGTGAGACTGACACAGCCGGGCATGAGACTGACACAGCCGGGCGTGAGGCTGACACAGCCGGGCGTGAGACTGACACAGCCGGGCCTGAGACTGACACAGCCGGGCGTGAGACTGACACAGCCGGGCGTGAGACTGACACAGCCGGGCGTGAGGCCGACACAACCGGGTGTGAGACTGACACAGCCGGGCATGAGACTGACACAGCCGGGCGTGAGGCTGACACAGCCGGGCGTGAGGCTGACACAGCCGGGCGTGAGGCTGACGCAGCCGGGCGTGAGGCTGACGCAGCCGGGCGTGAGACTGACACAGCCGGGCGTGAGACTGACACAGCCGGGCGTGAGGCTGACACAGCCGGGCGTGAGGCTGACACAGCCGGGCGTGAGACTGACACAGCCGGGCGTGAGGCTGACACAGCCGGGCGTGAGACTGACACAGCCGGGCCTGAGACTGACACAGCCGGGCGTGAGACTGACACAGCCGGGCGTGAGACTGACACAGCCGGGCGTGAGGCCGACACAACCGGGTGTGAGACTGACACAGCCGGGCATGAGACTGACACAGCCGGGCGTGAGGCTGACACAGCCGGGCGTGAGGCTGACGCAGCCGGGCGTGAGACTGACACAGCCGGGAGTGAGACTGACACAGCCGGGCGTGAGACTGACACAGCCGGGCCTGAGACTGACACAGCCGGGCGTGAGGCCGACACAGCTGGGCGTGAGACCGACACAGCCGGGTGTGAGACTGACACAGCCGGGCATGAGACTGACACAGCCGGGCGTGAGGCTGACACAGCCGGGCGTGAGACTGACACAGCCGGGCGTGAGACTGACACAGCCGGGCGTGAGACTGACACAGCCGGGCGTGAGACTGACACAGCCGGGCGTGAGACTGACACAGCCGGGCGTGAGACTGACACAGCCGGGCCTGAGACTGACACAGCCGGGCGTGAGGACTGACACAGCCGGGCGTGAGACTGACACAGCCGGGCAGTGAGACTGACACAGCCGGGCGTGAGACTGACACAGCCGGGCGTGAGACTGACACAGCCGGGCGTGAGGCTGACACAGCCGGGCGTGAGGACTGACACAGCCGGGCGTGAGACTGACACAGCCGGGCGTGAGGCTGACACAGCCGGGCGTGAGGCTGACACAGCCGGGCGTGAGACTGACACAGCCGGGCGTGAGACTGACACAGCCGGGCGTGAGGCTGACACAGCCGGGCGTGAGGCTGACACAGCCGGGCGTGAGACTGACACAGCCGGGCGTGAGACTGACACAGCCGGGCGTGAGACTGACACAGCCGGGCGTGAGACTGATACAGCCGGGCGTGAGACTGACACAGCCGGGCGTGAGACTGACACAGCCGGGCGTGAGACTGACACAGCCGGGCGTGAGACTGACACAGCCGGGCGTGAGACTGACACACAGCCGGGCGTGAGACTGACACAGCCGGGCGTGAGACTGACACAGCCGGGCGTGAGACTGACACACAGCCGGGCGTGAGGCTGACACAGCCGGGCGTGAGACTGACACAGCCGGGCCTGAGGCTGACACAGCCGGGCGTGAGACTGACACAGCCGGGCGTGAGGACTGACACAGCCGGGCGTGAGGCTGACACAGCCGGGCGTGAGGCTGACACAGCCGGGCGTGAGACTGACACAGCCGGGCGTGAGACTGACACAGCCGGGCCTGAGGCTGACACAGCCGGGCATGAGACTGACACAGCCGGGCGTGAGACTGACACAACCGGGCGTGAGGCTGACACACAGCCGGGCGTGAGACTGACACAACCGGGCATGAGGCGGACACAGCCGGGCGTGAGACTGACACAGCCGGGCGTGAGGCTGACACAGCCGGGCGTGAGACTGACACACAGCCGGGCGTGAGACTGACACAGCCGGGCGTGAGACTGACACAGCCGGGCGTGAGACTGACACACAGCCGGGCGTGAGACTGACACACAGCCGGGCGTGAGACTGACACAGCCGGGCGTGAGACTGACACAGCCGGGCGTGAGACTGACACAGCCGGGCGTGAGACTGACACACAGCCGGGCGTGAGACTGACACAGCCGGGCGTGAGACTGACACAGCCGGGCGTGAGACTGACACACAGCCGGGCGTGAGGCTGACACAGCCGGGCGTGAGGCTGACACAGCCGGGCGTGAGACTGACACACAGCCGGGCGTGAGACTGACACAGCCGGGCGTGAGACTGACACAGCCGGGCGTGAGACTGACACAGCCGGGCGTGAGACTGACACAGCCGGGCGTGAGACTGACACACAGCCGGGCGTGAGACTGACACAGCCGGGCGTGAGGCCGACACAGCCGGGCGTGAGACCGACACAGCCGGGCGTGAGACTGACACAGCCGGGCGTGAGACTGACACAGCCGGGCGTGAGACTGACACACAGCCGGGCGTGTGAGGGTTGTTGTTGCTGCGTGCAACAGCCGTCATGAACCGCGTAAAAAAAATCTTCGTGAGACTTAACAGACGATGTTGCGAGTGTGAGACTGGAACAGACGAGAGAGACAGAGACCCAGAGAGAGACAGAGACCCACAGAGAGAGACACAGAGAGAGACAGAGGCCCACAGAGAGAGACAGACCCAGAGAGAGAGACACAGAGAGAGAGAGACGCAGAGACCCAGAGAGAGAGAGACACACACAGTCCACCACGTATGTTGCACGACAACATTGTGGTGTGTGTGTGTACTTGTGTGTTTTATTCGCTTTGGATATCTCTGGACAGATATCGAAGGCCCCTGTCGTGCTCGAGAGCGTGAGCTTTGTTGCTTCGAATGCGCGAGATATAGTCTGTATCTGTCTTGGTGTTTCTGTAAAGACACTCGGAAACTTCAGGGAGAGAGGGAGATGGAGGAATGTGACTTTGGGCCATGGGCGAAGCCTCGTTATTGTGTTGAAAACTTGCGTTTTAAAGTATTTCATATTGCGTTATTAGTGACTTGCAGCCCTTTTACAATCCAACTGCTCGAGGTTTGTGTCATACGCTTAGTTGATTCATGTCAACGCCTAGCGACTGAACGCAAGTTAAAATGTGCTGAGGCCTCTCGTTCTTTGGCTAATGCTGTACGGAGACTGCCATAGCGCCGTGTAATCATAGGACTTTGTATTTTAGTGGCCAAGAGATTTAACTAAAGCCTGATTATTGTCAAAGAGTCACCGATATCATATTTTTCTCCTTTAGCTGTTACAAATGATTACTGGAGTCGATTTGATTAAGCACGCCATGATAATGTCCAATGGGACACGCTTTTTGATGGCGTCATCGCCCATGTCAAACGTCGAATTCCACCTGGTCGGTGAGTCCTGGTGCGTCGGCTCCTTGCTGGCGAGCTTGGCGATCTCGGTCTCGCGGCAGTACGACTGTCGGACGACCTTGCTGCGCCTGATATTGACGAGTGCCTTGCGCAGTTTGGCGTTGGTCGACTTGATCAGTTTGAGAACTTGGACGACGCTGATCTGGACCGAGTGATCCACGCAGCGAATATGGTGGCAAGCCCGCAACTGTTCATCCAGCGTCGACCAGGGCGAACAACGTCTTGACAGCACTGATTGCATTGGAGCCATTGTCGCTGGTAACAGCAAGCAGCTTGGTCGAGATATTGTGCCCGAAGCTTTAGAGGTGCTCAAACAGAGTGGGGCCAATGCACTTGCCGACACCCCTTCCGGACTGCACATTGAGGATCGTCAGCAGCATGAATTTCGACGCACCAGATTTGGTGTCGATCCAGTGCACCGTGACCATCCAAAATCACTTCAGGTTGCAGTTCGACCACCCGTTTATGGTGAGCGAGATGGCGACGTCCAGGTTGGAGAAGAACGCCCCGACGGATGGGCAGCATGATGGCGTGATGCTCGACAATCCTGCGAATGATGGTGCGGGTCGACGGGCCCTCGTATCCCTGCGTCAATGTGTGCACCAAGGTCTTGAACTTGTCGCTGGCGGCGGCTAGTAAAGAGATTGCACCTTGGATAACAAAATCAACCACCGCGTTCTCAAACTTTATCAGTAGGCGATCCGGGATTGCTGGCCAGCTCAGCGTTTGCTGCATTAGGCGGCTCGCCGACGCCGACGTCCCGACCTCGCTGCCTGGGGCGTATTTCTTGAGGTGGGCTTTCCACCCCGATGCGTTCGTGTGGGAGGAAAACCACTTGCGGAAGTGCACTCACTGCCACTTTCCTTGCTGTACATGGGGATCACCCTCCATCCAATCGTGCGTGTACTCCCACGGGAACGCATGCCGCTGCCTCTTTCGATTGCTGTTCGCAGCGATCCGTTGCTGGCATCCCCGACCTCATCCTCTACCTCAAGAACGTGGTCCGTTTCCATCTGGTTCGACATCAATGATTCCAATTTAAAATGGAGGCCACGGACTGCGCCACGGAGCTTTTAGCGAGCGGAAAACAGGGTCTTTACCGGGTAAAACTTCGCTACCTTTACCCTACCGGGTAATTCTTCCGCGCTACCTTTATCCTACCCTTACCCCTTGGTATGGTCGACACCTTTACCCTTTTACCTGGTAAAAAGGGTAAATTACCTTACCTTGCCGAGGCCTACCTGGTAGGCGATGATTTGCGTGGTCTGGACAGTAATTGTTGTCACAACTTTTCGTTCATCTTGAGAATCACAGACAGAACCCTCCCTCTTCGATATGGTGGATAACAACCTCGGTGTGGCTCGTGCTTGTCACCACAAATATATAAAGTCATTAAAGTACCATGTACCTTCATTTATACATAACTGTTGCTTCGCGTCTGTGTCCGTTTCACAGACTTCACCTAGCCATGTTAATTCGAAACGTTTATTTCATTGAATTTTTTAAACGTATAGACGAACATTGCTTGACTGGGGAATACATATGCAGCCCATCCCAGATGACTAACACCGATTATGGGGTTCGTTCCTGTGTGTGGTTTTTACACGTTTGTGTTCTTTTTTAAACACGTTATTTAAAGTTACGAAACGTCTCAAAGTGCTGGATTTCCACTTACGCTTGGTCACAATTGCACGCTGGCGAAACATAGTCTGTAGCAGTGGTTCCCAATCTGTGGTTTGGTGACCACACGGGTTGGAAATGGTCTGCAGAACTTTCCGATATTTTTCACAAAACAATATATATTTTTTATGCTTGTTGTCCACCTACATGTTTTTTTAGGGTTTACGGTGTTTCCATAAAGATTGGGAACCACGTGTGTGTGTTTTTTTCATAGTCATTTCAATCACTCAACCCATGGTGCCTGGGTCTGTCCCGTGGCCTGCCAGCGGGCCTTTGACACTTCAAGTGCCCCTTAAAGTGCACCTAGCCTGGCACAAGCGCCGTGGTTATGTCACTGCTACTTAGTGTCGATTGACGGTTTTTTTTTTTTGGCAGACTGCTAAATGCGTTGAAGTTTGTGACGTTAATGTTAAACGGAATGGGTTTGTCATTTGTTTTTCTTTGGTTCCATCTCCAAAAATAACGAGACAAAGTCCCCTGAAACTAAAAATAACACTTTCGCTTGCGTCCCGTATCGGTGCGCTGTACTTCTTGGGGTGGCAGTCCTCAAATGTTCTTGTGATTTCGTTGTCTCGGTATAAAAAAAAATTCTGCTACTTCGAGCATGTGTGTATCTTGGTAATCTGCAGTGTGCAGGTACAATATATGTGCATGGGGGTACAATATGTGTGCATGCGGGTACAATATGTGCATGCGGGTACAATATGTGCATGCAGATACAGTATGTGCATGCACGCTGGATTGAGGGCCACGCCACGCGAGTTTTGAGGTGGTTATTTAGAACTGCTTTTTGTGTTTTCGTTTGTTATCGGACCCCCGCACCTTCGATTAGCACAGTTGTTCACGTACGGTGTGAAATAAGTTGCTCACGAAGGTTGGTGAAGGCGGAAAGCAAAGGAGTACACGACAATGGAATTTGTTGCACTGACCTCTGTCCACCACATAGCCAGCCTTGCAGCCTGCAACACTTGTATGCATTGCAGTATCTTATCTAAGCATTATCCAGGCTCAAACCGGCCTAGCTTCTGAGGTTTCACGGCTCGGGCATTTCCTGGGTGATTTCTTGCACATGCCTGCGTGTGTATTTGAACGCGCGACGCAAGTAAAGCTCAGTGTCTCGAAAACATTGACAGGTAATGTTAACTCGTCCTTAACAGAGGTTCCATCGCGTAAATATAAATGTGTCGTTAAACCCGCCACCACCCGACCATAGTCAATTAGTAAGGTTTGTCAAGTAAACAAAACGAAAGCCTTCGTGTTAAACCAATCTTAATTCAATTCATAAACCACATTAGCAGGATGTAGTGTAGGAGAGGTGCGCTCCTGTCACAGGAATGTCAAATTTCTAGAACTGGCTCAGTGCTGCAATGGTAACTGAGCACCACTCTACCGGCATTTGAACAATGGGGGAAGATGGCTTTAACTTTCTGACTTTTATCAACAAATTTACAAGACAAATTGCCTTAAACACTACCTTTGTACAACGCTAAGCCACGTCTTCTGGGGTAATGTGTGTCAGCGGACTCTGGACTGTTTAAATAAAGGCCAGTGACTGGGAATGTACCTGTAATCGTGCTGTATTAGTATAGAAATGCCTGCAGAAGTTGGCGCAGCTCTGGTAATTATGCGACGTTCTTCGTTTTGAGTACCCTCATATTTTGCAGAGGTGTGTTTTGCAGGAGACTTATTTTATTTTTATTCCTTTGTGGAGTGTGGTCAGAAAACTTGAGGCGTGGGGGCTTTGCAGCGAGCCAGAACTGGTCCTTGAGAGTACAGTGCTGTGCCCTCACCAGTGACATCACTCGTTGTAAAGTAGTTACGTGCGCGGTCCCCTTTGGTAATGAGCTGAGCAGCGAGTTGTGGGGTCAGAGAACTGTGCTGGAGCGAGAGAAAAAAACTTGTTCCGCATTGCTGCATTATTCATAAACACGTGGTGTGAAACTACTGATGGAACGTGACTTCACACGGATCAACGATATAAGCGTTTATCAGGGATCTGGAAACAAGGCATAATGTAAATGAAATACTTTATTTTTGCATCGCGTTTGCGTTCCATTATGATACGTTTCCCCCTTGACTTGTTTTTTTTTACCGAAGCACGATGTTTCGCCTTGAAATTCTTGGAAAGTTGCCTGCATTTAAAAAAAGTCTTGTCGGTGTCTTATTTCTTGTGCAATTGAACGTTGTGGCGTGCCACTGCGTCGGCTGACACGGTTCTGCTTCGTGCCTCTTGGATACGTTTTTCGGTTGTACCGCATGTTTCGGCATGACATCCGACGATGCACCACACGTGCTGGCAACTTCCTCAATGACATGCTGGGAGTGAAACATCGGACATCGTGCAACACAAACACGATGCACAGCCTGAATACAGGTGGCAGCTAAGCATTAGGGCAGTGGCCCACCACCTCTCTTGCTAGAACTTGGCCATGCCCATGGTAGAGTCTTCATAGGATGACTACTGCTGCCTTTTGAACATCTTTCTTGAAATGTAACTATTTTCTCATTGTGCGTAGCCAACCTTGCTAATTGGAGGTGCAGGACGAAGTATGGCGTGTGTTACGTTTGTATGCACGTAATTCTAAATTGTAACTGAACTTTATGTTTGTATGCTTTTTTCTACAGCTGCTGTTTAGCGCAGATTCGTGGGATCTTTTGACGCTCGGACAACGCCAGTGATCCTAAACCTAAACGGCCTTGTAATAAAACATAAAAAATCGCAACATAGTAAAAAAAAAAACACAGACCCAGAAATCTTCCTCCTTCCTCCCCCGTTAAAAAGCGAAACACAACCGTGAGCATTTTGCTCTTAATCCAACAATTCTTTGAGCCCCGGTTGACTCGTACGGCTTTCAAAACGGACGGCGCAATGGCCACCTCCTCGCTCCGGCGGCAGATGAAGAACATCGTCAACAACTTCTCGGAGGCCGAGGTGAAGGTGCGCGAGGCGACGTCTAACGACCCGTGGGGCCCCTCGAGCTCGCTCATGTCCGAGATCGCCGACCTCACCTACAACGTGGTGGCCTTCTCGGAGATCATGAGCATGATCTGGAAGCGCCTCAACGACCACGGCAAGAACTGGCGCCACGTCTACAAGGTAATGGAGCGTGCGCGGGTTTTGCGAAGAGCGGAGCAATGTGTTCTTGGGGAAGTTCCTGGTTAACCTGGGTAATTTAAAGATTGCCCTTGGCTAGGCCGACGGCACGATGTTGTTGGCAGCGCCCAAGATTCGGCAATCTTCAAGAATCAGTATATTTATTACTGGAGGAATCCGATGAACTATAAAGCTCTTTTTCACATGTCCAGTAGGGGCACGGGGTCAGAACATTACAACAAAAACAATACGAAAACACAATAGAAGTCTAAAGTATAGGAAAGGTCAACATAGATGCCTGTGTACATGTGATAAACCCAGCCTTCGGGGCTGTGAGGGGGCGCCTGGAAAAGGTGGTACAGCAAGTAGGTTGTTGACCTACAATAGTACGTGTGTGCAGTTGGGAGTGTTTAGCCATCCTTTAAAAATGTATTTATCCATTCTAGATTTGAAGCTTTCGTGACTGCAAGGATTCATATTCTTAGGTTTTTTCGGTAAAGTCACGTAGGTAAAATTTTTTAATTATTAAAAGTAAAATAAAAATAAAATAAAAATCACGACGTTTCGGAGGCAACACAAGCTTGCCTCGGAAGCTTGTGTTGCCTCCGAAACGTGATTTTTTATTTATTTTACTTTTATTAATTTAAATTTTTTACCTACGTGACTTTACCGAAAAAACCTAAGAATATGTATTTATCCAGGAAGCTGCTCACTAAATCTCAAGACATTTCCAAGATGGTCTTGCATGTGAATGCAACTAAGCCAATGCCATTTATGAGTCTTTATAGGGAGTTGGCCAAAGTATCTTTAGAAAATCAATTTCTTGTAAGGTGATAACACTCAATGATCCGCACAGACTGTTTAATCAACCAATTTTCACTTCTGATATCTCCAGACAGCAACCCTTATGAAAAAAATCTGGAGACCCGCTCTGTGGCCTTCCTCGGTAATGAAAGGATTATTCTTATATAGCTCCCACAAGGGATCATGGGATTGTAAAGCTATTCACACAAGCGGGCATGTAAGGTCACATTGCCTTTTCAAGCTGGGTTCACATTGATATTTCTGGCAGTGAAATGGCTATCACGTCCGTGTATAAATTTCACTGCTTTTAGTGGTCATCAGCATAGCAGAGTGTGAGATTTGATCGTTGCCACTCTGTGTACATTGGCCACTTCTGTCCAAGCTGAATAGGATCTCTCAAAGACCGAGAGTCGGCATTGCGCTTTTTGGCTTTGTCGCAAATAATTTTCCATTACATTGCACACAAACCAACGACGTGAATTATTAATTTGGTGTGGTCAATCGTGCTGTATGTTTTTCTTAGTTTTTTTCCTCTCGCTCCTCCTGCCACCCAACCTAGCGATTACGCCAGGGCGTGGCCAATGGATTTAACGTGGCATTGCATGAGTAAAGTCCAAGCCATTAGCGTGGCTCTTTATCGGCCTCGTTAGACTTGTGGGAAATCCGAGCTGGTTCGATTGGGGGGGGGGACACGTGTAAATTGAACCTTGGTGTCACGTCGGCTGCGCAAGGCTGAGTGGACGGATCATCGCGAGCAGGCAATTTTTATTGTCTGTTCACCGCTGCTCTCTCTTGAGGCGGCAAACAAATTGAAGCCACGTTCAGTGCGTGGTGTGTGTAAATTTTGGGTGTGCTCAATGAAGATGCTTATGGATGTGGAGGTAAAACCGAAAGACAACTTGGTGTCGTTGAATGTATTATCTTTTATTGCAACTGGCTGGCACGGGGTCGAGGCATTGGTCGATCGCACAGAATGCACATCCCATGTCGGTGTTAAACTCCAGCGCTCGTGCCACACGGGGGTAACACTCTTGCTCCTCCGTGCTTTCGCATTACTTAGAAACAAGTGTCACATCATCGATGGTATCAAATAGAGATAGAAATCTTACAGTATAACCGAAGCTGCATATTTTAAGCACGATTCTTTTTTTTCGGCGTGATGACAGATCTCGCAGATTGTTCGCATAATACAATAATTGTTTACAGAAATGAGTGCGGATTTTGAACTGTTCTTAAAAATAGTTTGTGTTTATATTGTGCCATTTTATATACCGCTGCACGGAGGCACATATATTCAGTAGTTTTTGGCCAATTGCCGAGTGTTTACCACCCACTCTCAACAAACCCACAGCTGTTAATTCCTCACCCCCCTCAACCCTCCCCGTGTCCACTGGGGTCGGGCCCTCCGTGACTCGCGCAGGCCCTGACGCTGCTCGACTACCTGATCAAGACGGGCTCGGAGCGCGTGGCGCAGCAGTGCAAGGAGAACATCTTCGCCATCCAGACGCTCAAGGACTTCCAGTACGTGGACCGCGACGGCAAGGACCAGGGCGTGAACGTGCGCGAGAAGTCGAAGCAGCTGGTGGCGCTGCTGCGCGACGAGGACCGGCTGCGGGGCGAGCGCGAGCACGCGCTCAAGACCAAGGAGCGCTTGGCGCAAGGCGCCACGGGCATGGGCAGCAACAACAAGGTGACGTTCGGCCGAGGATCGAGCCAGCCCAACCTGTCCACGAGCTACTCGGACGAGTACGGCAAGGCGGGAGGATCTCCGGCGTCGTACCACGGCTGTGAGTGAAAACGCCTCTGAATATATAACGAGCACGCCGTATACAAGCATAGTTCTCGATATAAGCAACGCATGCTTGCGATACGCTTTATTAACACGTAGGTTTTCGCGACAAACGTGAATCAATCTTGATTTGAAGCTTTCGTGACTGCAGGAATCCATACTCTTTGGTTCTTTCGGTAAAGTCACGGAGGTAGAAAAAATTATAGATCACGACTTTTCGATCGCCACACAAGCAATCGTCTTCTGCCCGTGGCGTCTTCAGGTGAAGATGATTGCTTGTGTGGCGATCGAAACGTCGTGATCTATTATTTTTTTCTACCTACGTGACTTTACCGAAAGAACCAAAGAGTATTATAAATAAAGGTTTTTATGTGTTAGATTGCATAAATATAAATGTGTCGTTAACCCACCACCACCACCCGACACAGCCAATTAGTAAGGTTTGTCACGAAAACAAAACGTGCCAATGAGTGTACTACTTCAGCACACCGGTGTGTTGGAGAGTACATCCACAACATTTACAATTTGTACAATTTGTGGCGTGTTAACGACACATTTACATTTACGTGCTTTGACCCAAAAAAAAACCTTTATTATGAATTTCAATACACAGAAGGCAGAGGGAAACTTTCGTACGATCACACTTTTCGATGTAAGCACGGTTGGCCTTGCGCCCAGCGTGTGTGCGTATAACCAGCCTCTGTTGTACCATACTTTGGGAGGTCAACGGTGCTTGCTATGTGGAGAGACTGGCACTCACCTTTTGGAATGTGGAATTTCTACCACTTAATCATTTGAGGGGGGGGGGGGGAGTGGTGGCGTATTGGGTTTTATTATGTTAGCAAACACATTCTGAATTCTGATTATGGTTGTTGGCAGTAGTCATTTATTTTATGTTAATGAAGAGCAAAATGTCCAGTATTAAAGCAGTTTCCCCAGTATTCTCCGCAGAGATTCAGCTTGTCGTGATCATGGCCACAGCTCAATTACCGTTTAATATTTAATAATATTTGTTTTCCTTTAATTGAGTTTCAAACAGATGTGAATATGACAATGGCCAGCCTTTCTCATGCTTTAAAAAAAAAAATCTCATTTCGAATCTGATATATATTTAAAAACCTGCCTGTTCTTCATTTCTGTATTTTATGAAAGAAAATGGTTGATTTTTTTAATCAAGATTTTCCTAGACGTTTATTTTGAAACTGTGATCTTTTCTGCTTGCATGGAAAGCTGCTGGTCCTGTATTTTCACTTTTTGATGCTCAGAGTCCACATGCTTGCCTAGTCCGCATGTCCTCTAGTAATGTTTGCAATTTGGTTTACATTTCCAAGCCACAGTGGGTCGTGTAGGCGGCATTAATAATTTGTGTGTGTGCCATCAAAACTTACGAGCCTTTACATGTGACTTTGTCGACTACACTCAGAAAAGCCAGCGCCACTTGCAAATGCCAGGTTTTGAAGACAATTTCCTTTGTTGTGAATGCAGCCACAAATGCATTTCTAATTTCGGTGAAAGCAAAACTGTAAAGTTTGGATGGGGCGTGAAATGATTTATGATCATAGTGTACCATCACGTTTCCACACTGCACCTCTGGAGATTTAACCGCTATGTGCGTGTCACACAATGTCTTCCCGGTCTGCCGAGAGACAAAACAGTCTCCGTCTTTTTTTTTCAAGGACAACTTTGCTCAGCAGTGGAGGAGTTTGCTAAATTAAAGGAAAGCATAGAGCGACTGGGTGTGTGGCGACAAGGCTTTGCACAGCGGCACGGGGAGTCCTCAATTCATCTGCAGTGGGGAGAGAGGGCTCAGCCGCCCTGAATACCAACCCGGCGACCTGAGGGGTAGGCCCTAAAACGGGATTGTAGGATACCGTGAGACCTGGTATATAAAGTTGGCTGCTTTTTGAAACTGTGTAGTGAATTGCAAGTAGGTGAAAAATAACCAATACAATCTTTAACTGTCACTGAAAAGAAATAAGATATTGATGTTTTCCACCAGCTAGCCTTGACGACTTAAAAGGCGCAACTTGAGGTCAGGTGTTGACTATAAAAGAAGACCGCAATGGTGAGGTGTGTTTACATCAACTTCTTATGACTACATCCTGGTGTATGCAATGTGAAATCTATACTGAGCTAAAAGCATCGCCAAGTCCCAATTTCCTCGTCTCCGAAAGTCTTGCATGTCAAATGTTTGACCATTTTATTTTCAACAAATGTTTTCCATGTGGAGAGAAATGAGAGTATCTGGAGCGAACCCACGCGTACAAGGGAATAACACTCACAATTCTGCATGGATATGTCAACTAGAGAGCCCACTTTGCTATATGATAATTGGTTTAAAAAAAAAGGTGTCAGTTTTGTTGCCAGATAAAAGGGTAAAAAACCAATGATCATATTTTTTCTTCTGGCAAATGAGGTTCCAATGGTGCACTTTGCTATAGTTGTATACCTTGCCCATCTCGCAGTTCTACTGGTTTTGGAGTCGCTGCACTTGACAAGCTAATATTTGAAGCAGAACGCTCCTCAAACAAACCAAAAAATAAGCAAAGTGTCTTGAAGACCCAGTGATTGAAAGTCTCCTGATAACGAGCAAGGCTCGGGTGACCCAGTGGATCCGCACAGTGTACGAGGCAAGCTTGCCATCGGGCCGCGTATTAGTCTGTAAACACTGTCCCGGTGAGCGTCGGTCTTGCACCGGGACATGCCGGCACGTGCCGGCCACTGTGTAATTCCATACCCACGTAACATTTACACGGCAAGACTCCATGTGCAAACCCACCGGGGCGTTGTCCAAAGCGTCGCGGTTCAGCTGTACCATCGATTTCGTGGATTTTAGTTGTGTCACTGTTTAATCTCCGTTATTATCGAGTCGATCGGCTTCTTCAGTTGCAATTACAACCAGGCCATCACGGGTCGATATACAAATCACTCAACCACTTGATTTCCACATTGTCGAGTCCAATCGACCTTGTCACCCTAACCTCCGAGCTGCCATCATCAGGGTGGCCCCTCAACCACGTGGACGACTTGTGGCAGTTCCTCCATCACATGTTGTTGGGGTGGCAGACACATACACACCAAATAGTGCATCGTGCCAAATTGACACACCAGTGTGCATTTTTGAACTTGATCCAAGCCAGTGTAGCTAGCTGGGGCTGATGGTACAAGTGTATATACGGGCGCCACGGTGGTGAGATGTTAACTGCCTCGCCTGGTATACAGGAGGTCATGGGTTTGATCCCGACCCTGTATAGTTTTAGTTTTCATGTCTCTCTCCCCGTGATCGTATTGACTTTTCTCCGGGGGCTCTGGTTTTTTTCTACATTTATAAACATGCGTTTTTGAGTGTTTGGTTGTAAATTTCCACGTGATAAGCCACTTCTTTGAGCTATCATTTGTGGCCAGGTCGCTTCTGAAAAGAGCTAGATAGCTCAGTGGGCCATACCTGATAAAATAAAATTACTAGTTTAGTTTTTTTTTGTAGTGGAGATGTAAGGCGGTTTGATCCGAGTCCCAGGCTTTCCTGCCATCGTAGAGTAAGTTATGAGCCGTTTGGAAATGTGTCTTGCGCTGATCGGTGGCAATAGTTGGGATATTTAACTCTGCTGTGAGCAGTGAGGCCCACGAGCTGCTGAAACGAATGAAGGGTTACTTTGACGTGGGCCTTGTTTACATGGGTGGCACCAGGTTACAGCTGGGGTTCTGAGCACTGCTGGTAGATACTTCACAACGTATGGCATGTTGCAGCCAGTTGAGAGCCTCGATTCAGCAGACCTGCGGTAAAATTCAAGCAGGAAAATCCTAGCTACCAGTAGTCCTATGATGGTGCGGTTGGTCATTATTATTACATTCGCAGCAGTAGTTTGAGGCTTTGTGTGGAGCATTTCTAGTGAGCTGGGATTTTTATGTTGACATGGACACGTTGGTTGGCTTTGTGTTTGTGTGGCTTTTAATTTTTAGTCGTACTTTTCAGAGAGTATGAGTCAGGCAATATGCACACAAGACCGATGTCTGGTAATTTGGCTTTTAACGGTCAATGTTTTTCACATTACTGCAAACCCATATCACTTTCCCGAATTGTGGCTTTTGGTTACACCAGCCTGTGACAGGAGACTGCAGGGCCTTAGCGTTGGTGCTTTCCATGAGCTGTGGCTTGAGGCGTGCCTCCGTCCAGTGGTTTAAAAACCCGAATTCGGTCTCGAAAAGCAGCGCAGATGTCACTGTGCCTGTAGATAACACGTTCCTTCGGAGTGGGCAGGTAGGAACTTGGTTGGACAGCGCATTTGTGCGATCCGTGTCACGCGGCGCAAGCTGCAAGAGGCGGTGCGTCACGTGGTGCTGAGCCCGCCCGAAGCGCTCTATGAAATACAAATCGAGGGTGTGGCTATGCACGACAGACAGACAGACAAATAATCCCTGGTGGGCAGTGTGGAACTGTTGTTCCGACCTGTAAAAGCTTTCTCGTAGTGGACACTTCATAAGTGGCGATGCGCAGCGCCTGTTTGCGTCGCTCAACCACTCCAAGGTTTATGATGCGCCATATTGAGCAAAAAAGCCAAGTTGGAAGCGGCATGTCTGAGGCACTGTTGGAAATTCCACATTCCTACTGGTATGGATGAGTCTAATAAAGATAAGGTAAAAACGTCAGGGCGTCACCCCCTTGTTCAAACAAGTAATGGGATATCCCTCATCGGCTTTGATGGCACCGAGCCATTGGTGTAAATTCCATATTACTATGGACGAGAGCAGTCTATTAATAGAAAAATCGCTCTTTTAAGTTACAACAGTACTTATTTTATGGACCACAAAGGGATGATTGACTAAGTCAGCCCCAGAACAGGGTTTGAAATTGTAACCTTGGATTTGTAAGACAGGCTCGCTTAAACCATGTGCATAGGCAGAGGTGAAGTGTGAATCGGAAATACGCACTCTGACAAGCAAGATATAACGAAAGCTTCGGAGTGCACAAAGAAGCATTGGGGATGGTGCACGTTTGGA